GATAGGGTATAGGTCGATCCACAGCCGTGCGTAAATGTCGTGTGTATACTGTGCGCGTATGGAGGCAGCTATAGACGCGCAGCCGTGCAATGTTGTAGCGTAGAGGACAGAAGCAGGAGGTGGATGCAATCTTACTGCTCTACTCACAACAACACCGTGCAGAGAAACCTTCCAGCGAGCAAAAAACAAAAAAAAACGTGGTGTTGTGTCTCCTCGCCTGCAATGGGGCTTTGAACCTGTAAGGTCACCCACACGCATACACACACACGCACACACACACACGCACACACGCACACGGACCAGTAGTGGCCAGTGAGAAATCAGGCAGAACAATCATTTCCATTCACGTGAAATGTCAACGCGAGTGTGGCCGGTGGTTAGAGGTCAGACGGCTGTTATTGTAAGCACACAATAGCGCTGTTCATTATAGGCTGGTTTTGAGGGACGATGGGGAAAGAAAGTTTGGACTTTGACATTGAGACGTTTTGAAGTTGTTTTACGTCTGCTTTTTCTTTTTTTTTTTTGGTTTAATAAATAAGACAATGGGTGGCATTTAATGAGGGAGGTCATAAAGGGAATAGATAAACAAACGGTGGGAAGGAAGGCAGGGATACAATAGGAAGTAGATATATTAGCATTAGTTATATGCAAAGTTTTAGTGTAATATTAAACCACTGGGCCTGTATAGTTTGTGTTGGATTAAAAGGAGGATTTTCTACTTCCGGGTGGATCTTCAAAACTATTGGTCCTCCTCATTGTCAATCATTCTGGTGTTACGTGCTCGTCAAATAAGACCAGATAATGTAAATTAAAAAGTGGAGAAGGTTCATTCCTTAAATTTGGGGAAATCCTATACATACCATTTAAGATTGAGATAATAAATAAATAATAAATTAGACCCACAATGGGGAAATGTCAGTGGTGCATCACCGGTTACATAATAGTAGGAATGAGGAGCACACAGCACAAGATGGATTAATAATAACTCAAAATCTCTAGCTTTGATTACTAGTTCAAGGGGGAAAAAGGTATGTATCGTTATAACATAGCAGTACACAAATACATTATGTCTCTGTATCCTCTCTATCGGCCATATTTCAATTCAGAATCCTCTCTGTTTTCTAGAGCCACTCACTTATATGCAGGAATTAATTTGAATAGTTCAAAGATGAATCCATCCCCGAAGAGGAGGTATGCCTGAAGAAAAAGGACACTGGCTAATCTACATCTCATCTGCATTACAATCTGCATCTCGTGTCGAAATTGACTCGACACTCTGCGAGAAAACTTGCATCATAATTGGCACGGCTACACACAAACACACAAACGCACACACAAACAAACGCATACATTATAAGTGTGTGTTTGCTTCTGCGGCTGGAGAATACTGTGTGTTTCGTCTTTCCTTCTCCCTGTTCCGTCCTGTGGCTCATTCCCAAAGTTTGGCTCTGATGTTGCTGCTTCTATTAGACCTGTGTGCGTTGAACCAAAAACCTGGCACCCGTTCCTCCTCCTCCCCGAGCTCTCCATAAGGTCACGAAGAAACATCCCCCTTTTGAAACTCATACCTCTCCCTAATTACTAAAGCTTCCCTTCTTAACTCCGTTCTAATCACTGCCAATTCTCCGACACCTGCCCGTCTCTCCCTGGTCTCTCTCGCTCTGCTCTCTCTCTGGTCTCTCGCTCTGCTCTCGTCTCTCTCTCTCTGCTCTATCTCTTTCTGGTCTCTCTCTGCTCTCTCGCTCTGTTTTGTCTCTCTGCTCTCATCTGTCTCTCTGCTCTGCTATCGTCTCTCTCTGCTCTCTCTCTGCTCTATCTCTTTCTGGTCTCGCTCTGTACTCTTGCTCTGGTTTGTCTCTGCTCTCATCTGTCTCTCTGCTCTTGCTCTGGGCTCTCGCTCGTCTCTCTCTCTGCTCTGTCTCTTTCTGGTCTCTCGCTCTGGTCTGTCTCCGCTCTCTTTCTGGTCTCTCGCTTTAGTCTCTCGCTTTGGTCTCTCGCTTTGGTCTCTCGCTCTGCTCTCTTCTGTCTCTCTCTCTGCTCTATCTCTTTCTGGTCCCTCGCTCTGCTCTCTCGCTCTGCTCTCTCGCTCTGCTCTCTCGCTCTGCTCTCTCGCTCTGCTCTCTCGCTCTGTTCTCTAGCCATGGTCTCTCACTCTGGTCTCTCACTATTGTCTCTCTCTGCTCTCTCTCTGGTCTCTGCTCTATCTCTCTCTCTGCTCTATCGCTTTCTGGTCTCTCTCTCTCTCTCTCTCTCTGGATTTACTAACCTTAGTATGTGCTGTTGCATGTGTGGTCTGACTGGACAGGGAGGGGTAGAGGGCAGGGGGGGTAGAGGGTAGATGGAGGGGGGGTGACTTGGGGAGAACTGGTATCTTCTCTGCGCCATCGGAAACAATGGCGATGGTGATTGATGAGCTGGAAGAGCTTGTCCTCTCAACAGCCCAATTAACCTTGATGACGCTCACACCAGCTCCCAGCCTTTTATACTCCCCAAATATTCAGACATGGAGAGATCCTGGCTGGTTCTTTTGTATACCAGAGAGAGAGACCAGAGAGAGAGAGACCAGAGAGAGAGAGACCAGAGAGAGAGAGACCAGAGAGAGAGAGACCAGAGAGAGAGAGACCAGAGAGAGAGAGACCAGAGAGAGAGACCAGAGAGAGAGACCAGAGAGAGAGAGACCAGAGAGAGAGACCAGAGAGAGAGAGAGATCAGAGAGAGAGACCAGAGAGAGAGAGAGAGACCAGAGAGAGAGAGATCAGAGAGAGAGACCAGAGAGAGAGAGAGAGAGAGACCAGAGAGAGTTGGTTCTTTTGTATACGGCTATGGAGAAATGTTTATATTATGCGTGAATGGGATGGTTCTGTGGAGGTTGTCGGCCCGTGGCGATGTTTGAGTCTGTTATGGTAAGTGAAGGTCACCACGTTCCAACATCTGGCGGGAGAGCTGGTGTTTGGTTGTTTCCTGGTGCTATGGTGCTGGCCCTGCTGGGTGGGCTCAGTATCTCTCTGGTCTCCCTGCTCTCTCTCTCTGCTCTCTCTATCCTCCCTCTCTCTGGGTTCTCTCTGGTCTCTCTTCTCTCTCTCTCTGCTCTCTATCCTCTCTCTCTCTGGGTTCTCTCTGGTCTCTCTCTGTTGTCTCTCTTTCTGGTTTCTCTCTGGTCTCACTCTAGTCTCTCTCTGCTCTGTTTCTGCTCTGCTATGTCGCTGGTCTCTCTTTGGTCTCTCTCTGCTCTCTCTCTGCTCTCCTCTCTCTCTGCTCTCTCTCTGCTCTCTCTACTCTCTCTACTCTCTCTCCTCTCTCTCTGGTCTCTCTCTCCCCTCTCTCTGCTCTCTCTCTGGTGTTTGGTTGTTTCCTGGTTCTATGGTGGCTGGGTGGCCTCAGTAAACTCCATATGAGCTGTTGTTGTGTCATTATCAAGAATATCTCTCTCTTCCCCTTTGGTCTGTGGAGGTCAGAGAGGGTCAGGACGGTGAGAAAAGCCTCCCAGCGAGTCCTGTCTCTGGGAAAAGCAGATAAAACGGAACGTTGTGTGACGCAGTGTTGCAGATATGAAGTGTTGCCGTTTGCTGAGGACCAGACTTTTTGCTAAAGAGATTCACAATGGTATTCATTTTATCGTCAGGCTTGAGAATTGTTGCGGGAAGAAAGCGGTCGACACACTTTTAACCTGTGGAATTTGATTTTAAACAGGCAGTGATCCAATCCACTTTTTTTATATAGCGCATTTTATAACACATGTTTCCAAAGTGCTGCACAAATACAAATAACACATTAAAGTATAGAAGTCTGCCAGAGTTACATACAAAAATTAATAATAATAATAATAATACTAAAATAAAATAAAACAATAATCAAATGAGGTAGAACCAATTAAAATAAAGTAAAACAATACAAAAAAATTACTATAAAAAATAAATAAAAATACTTCTTGTACACGTACACAAAGAGATAGTATGACATTAAATACAGCTATCTGTTCTATAAAGACTGGGGTTAAATCAGTCCCACCTCAGACACTGGTTTAGTCCTGGTTTATAATTTGTTTTAAATCTGGGATAATCCTGGTTTATACTCAGGCCTTCTTGTTGTTTTAGAGTTACTCGTAAGTAGGTAATTAAGTGATATTTATTTGTATTGCGCATTTCTCAGACCAAGGTCACACGGCGCGCTTTAGATTGTTATGTTCCGTTCATTTGCATTCACTCCACACGCCCGTGACCGTCACCATTCGTTCAGTCCCTCATTACAGTCAGACCTGTTGAACATGTTTTAAGTGGTAAAACCGGAGCACCTGGAGGAAACCGGAGAACATGCAAACTCCACACAGAACCCATCAAACACAGGACTTTCTTGCTATGAGGTTCTAGTCTGGGGTTCTTTGTAGGTTTGCCATTATCGGAAATGGCTTTTTCAGTAATTCAGTTGTTTTGAAATGGAATACGTCGTCTAAAAGACAATTCAGATGAGTTCTGGGCTCGCATTATAGGTCGACGGATGTGTTTTTGTACAGAAATTCCAGGAGTTCATTTGTACTTACCTTTTGAAAATTGACACACACCAATGACCAATGTCCTGGATCATCTGTCATTAGACCCCTATTGTTCTGTAATGCGCTGCAACACTGACATTTCCCCACTGTTGAACTAATAGCCTCTGTCTTGTCTTGTCTTATCCTCACTCAAACACAAACCGATTGCTTGCGGGTTTTTTCTTCTTTTTCACCCCGCACTTACGTTTTTGCGGCTGCCTTCTGAACTCCGACGCAGAGAACCTTTTAGGATTGTTTACATCCCATCCCACAATCGCATATGTTTAGCTCCGTGTGGGATAAATTTGGCCTCATCCAATCCCCCCCCCAGCCTCGTCCCCTCGTGCATAAGCCAGCCACGGTCTCACCTAACATCCACATGGAAGATAGAGTTACTTTGGCTGCCTGGCAAAGCTCTCTGCCCCGCGCTGGAATCGCTTCAGCGGGTCACATTATACAGAAAGAGAGTACACTAGATCTGCCAATGCATTCTGCCAGCCTCGGAAAACTCTCCCCTCTCTTGTAACTGCAGCTCCATGTGGCAAAGTTCTTGTATTTTTTTGTCAAAGGTGAAGTCTTTAAAGCCGGGGTTGGAGTACCAGGCCCCCCGCGCCATATGCTGTTTTATCCTCTTGGCGTTACGGGACACTTCGCAGTTGCCCTGACCCCCCCTCCCAACACACCCCTCATAATCGCCCCACCCCCATCCCACACAGGCAGAGTGACAGCCACGTCTGCTCCGGCTGCAGTGGACAATCATATTAGCTGTATCATAGAGCCTCATGTAGCTGCTGTGTATGGAAAGTAGTAGGAGTAGGAGTAGAAGCGTTTTTCCTATTGCTGTGCATAAACATAGATTAAGATAAGACTTTACTCTCACCAGAGGGAGAGAGAGAGAGAGAGAGAGAGACCAGAGGGGGAGAGAGACCAGAGAGATAAATATATGGAACGGAGTAGGAGTAGTAGCGTCTTACTACGCATATACATAGATTAAGACATCCTGAACTCCCACCAAAGAGAGAGAGACCAGAGAGAGAGAAAGACCTCTATACTAAAATAAAATAGAATCTCTAGCTTTACCGTAATAGAGAAGCAAGTCTATAGTCTCCAACTTTAACATAATAATAATAATACTAACACTAATGAGCATAAATGGCTCGTCCTGGGTTCTCTAAACATGGATAAAGCCGTATCTTTAGTTTCTCAGGATCAGAACCGTATAGTTGATGCATCATATGTTAAAATGGTTCCTGAGTGTGGAACAATGTGCAGCAGTGGAGGCAGCTGTGGCTTTGGGAGTGACAGGAGCAGGTGAGGCCCACAGCTGCTCCCAGACTCTGGACTTTATGACTGTTTGCATTGTTTCGCTTGTGGAGGAAGAAACTCTGTCTGCTTTGTCAGCTCCAGGAGGAAAAAAAATACAGCAAGGATTGTTTTGCACACTACACTAACAAATAAATGCATTTGGTCTCTATGGTCTCTCTCTCTGGTCTTTCTGGTCTCTCTGGTCTCTCTCCGGTGTCTCCCTTCGGTCACTCTCTGGTCTGACCCTCTCTCTTTCTCTCACTGATCTCTCTCTGTCTCTGGTCTCTGCTCTCTCTCTCTGCTCTCTGGTCCGTCTCTCTGGTCTCTCTATGTTCTCTCTCTGCTCTCTCTCTCTCTCGTTGGTCTCTCCCTCTGGTCCTTCTCTCTGGTTTCTCTCGCTGGTCTGTCTAGACTCTCTCCCTGGTCTCACTCTCTCTGGCCTTTCTCTCTGCTCTCTCTGGTCTCTCTCTCTGGTTTCTCTCCCTGGTCACTCAGAACACCGGCTTGGTTAAAGGTTGTGTTTTGTACGTTTACATTGACGACAGTGCATTACGCAAAGCATATTTGTGTGTTCATTACAGCTGTTTATTTACACGTGTAAAGGTTGTTACATCTGCGTAGAAGGCACAGGGCAAATAAAAGTCCAGGAAAACAGTCTTTCAGAAGGAAATCAATAATCTCCTTTTCTCTTTTAGCTGGACAAAAAAACAGTATTTAGATCAGGGCTGTCATACTGGTTCCAGAAAGGGCTGTTGTGGCTTCAGGTTTTCATTCCAACCAAGCAGGCTGGGTGCACTCCAGACTCCAGAGAGAGAGCGAGTCCAGAGAGAGAGAGAGAGAGAGAGAGTCCAGAGAGAGAGAGCGAGTCCAGAGAGAGAGAGCGAGTCCAGAGAGAGAGAGCGAGTCCAGAGAGAGAGAGCGAGTCCAGAGAGAGAGAGAGAGCGAGTCCAGAGAGAGCGGGTCCAGAGAGAGAGAGCGGGTCCAGAGAGAGAGAGCGGGTCCAGAGAGAGAGAGCGGGTCCAGAGAGAGAGAGAGCGAGTCCAGAGAGAGAGAGCGAGTCCAGAGAGAGAGAGCGAGTCCAGAGAGAGAGAGAGCGAGTCCAGAGAGAGAGAGCGAGTCCAGAGAGAGAGAGCGAGTCAAGAGAGAGAGAGCGAGTCCAGAGAGAGAGAGCGAGTCCAGAGAGAGAGAGCGAGTCCAGAGAGAGAGAGCGAGTCCAGAGAGAGAGAGAGAGCGAGTCCAGAGAGAGAGAGAGAGAGCGAGTCCAAGAGCGAGAGAGAGTCCAGAGAGAGAGAGCGAGTCCAGAGAGAGAGAGAGCGAGCCCAGAGAGAGAGAGAGCGTGTCCAGAGAGAGAGAGCAGAGAGAGAGAGAGCGAGTCCAGAAAGAGAGAGCGAGTGCCCAGAGAGAGAGAGAGCGAGTCCAGAGAGAGAGAGAGCGAGTCCAGAGAGAGAGAGCGAGCCAGAGAGAGAGAGCGAGTCCAGAGAGAGAGAGCGAGTCCAGAGAGAGAGAGCGTGTCCAGAGTCCAGAGAGAGAGCGAGTCCAGAGAGAGAGAGCGAGTCCCAGAGAGAGAGAGAGCGAGTCCAGAGAGAGAGAGAGTCCAGAGAGAGAGCGAGAGAGAGAGAGCGAGTCCAGAGAGAGAGCGAGTCCAGAGAGAGAGCGAGAGAGAGAGAGAGCGTGCGAGTCCAGAGAGAGAGAGCGAGTGTCCAGAGAGAGAGAGCGAGTCCAGAGAGAGAGAGCGAGTCCAGAGAGAGAGAGCGAGTCCCAGAGAGAGAGAGAGCGTGTCCAGAGAGAGAGAGAGCGTGTCCAGAGAGAGAGAGCGTGTCCAGAGAGAGAGAGCGTGTCCAGAGAGAGAGAGAGCGTGTCCAGAGAGAGAGAGCGTGTCCAGAGAGAGAGAGAGCGTGTCCAGAGAGAGAGAGAGCGTGTCCAGAGAGAGAGAGAGCGTGTCCAGAGAGAGAGAGAGCGTGTCCAGAGAGAGAGAGCGTGTCCAGAGAGAGAGAGAGCGTGTCCAGAGAGAGAGAGAGAGCGTGTCCAGAGAGAGAGAGAGCGTGTCCAGAGAGAGAGAGAGCGTGTCCAGAGAGAGAGAGAGCGTGTCCAGAGAGAGAGAGAGCGTGTCCCAGAGAGAGAGAGAGCGTGTCCAGAGAGAGAGAGAGCGGTCCGAGGAGAGAGAGAGAGAGCGTGTCCAGAGAGAGAGAGAGCGTGTCCAGAGAGAGAGAGAGCGTGTCCAGAGAGAGAGAGAGCGTGTCCAGAGAGAGAGAGAGAGAGCGTGTCCAGAGAGAGAGAGAGAGCGTGTCCAGAGAGAGAGAGAGAGAGAGCGTGTCCAGAGAGAGAGAGAGCGTGTCCAGAGAGAGAGAGAGCGTGTCCCAGAGAGAGAGAGCGTGTCCAGAGAGAGAGAGAGCGTGTCCAGAGCGAGAGAGAGCGTGTCCAGAGAGAGAGAGAGCGTGTCCAGAGAGAGAGAGAGCGTGTCCAGAGAGAGAGAGAGCGTGTCCAGAGAGAGAGAGCGTGTCCAGAGAGAGAGAGAGCGTGTCCAGAGAGAGAGAGAGCGTGTCCAGAGAGAGAGAGAGCGTGTCCAGAGAGAGAGAGAGCGTGTCCAGAGAGAGAGAGAGCGTGTCCAGAGAGAGAGAGAGCGTGTCCAGAGAGAGAGAGAGCGTGTCCAGAGAGAGAGAGAGCGTGTCCAGAGAGAGAGAGAGCGTGTCCAGAGAGAGAGAGAGCGTGTCCAGAGAGAGAGAGAGCGTGTCCAGAGAGAGAGAGAGCGTGTCCAGAGAGAGAGAGAGCGTGTCCAGAGAGAGAGAGAGCGTGTCCAGAGAGAGAGAGAGAGAGAGCGTGTCCAGAGAGAGAGAGAGCGTGTCCAGAGAGAGAGAGAGCGTGTCCAGAGAGAGAGAGAGCGTGTCCAGAGAGAGAGAGAGCGTGTCCAGAGAGAGAGAGAGCGTGTCCAGAGAGAGAGAGAGCGTGTCCAGAGAGAGAGAGAGAGCGTGTCCAAGAGAGAGAGAGAGAGAGAGAGCGTGTCCGAGAGAGAGAGAGAGAGCGTGTCCAGAGAGAGAGAGAGCGTGTCCAGAGAGAGAGAGAGCGTGTCCAGAGAGAGAGAGAGCGTGTCCAGAGAGAGAGAGAGCGTGTCCAGAGAGAGAGAGAGCGTGTCCAGAGAGAGAGAGAGCGTGTCCAGAGAGAGAGAGAGCGTGTCCAGAGAGAGAGAGAGCGTGTCCAGAGAGAGAGAGAGCGTGTCCAGAGAGAGAGAGAGCGTGTCCAGAGAGAGAGAGAGAGCGTGTCCAGAGAGAGAGAGAGCGTGTCCAGAGAGAGAGAGAGCGTGTCCGAGAGAGAGAGAGAGCGTGTCCAGAGAGAGAGAGAGCGTGTCCAGAGAGAGAGAGAGCGTGTCCAGGAGTCCAGAGAGAGAGAGCGTGTCCAGAGAGAGAGAGAGCGTGTCCAAGAGAGAGAGAGAGAGAGAGAGAGCGTGTCCAGAGAGAGAGAGAGAGCGTGTCCAGAGAGAGAGAGAGAGCGTGTCCGAGAGAGAGAGAGCGTGTCCAGAGAGAGAGAGAGCGTGTCCAGAGAGAGAGAGAGCGTGTCCAGAGAGAGAGAGAGCGTGTCCAGAGAGAGAGAGAGCGTGTCCAGAGAGAGAGAGAGCGTGTCCAGAGAGAGAGAGAGCGTGTCCAGAGAGAGAGAGAGCGTGTCCAGAGAGAGAGAGAGCGTGTCCAGAGAGAGAGAGAGCGTGTCCAGAGAGAGAGAGAGCGTGTCCAGAGAGAGAGAGAGCGTGTCCAGAGAGAGAGAGAGCGTGTCCAGAGAGAGAGAGAGCGTGTCCAGAGAGAGAGAGAGCGTGTCCAAGAGAGAGAGAGAGCGTGTCCAGAGAGAGAGAGAGCGTGTCCAGAGAGAGAGAGAGCGTGTCCAGAGAGAGAGAGAGCGTGTCCAGAGAGAGAGAGAGAGAGCGTGTCCAGAGAGAGAGAGAGAGCGTGTCCAGAGAGAGAGAGAGCGTGTCCAGAGAGAGAGAGAGCGTGTCCAGAGAGAGAGAGAGCGTGTCCAGAGAGAGAGAGAGCGTGTCCAGAGAGAGAGAGAGAGCGTGTCCAGAGAGAGAGAGAGCGTGTCCAGAGAGAGAGAGAGCGTGTCCAGAGAGAGAGAGAGCGTGTCCAGAGAGAGAGAGAGCGTGTCCAGAGAGAGAGAGAGCGTGTCCAGAGAGAGAGAGAGCGTGTCCAGAGAGAGAGAGAGCGTGTCCAGAGAGAGAGAGAGCGTGTCCAGAGAGAGAGAGAGCGTGTCCAGAGAGAGAGAGAGCGTGTCCAGAGAGAGAGAGAGCGTGTCCAGAGAGAGAGAGAGCGTGTCCAGAGAGAGAGAGAGCGTGTCCAGAGAGAGAGAGAGCGTGTCCAGAGAGAGAGAGAGCGTGTCCAGAGAGAGAGAGAGCGTGTCCAGAGAGAGAGAGAGCGTGTCCAGAGAGAGAGAGAGCGTGTCCAGAGAGAGAGAGAGCGTGTCCAGAGAGAGAGAGAGCGTGTCCAGAGAGAGAGAGAGCGTGTCCAGAGAGAGAGAGAGCGTGTCCAGAGAGAGAGAGAGCGTGTCCAGAGAGAGAGAGAGCGTGTCCAGAGAGAGAGAGAGCGTGTCCAGAGAGAGAGAGAGCGTGTCCAGAGAGAGAGAGAGCGTGTCCAGAGAGAGAGAGAGCGTGTCCAGAGAGAGAGAGAGCGTGTCCAGAGAGAGAGAGAGCGTGTCCAGAGAGAGAGAGAGCGTGTCCAGAGAGAGAGAGAGCGTGTCCAGAGAGAGAGAGAGCGTGTCCAGAGAGAGAGAGAGCGTGTCCAGAGAGAGAGAGAGCGTGTCCAGAGAGAGAGAGAGAGCGTGTCCAGAGAGAGAGAGAGCGTGTCCAGAGAGAGAGAGAGCGTGTCCAGAGAGAGAGAGAGCGTGTCCAGAGAGAGAGAGAGCGTGTCCAGAGAGAGAGAGAGCGTGTCCAGAGAGAGAGAGAGCGTGTCCAGAGAGAGAGAGAGCGTGTCCAGAGAGAGAGAGAGCGTGTCCAGAGAGAGAGAGAGCGTGTCCAGAGAGAGAGAGAGCGTGTCCAGAGAGAGAGAGAGCGTGTCCAGAGAGAGAGAGAGCGTGTCCAGAGAGAGAGAGAGCGTGTCCAGAGAGAGCGTGTCCAGAGAGAGAGAGAGCGTGTCCAGAGAGAGAGAGAGCGTGTCCAGAGAGAGAGAGAGCGTGTCCAGAGAGAGAGAGAGCGTGTCCAGAGAGGGAGAGCGTGCCCAGAGAGGGAGAGCGTGCCCAGAGAGAGAGAGAGCGCCCAGAGAGGGAGAGCGTGCCCAGAGAGAGAGAGAGCGTGTCCAGAGAGAGAGAGAGCGTGTCCAGAGAGAGAGAGAGCGTGTCCAGAGAGAGAGCGTGTCCAGAGAGAGAGAGAGCGTGTCCAGAGAGAGAGAGAGCGTGTCCAGAGAGGGAGAGCGTGCCCAGAGAGGGAGAGCGTGCCCAGAGAGGGAGAGCGTGCCCAGAGAGAGCGTGCCCAGAGAGAGAGAGAGCGTGTCCAGAGAGAGAGAGAGCGTGTCCAGAGAGAGAGAGAGCGTGTCCAGAGAGGGAGAGCGTGCCCAGAGAGGGAGAGCGTGCCCAGAGAGAGAGAGCGTGCCCAGAGAGGGAGAGCGTGCCCAGAGAGAGAGAGAGCGTGCCCAGAGAGAGAGAGAGCGTGCCCAGAGAGAGAGAGAGCGTGTCCAGAGAGAGAGAGAGCGTGTCCAGAGAGAGAGAGCGTGTCCAGAGAGAGAGAGAGCGTGTCCAGAGAGAGAGAGAGCGTGTCCAGAGAGAGAGAGAGCGTGTCCAGAGAGAGAGAGAGCGTGTCCAGAGAGAGAGAGAGCGTGCCCAGAGAGGGAGAGCGTGCCCAGAGAGAGAGAGAGCGTGTCCAGAGAGAGAGAGAGCGTGTCCAGAGAGAGAGAGAGCGTGTCCAGAGAGAGAGAGAGCGTGCCCAGAGAGGGAGAGCGTGCCCAGAGAGAGAGAGAGCGTGTCCAGAGAGAGAGAGAGCGTGCCCAGAGAGGGAGAGCGTGCCCAGAGAGAGAGAGCGTGCCCAGAGAGGGAGAGCGTGCCCAGAGAGGGAGAGCGTGCCCAGAGAGAGAGAGCGTGCCCAGAGAGTGTGTAGAGTGTATTTATCGGTGGTTGTGTAGAGTGTATTTATCGGTGGTTGTGTAGAGTGTATTTATCGGTGGTTGTGTAGAGTGTATTTATCGGTGGTTGTGTAGAGTGTATTTATCGGTGGTTGTGTAGAGTGTATTTATCGGTGGTTGTGTAGAGTGTATTTATCGGTGGTTGTGTAGAGTGTATTTATCGGTGGTTGTGTAGAGTGTATTTATCGGTGGTTGTGTAGAGTGTATTTATCGTGTGTGTCTCTGCAGCGATGCCCCGACACCCGATGTCCTTCGCGGCTAAGAACATGTTCTTTGACGAGCGCTGGATGGAGAAGCAGGAGCGCGGCTTCACCTGGTGGATCAACGACCTGCTCACGCCGGAGGCCTTCAAGGTGCAGCCCGCCGCCGCCAAAGGTACTTACCCAGGGTCAAAGGTACGTGCCCAGGGGTCAAAGGTACGTGCCCAGGGGTCAAAGGTACTTACCCAGGGTCAAAGGTACTTACCCAGGGGTCAAAGGTACGTGCCCAGGGGTCAAAGGTACGTGCCCAGGGGTCAAAGGTACGTGCCCAGGGGTCAAAGGTACTTACCCAGGGTCAAAGGTACTTACCCAGGGGTCAAAGGTACGTTCCCAGGGGTCAAAGGTACGTGCCCAGGGGTCAAAGGTACGTGCCCAGGGGTCAAAGGTACTTACCCAGGGGTCAAAGGCACGTGCCCAGGGGTCAAAGGTACGTGCCCAGGGGTCAAAGGTACGTGCCCAGGGGTCAAAGGTACGTGCCCAGGGGTCAAAGGTACGTTCCCAGGGGTCAAAGGTCTGTGCCCAGGGTCAAAGGTACTTACCCAAAGGAACTATAGAAGCCTTCAGAGAGAAGGGGCGGGGCTTTTTTGATTTTATAGAATCAAACCAAAACAAACATGTTCTGTGTGTGTTCACTTGTGTGTAACGTGTGTGTTCACTTGTGTGTAACGTGTGTGTTCTCCTGGTTGTTTGTGTATGTGTGTGTGCTCCTGTGTGCGTCTTCACTTGTGTGTAATGTGTGTGTGCTCTCCTGTGTGCAGTGAGTGCAGCGGCCGTGGTGCTGGGTGGTGGGAGCAGGGCTCTAACCCGAGCTCCAACCCGTGAGGAGATGTCGTTCCGCACGTACACGGCGCGCAGGCGGCTGAACCGACTGCGGCGTGCGGCCTGCGACCTGTTCTCCTCCAACGCTCTGGTCAAAGCCATCCACCGACTGGAGCTGGAGGTGGAGGCTCGGCGGCTGCTGGTGCGGCCGGACCGCCACCTGTGGAAGGACATCGGTAACTGGTTCATATGGTGTCCATAGGGTGTCCATATGGTCTTCATATGGTGTCCATATGGTGTGGTCACTGACGGTCACTGTTTCCAGGTGAACGACAGAAGGTCCTGAACTGGCTCCTGTCCTACAACCCACTGTGGCTACGGATCGGACTGGAGGTGAGACCAGAGAGACCAGAGAGACCAGAGAGACCAGAGAGACCAGAGAGACCAGAGAGACCAGAGAGACCAGAGAGACCAGAGAGACCAGAGAGACCAGAGAGACCAGAGAGACCAGAGACACAATAAAAAGTGCCATTTCAGGGCTGCGTGTCCTCCCTCTAATAATTCACTCTCTCCTCCTGTCTCTCTCCCCCTCCCCCACCTGTCTCCCCCCTCTCCCCCACAGACTGTGTTTGGAGAGCTGATCTCTCTGGAGGATAATGGAGACACCCTGGGCCTGGCCTGGTTCATTCTGCAGCGTCTGCTCTGGAACCCGGACATTGCTGCTGAGTTCAAGCACAACTCAGTCCCACATCTGTACAGAGACGGTGAGTCACGCGTGTGCAGAGTGGGTTAGTCTTTGCAACAGTAAATAAAGCCTGAGTTTGTTGCTGTTCCGCCCCAGGCCATGAGGAGGCGCTGTCTCGCTTCACTCTGAAGAAGCTGCTGCTGTTGGTGTGTTTCCTGGACATCGCCAAAACCTCACGCATCATAGAACACGACCCCTGTCTCTTCTGTTTGGACGCAGAGTTTAAGGTTTGACACGCAGAGTAACACACTTTAGAGCGACACACTTCAGAGCGACACACTTCAGAGCGACACACTCAGAGCGACACACTTCAGAGCGACACACTCAGAGCGACACACTCAGAGCGACACACTTCAGAGCGACACACTTCAGAGCGACACACTTCAGAGCGACACACTTCAGAGCGACACACTTCAGAGCGACACACTCAGAGCGACACACTCAGAGCGACACACTCAGAGCGACACACTCGGAGTAACAAAATCTTTGTGAGAATCTGTCATGTATTTTGTGTGTGAGCATGAATGAGAAGGAGCCTCATTTGAAGTGTGCGATACTAATAAACTCTCTTCTTCTGCAGTCGAGTAAGGAGCTGCTGCTGGCCTTCTCTCGGGACTTCCTGAGTGGGGAGGGCATCCTGCCCAGACACCTGTCCCTCCTCGGGCTCTCGGTGTCCCACGAACAGAAGCCTCTGGACGAGTTCAGTTTCGCCGTGCAGAATCTGGCGGTCGACCTCAAGTGCGGCGTGCGCCTCGTGTGAGTCTCACATTCAGACGCCATGTTGGCGTTACTCAGACACCATGTTAGCGTTACTCAGACACCATGTTGGCGTTACTCAGACGCCATGTTGGCGTTACTCAGACGCCATGTTGGCGTTACTCAGACGCCATGTTGGCGTTACTCAGACGCCATGTTGGCGTTACTCAGACGCCATGTTGGCGTTACTCAGACGCCATGTTGGCGTTACTCAGACACCATGTTAGCGTTACTCAGACACCATGTTGGCGTTACTCAGACGCCATGTTGGCGTTACTCAGACGCCATGTTGGCGTTACTCAGACACCATGTTGGCGTTACTCAGACGCCATGTTGGCGTTACTCAGACGCCATGTTGGCGTTACTCAGACGCCATGTTGGCGTTACTCAGACGCCATGTTGGTGTTACTCAGCTGCGTGGCGGCGCTGGTCTGGTTTCATTTGGTCTCAACTCTCTCCCCTCAGCCGCGTGGTGGAGCTGCTGGTCCAGGACTGGAGTCTTTCTCAGAAGCTCCGCCTCCCGGCCATTAGCCGCTTGCAGAAGGTTCACAACGTGGACCTGAGTCTGCAGCTGCTGAAGAAGAAAGGCCTGGACCTGAAGGACGACCACGGTGAGAACATGAATCACAACCTCACAATTGGCACATCACAAAGACTGGAATTATTCAAGCTCTTTGCCCTCTGGTCTCTCTCTCTGGTCTTTCTCGCCCTGGTCTCTCTCAATTAAATGCATGTCTGTTTTAGGTTCTGTGATCGAGTCCCGGGACATCGTAGACGGACACAGAGAGAAGACTCTTGCACTCCTCTGGAAAATCATCTTCACTTTTCATGTGCGCACAAACCAGTATTTCTTCTATATTCTCATAGTGTTCTGCTGGTCCTCTCCTGTCTCTCTCCTAGTGTTCTGCTGGTCCTCTGTCTCTCTCCTAGTGTTCTGCTGGTCCTCTCCTGTCTCTCTCCTAGTGTTCTGCTGGTCCTCTGTCTCTCTCCTAGTGTTCTGCTGGTCCTCTCCTGTCTCTCTCCTAGTGTTCTGCTGGTCCTCTGTCTCTCTCCTAGTGTTCTGCTGGTCCTCTCCTGTCTCTCTCCTAGTGTTCTGCTGGTCCTCTGTCTCTCTCCTAGTGTTCTGCTGGTCCTCTCCTGTCTCTCTCCTAGTGTTCTGCTGGTCCTCTGTCTCTCTCCTAGTGTTCTGCTGGTCCTCTCCTGTCTCTCTCCTAGTGTTCTGCTGGTCCTCTCCTGTCTCTCTCCTAGTGTTCTGCTGGTCCTCTGTCTCTCTCCTAGTGTTCTGCTGGTCCTCTCCTGTCTCTCTCCTAGTGTTCTGCTGGTCCTCTCCTGTCTCTCTCCTAGTGTTCTGCTGGTCCTCTCCTGTCTCTCTCCTAGTGTTCTGCTGGTCCTCTCCTGTCTCTCTCCTAGTGTTCTGCTGGTCCTCTCCTGTCTCTCTCCTAGTGTTCTGCTGGTCCTCTGTCTCTCTCCTAGTGTTCTGCTGGTCCTCTCCTGTCTCTCTCCTAGTGTTCTGCTGGTCCTCTCCTGTCTCTCTCCTAGTGTTCTGCTGGTCCTCTCCTGTCTCTCTCCTAGTGTTCTGCTGGTCCTCTCCTGTCTCTCTCCTAGTGTTCTGCTGGTCCTCTCCTGTCTCTCTCCTAGTGTTCTGCTGGTCCTCTCCTGTCTCTCTCCTAGTGTTCTGCTGGTCTCTCCTGGTTAAGTCCTGGTGTCTCCTCAGGTGGAGGTGGTGCTGGACGAGCTGCAGCTGAAGGAGGAGATCTGCTTCTTGAGGAGAACTCTGAAAACCAAACGGCGTCTGGAGGATCTGAGGACCGACCGCGGCCTCCAGCCCAGTCCCAGTCCAGGTCCAGAGAAAGACCATAGAGGCTTTGACCACAGCAGCCCCAAGATCCAGCTGCTCATGGCCTGGGCCAGGGCCGTGTGCAACTTCTACTCCGTCAAGGTGAAAGCATGTTCTCATCATCTGTAAGAAAGCAGGTCTCTGCAGGACTCACTACACTTACATGATGTGCTGTTGTTATGGAGGAGCACTGAGCTCCATTAGGCCTTTAGATCAGGTAGACTTTATACATCTCCCACAGGAGAAAAGTACATGTCACATCTGGCCTGGATAGAAACAGATTGTTTGGGTCCTTTATGTTGGGAATAAAACCAGCTTCTGATGTCAGGATTTGAACCCAGGTGTTTTTCTGCCTCTGGTGAATGATAAAGTTTGATCTCTAACTAAAGCCTGAGGGAAACAATGAAAAAACGTCGACAAACATCTGTAATGGGACCTTTAACAGCGTCCTCCTGTGCCTGGGTGTGTCCAGGTGGAGAACTTGACGGTGTCCTTCTCAGACGGGCGCGTCTTGTGCTTCCTGATCCACCATTACCACCCCGGCCTGGTGCCCGCGGCCTCCATCTGCCTGAAGACCAGCCAGACCCAGGACCGGTCTGCCCGAGGGCGGCTGCAGCTGGACGGGGAGAGCTCCGACTCGGACACCTCCTTCACCTCCTTCACCTCCTCCACCTCCTCCACCTCCACCCCCTGCAGCTCCAGTGGTATTTATGTTTTATATCTTTGTGTGTGATTATGAGGGTCTGAGGAGACGATAGAAGCCGTTATTGTGAGATTCTTTATTCCCTGTTTATAACCTATAACTCTAAGACGTGCCGGCGCTAAGCTAACGCCCAGACGTGCCGGCGCTAAGCTAACGCCCAGACGTGCCGGCGCTAAGCTAACGCCCAGACGTGCCGGCGCTAAGCTAACGCCCAGACGTGCCGGCGCTAAGCTAACGCCCAGACGTGCCGGCGCTAAGCTAACGCCCAGACGTGCCGGCGCTAAGCTAACGCCCAGACGTGCCGGCGCTAAGCTAACGCCCAGACGTGCCGGCGCTAAGCTAACGCCCAGACGTGCCCACCCTAAGCTAACGCCCAGACGTGCCCACCCTAAGCTAACGCCCAGACGTGCCCACCCTAAGCTAACGCCCAGACGTGCCCACCCTAAGCTAACGCCCAGACGTGTTCAGGTTCTTCGTTCAAAGAGCTGCTGGAGAACGAGAAGCAGAACTTCTGTTTGGTGAACAGCGCCGTGAGTTTCCTTGGAGGAGTTCCTGCGATGATCGACGCCACCGACATGTCCAACACCATCCCCAACGAGAAGGTCAGTCCCCAACACCACCCCCAACTTCGGTGTGAGTGACTGTCTTCGGTGTAAGTGACTGTCTTCGGTGTGAGTGACTGTCTTCGGTGTGAGTGACTGTCTTCGGTGTGACTGTCTCCGGTGTGAGTGACTGTCTTCGGTGTGAGTGACTGTCTTCGGTGTGACTGTCTCCGGTGTGAGTGACTGTCTTCGGTGTGACTGTCTCCGGTGTGAGTAATGGTCTTCGGTGTGAGTGACGGTCTTCGGTGTGAGTGACGGTCTTCGGTGTGAGTGACGGCCTTCGGTGTGAGTAACGGGCTTCGGTGTGAGTGACGGTCTTCGGTGTGAGTGACGGTCTTCGGTGTGAGTGACGGCCAGAGAGAAAGCAGAGTCCGAGAGAGAAGAGAGAGAAAGCAGAGTCCGAGAGAGAGAGAGAAAGCAGAGTCCGAGAGAGAGAGAGAGAGAAAGCAGAGTCCGAGAGAGAGAGAGAGAAAGCAGAGTCCGAGAGAGAGAGAGAGAGAAAGCAGAGTCCGAGAGAGAGAGAGAGAAAGCAGAGTCCGAGAGAGAGAGAGAGAAAGCAGAGTCCGAGAGAGAGAGAGAAAGCAGAGTCCGAGAGAGAGAGAGAAAGCAGAGTCCGAGAGAGAGAGAGAAAGCAGAGTCCGAGAGAGAGAGAGAAAGCAGAGTCCGAGAGAGAGAGAGAAAGCAGAGTCCGAGAGAGAGAGAGAGAGAAAGCAGAGTCCGAGAGAGAGAGAGAGAGAAAGCAGAGTCCGAGAGAGAGAGAGAGAGAAAGCAGAGTCCGAGAGAGAGAAAGCAGAGTCCGAGAGAGAGAAAGCAGAGTCCGAGAGAGAGAAAGCAGAGTCCGAGAGAGAGAAAGCAGAGTCCGAGAGAGAGAAAGCAGAGTCCGAGAGAGAGAAAGCAGAGTCCGAGAGAGAGAAAGCAGAGTCCGAGAGAGAGAAAGCAGAGTCCGAGAGAGAGAAAGCAGAGTCCGAGAGAGAGAAAGCAGAGTCCGAGAGAGAGAAAGCAGAGTCCGAGAGAGAGAAAGCAGAGTCCGAGAGAGAGAAAGCAGAGTCCGAGAGAGAGAAAGCAGAGTCCGAGAGAGAGAAAGCAGAGTCCGAGAGAGAGAAAGCAGAGTCCGAGAGAGAGAAAGCAGAGTCCGAGAGAGAGAAAGCAGAGTCCGAGAGAGAGAAAGCAGAGTCCGAGAGAGAGAAAGCAGAGTCCGAGAGAGAGAAAGCAGAGTCCAGAGAGAGAGGAGAAGAGAGCAGAGTCCGAGAGAGAGAAAGCAGAGTCCGAGAGAGAGAAAGCAGAGTCCGAGAGAGAGAAAGCAGAGTCCGAGAGAGAGAAAGCAGAGTCCGAGAGAGAGAAAGCAGAGTCCGAGAGAGAGAAAGCAGAGTCCGAGAGAGAGAAAGCAGAGTCCGAGAGAGAGAAAGCAGAGTCCGAGAGAGAGAGAAAGCAGAGTCCGAGAGAGAGAAAGCAGAGTCCGAGAGAGAGAAAGCAGAGTCCGAGAGAGAGAAAGCAGAGTCCGAGAGAGAGAAAGCAGAGTCCGAGAGAGAGAAAGCAGAGTCCGAGAGAGAGAAAGCAGAGTCCGAGAGAGAGAAAGCAGAGTCCGAGAGAGAGAAAGCAGAGTCCGAGAGAGAGAAAGCAGAGTCCGAGAGAGAGAAAGCAGAGTCCGAGAGAGAGAAAGCAGAGTCCGAGAGAGAGAAAGCAGAGTCCGAGAGAGAGAAAGCAGAGTCCGAGAGAGAGAAAGCAGAGTCCGAGAGAGAGAAAGCAGAGTCCGAGAGAGAGAAAGCAGAGTCCGAGAGAGAGAAAGCAGAGTCCGAGAGAGAGAAAGCAGAGTCCGAGAGAGAAGAGAGAGAAAGCAGAGTCCGAGAGAGAGAAAGCAGAGTCCGAGAGAGAGAAAGCAGAGTCCGAGAGAGAGAAAGCAGAGTCCGAGAGAGAGAAAGCAGAGTCCGAGAGAGAGAAAGCAGAGTCCGGGAGAGAGAAAGCAGAGTCCGGGAGAGAGAAAGCAGAGTCCGAGAGAGAGAAAGCAGAGTCCGAGAGAGAGAGAGAGAGAAAGCAGAGTCCGAGAGAGAGAGAGAGAGAAAGCAGAGTCCGAGAGAGAGAGAGAGAGAAAGCAGAGTCCGAGAGAGAGAGAGAGAGAAAGCAGAGTCCGAGAGAGAGAGAGAGAGAAAGCAGAGTCCGAGAGAGAGAGAGAGAGAAAGCAGAGTCCGAGAGAGAGAGAGAGAGAAAGCAGAGTCCGAGAGAGAGAGAGAGAGAAAGCAGAGTCCGAGAGAGAGAGAGAAAGCAGAGTCCGAGAGAGAGAGAGAAAGCAGAGTCCGAGAGAGAGAGAGAAAGCAGAGTCCGAGAGAGAGAGAGAAAGCAGAGTCCGAGAGAGAGAGAGAAAGCAGAGTCCGAGAGAGAGAGAGAAAGCAGAGTCCGAGAGAGAGAGAGAAAGCAGAGTCCGAGAGAGAGAGAGAAAGCAGAGTCCGAGAGAGAGAGAGAAAGCAGAGTCCGAGAGAGAGAGAGAAAGCAGAGTCCGAGAGAGAGAGAGAAAGCAGAGTCCGAGAGAGAGAGAGAAAGCAGAGTCCGAGAGAGAGAGAGAAAGCAGAGTCCGAGAGAGAGAGAGAAAGCAGAGTCCGAGAGAGAGAGAGAAAGCAGAGTCCGAGAGAGAGAGAGAAAGCAGAGTCCGAGAGAGAGAGAGAAAGCAGAGTCCGAGAGAGAGAGAGAAAGCAGAGTCCGAGAGAGAGAGAGAAAGCAGAGTCCGAGAGAGAGAGAGAAAGCAGAGTCCGAGAGAGAGAGAGAAAGCAGAGTCCGAGAGAGAGAGAGAAAGCAGAGTCCGAGAGAGAGAGAGAAAGCAGAGTCCGAGAGAGAGAGAGAAAGCAGAGTCCGAGAGAGAGAGAGAAAGCAGAGTCCGAGAGAGAGAGAGAAAGCAGAGTCCGAGAGAGAGAGAGAAAGCAGAGTCCGAGAGAGAGAGAGAAAGCAGAGTCCGAGAGAGAGAGAGAAAGCAGAGTCCGAGAGAGAGAGAGAAAGCAGAGTCCGAGAGAGAGAGAGAAAGCAGAGTCCGAGAGAGAGAGAGAAAGCAGAGTCCGAGAGAGAGAGAGAAAGCAGAGTCCGAGAGAGAGAGAGAAAGCAGAGTCCGAGAGAGAGAGAGAAAGCAGAGTCCGAGAGAGAGAGAGAAAGCAGAGTCCGAGAGAGAGAGAGAAAGCAGAGTCCGAGAGAGAGAGAGAAAGCAGAGTCCGAGAGAGAGAGAGAAAGCAGAGTCCGAGAGAGAGAGAGAAAGCAGAGTCCGAGAGAGAGAGAGAAAGCAGAGTCCGAGAGAGAGAGAGAAAGCAGAGTCCGAGAGAGAGAGAGAAAGCAGAGTCCGAGAGAGAGAGAGAAAGCAGAGTCCGAGAGAGAGAGAGAAAGCAGAGTCCGAGAGAGAGAGAGAAAGCAGAGTCCGAGAGAGAGAGAGAAAGCAGAGTCCGAGAGAGAGAGAGAAAGCAGAGTCCGAGAGAGAGAGAGAGAGAAAGCAGAGTCCGAGAGAGAGAGAGAGAGAAAGCAGAGTCCGAGAGAGAGAGAGAGAGAAAGCAGAGTCCGAGAGAGAGAGAGAGAGAAAGCAGAGTCCGAGAGAGAGAGAGAGAGAAAGCAGAGTCCGAGAGAGAGAGAGAGAGAAAGCAGAGTCCGAGAGAGAGAGAGAGAGAAAGCAGAGTCCGAGAGAGAGAGAGAGAGAAAGCAGAGTCCGAGAGAGAGAGAGAGAGAAAGCAGAGTCCGAGAGAGAGAGAGAGAGAAAGCAGAGTCCGAGAGAGAGAGAGAGAGAAAGCAGAGTCCGAGAGAGAGAGAGAGAGAAAGCAGAGTCCGAGAGAGAGAGAGAGAGAAAGCAGAGTCCGAGAGAGAGAGAGAGAGAAAGCAGAGTCCGAGAGAGAGAGAGAGAGAAAGCAGAGTCCGAGAGAGAGAGAGAGAGAAAGCAGAGTCCGAGAGAGAGAGAGAGAGAAAGCAGAGTCCGAGAGAGAGAGAGAGAGAAAGCAGAGTCCGAGAGAGAGAGAGAGAGAAAGCAGAGTCCGAGAGAGAGAGAGAGAGAAAGCAGAGTCCGAGAGAGAGAGAGAGAGAAAGCAGAGTCCGAGAGAGAAAGCAGAGTCCGAGAGAGAAAGCAGAGTCCGAGAGAGAAAGCAGAGTCCGAGAGAGAAAGCAGAGTCCGAGAGAGAAAGCAGAGTCCGAGAGAGAGAGAGAAAGCAGAGTCCGAGAGAGAGAGAGAAAGCAGAGTCCGAGAGAGAGAGAGAAAGCAGAGTCCGAGAGAGAGAGAGAAAGCAGAGTCCGAGAGAGAGAGAGAAAGCAGAGTCCGAGAGAGAGAGAGAAAGCAGAGTCCGAGAGAGAGAGAGAAAGCAGAGTCCGAGAGAGAGAGAGAAAGCAGAGTCCGAGAGAGAGAGAGAAAGCAGAGTCCGAGAGAGAGAGAGAAAGCAGAGTCCGAGAGAGAGAGAGAAAGCAGAGTCCGAGAGAGAGAGAGAGAGAAAGCAGAGTCCGAGAGAGAGAGAGAGAGAAAGCAGAGTCCGAGAGAGAGAGAGAGAGAAAGCAGAGTCCGAGAGAGAGAGAGAGAGAAAGCAGAGTCCGAGAGAGAGAGAGAGAGAAAGCAGAGTCCGAGAGAGAGAGAGAGAGAAAGCAGAGTCCGAGAGAGAGAGAGAGAGAAAGCAGAGTCCGAGAGAGAGAGAGAGAGAAAGCAGAGTCCGAGAGAGAGAGAGAGAGAAAGCAGAGTCCGAGAGAGAGAGAGAGAGAAAGCAGAGTCCGAGAGAGAGAGAGAGAGAAAGCAGAGTCCGAGAGAGAGAGAGAGAGAAAGCAGAGTCCGAGAGAGAGAGAGAGAGAAAGCAGAGTCCGAGAGAGAGAGAGAGAAAGCAGAGTCCGAGAGAGAGAGAGAGCGGAGTCCGAGAGAGAGAGAGAGCGGAGTCCGAGAGAGAGAGAGAGCGGAGTCCGAGGGAGAGAGAGAGCGGAGTCCGAGGAGAGAGAGAGCGAGTCCGAGAGAGAGAGAGCGGAGTCCGAGGGAGAGAGAGAGCGGAGTCCGAGGAGAGAGAGAGAGCGGAGTCCGAGGGAGAGAGAGAGCGGAGTCCGAGGGAGAGAGAGAGCGGAGTCCGAGGGAGAGAGAGAGCGGAGTCCGAGGAGAGAGAGAGCGGAGTCCGAGGGAGAGAGAGAGCGGAGTCCGAGGGAGAGAGAGAGCGGAGTCCGAGGGAGAGAGAGAGCGGAGTCCGAGGGAGAGAGAGAGCGGAGTCCGAGGGAGAGAGAGAGCGGAGTCCGAGGGAGAGAGAGAGCGGAGTCCGAGGGAGAGAGAGAGCGGAGTCCGAGGGAGAGAGAGAGCGGAGTCCGAGGGAGAGAGAGAGCGGAGTCCGAGGGAGAGAGAGAGCGGAGTCCGAGGGAGAGAGAGAGCGGAGTCCGAGGGGAGAGAGAGAGCGGAGTCCGAGGGAGAGAGAGAGCGGAGTCCGAGGAGAGAGAGAGAGCGGAGTCCGAGGAGAGAGAGCGAGTCCGAGGGAGAGAGAGAGCGGAGTCCGAGGGAGAGAGAGAGCGGAGTCCGAGGGAGAGAGAGAGCGGAGTCCGAGGGAGAGAGAGAGCGGAGTCCGAGGAGAGAGAGCGGAGTCCGAGGAGAGGAGAGCGGAGTCCGAGGAGAGAGAGAGCGGAGTCCCGAGAGGGAGAGAGAGAGCGGAGTCCGAGGGAGAGAGAGAGCGGAGTCCGAGGGAGAGAGAGAGCGGAGTCCGAGGGAGAGAGAGAGCGGAGTCCGAGGGAGAGAGAGAGCGGAGTCCGAGGGAGAGAGAGAGCGGAGTCCCGAGAGAGAGAGAGCGGAGTCCAGAGAGAGAGAGAGAGCGGAGTCCGAGGGAGAGAGAGAGCGGAGTCCGAGGAGAGAGAGAGAGCGGAGTCCGAGGGAGAGAGAGAGAGCGGAGTCCGAGGGAGAGAGAGAGAGCGGAGTCCGAGGGAGAGAGAGAGAGCGGAGTCCGAGGAGAGAGAGAGAGAGCGGAGTCCGAGGGAGAGAGAGAGAGCGGAGTCCGAGGAGAGAGAGAGAGAGCGGAGTCCGAGGGAGAGAGAGAGAGAGCGGAGTCCGAGGAGAGAGAGAGAGCGAGAGAGAGAGAGAGCGGAGTCCGAGGGAGAGAGAGAGAGAGCGGAGTCCGAGGGAGTGAGAGAGAGAGAGAGCGGAGTCCGAGGGAGAGAGAGAGAGAGCGGAGTCCGAGGGAGAGAGAGAGAGAGCGAGTCCGAGGAGAGAGAGAGAGAGCGGAGTCCGAGGGAGAGAGAGAGAGAGCGGAGTCCGAGGGAGAGAGAGAGAGAGCGGAGTCCGAGGGAGAGAGAGAGAGAGCGGAGTCCGAGGAGAGAGAGAGAGCGAGTCCGAGAGAGAGAGAGAGCGAGTCCGAGGAGAGAGAGAGAGCGGAGTCCGAGGGAGAGAGAGAGAGAGCGGAGTCCGAGGGAGAGAGAGAGAGCGAGTCCAGAGAGAGAGAGAGCGAGTCCGAGGGAGAGAGAGAGAGAGCGGAGTCCGAGGGAGAGAGAGAGAGAGCGGAGTCCGAGGGAGAGAGAGAGAGAGCGGAGTCCGAGGGAGAGAGAGAGAGAGCGGAGTCCGAGGGAGAGAGAGAGAGAGCGAGTCCGAGGGAGAGAGAGAGAGAGCGGAGTCCGAGGGAGAGAGAGAGAGAGCGGAGTCCGAGAGAGAGAGAGAGAGAGCGGAGTCCGAGAGAGAGAGAGAGCGGAGAGAGAGAGAGCGGAGTCCGAGGGAGAGAGAGAGAGAGCGGAGTCCGAGGGAGAGAGAGAGAGAGCGGAGTCCGAGGGAGAGAGAGAGAGAGCGGAGTCCGAGGGAGAGAGAGAGAGAGCGGAGTCCGAGGGAGAGAGAGAGAGAGCGGAGTCCGAGGGAGAGAGAGAGAGAGCGGAGTCCGAGGGAGAGAGAGAGAGAGCGAGTCCGAGGAGAGAGAGAGAGAGCGAGTCCGAGGGAGGAGAGAGAGCGGAGTCCGAGGAGAGAGAGAGAGAGCGGAGTCCGAGGGAGAGAGAGAGAGAGCGAGTCCGAGGGAGAGAGAGAGAGAGCGGAGTCCGAGGGAGAGAGAGAGAGAGCGGAGTCCGAGAGAGAGAGAGAGAGAGAGCGGAGTCCGAGGAGAGAGAGAGAGAGCGGAGTCCGAGGGAGAGAGAGAGAGAGCGGAGTCCGAGGGAGAGAGAGAGAGAGCGGAGTCCGAGGAGAGAGAGAGAGAGAGCGGAGTCCGAGGGAGAGAGAGAGAGAGCGGAGTCCGAGGGAGAGAGAGAGAGAGCGGAGTCCGAGGGAGAGAGAGAGAGAGCGAGTCCGAGGAGAGAGAGAGAGAGAGAGTCCGAGGGAGAGAGAGAGAGAGCGGAGTCCGAGGGAGAGAGAGAGAGAGCGGAGTCCGAGGGAGAGAGAGAGAGAGCGAGTCCGAGAGGAGAGAGAGAGAGAGCGGAGTCCGAGGAGAGAGAGAGAGAGCGAGTCCGAGGGAGAGAGAGAGAGAGCGAGTCCGAGGGAGAGAGAGAGAGAGCGAGTCCGGAGAGAGAGAGAGAGCGAGCAGAGAGAGAGAGAGCGAGTCCGAGAGAGAGAGAGAGAGAGAGAGCGAGTCCAGAGAGAGAGAGAGAGAGCGAGTCCAGAGAGAGAGAGAGAGAGCGAGTCCAGAGAGAGAGAGAGAGAGCGAGTCCAGAGAGAGAGAGAGCGAGTCCAGAGAGAGAGAGAGCGAGTCCAGAGAGAGAGAGAGCGAGCGAGTCCAGAGAGAGAGAGAGCGAGCGAGTCCAGAGAGAGAGAGAGAGAGAGAGAGAGCGAGCGAGTCCAGAGAGAGAGAGAGAGCGAGTCCAGAGAGAGAGAGAGAGCGAGTCCAGAGAGAGAGAGAGAGCGAGTCCAGAGAGAGAGAGAGAGCGAGTCCAGAGAGAGAGAGAGAGAGTCCAGAGACCAGACTCCACCCACTTCCTCAAATGTTCAGGGACAGACTGGACTCACTTGAGGAAATGGGTGGAGTCTGGAGGGCTCCTGCTTGGTTGGAATGGAAACCCGCAGCCACACTGGCCCTTTTGAAGACCCCTGATTTAGTTCCTCTTAACAAGATTACGTTTTGATTTGAACAAACTTGGACTCACACGTGTCTTTGTCTCTCCACACAGCGTCCTGGCATGCCGTCTGGAGCGAGGATGCCCCACCAGGGAGCGCCCATGGGTCCCCCTGGCCCCCCGTACGGTAGCAGCCCGGCGGTGCGACCCGGCCTGCCTTCCCCCGTGATGGAGCCCAGCAGGAAGAGGCCCGCCCCGTCCCAGCAGGTCCAGCAGCAGCAGACGCAGCAGCAGGCCGTGCAAAACCGAGCCAGAAAGTGAGTCTGACGGAAACCACGGCAACCACAGAATGTCAACTTTTTTTACGACTTATTTACACGCCCACTTTATGTGTCATTTATTTTGTCCATTCCATTTAGTCTTTTAGCTAACGTACTGTTGTTAGTATACGTACTAACAACAATACGTATGTCCCTTATAATTGCTTCTAATTATATTGTTTACCGTTTTCTTACAATGACTATTATTTCACAAATGTATCAAACTTTACTATTCTTACACATTTAAAATCAATGCATACCTTGTTCTCTCTGTAACTGTAGCTAAACTTTGTACATACATAGATTAAGACATCCTTTATTCCCACCAGAGAGGGAGAGACCAGAGAGGGAGAGACCAGAGAGGGAGAGACCAGAGAGGGAGAGACCAGAGAGGGAGAGACCAGAGAGGGAGAGACCAGAGAGGGAGAGACCAGAGAGGGAGAGACCAGAGAGGGAGAGACCAGAGAGGGAGAGACCAGAGAGGGAGAGACCAGAGAGGGAGAGAACAGAGAGGGAGAGAACAGAGAGGGAGAGAACAGAGAGGGAGAGAACAGAGAGGGAAAGAACAGAGAGAGAGAGAGAGAAAGAACAGAGAGAGAGAGAGAGAAAGAACAGAGAGAGAGAGAGAGAGAGAGAGACCAGAGAGAGAGAGAGAGAGAGAGAGACCAGAGAGAGAGAGAGAGAGACCAGAGAGAGAGAGAGAGAGAGAGACCAAATCAATGCTTGTTCCCTCTATCGACTGTAGCTGAACTTTGTTTTCGTTACTTTTTTCCTCACACTCTGTGTTTACTCTTTAGACCGTAGCTGTTTGTTTGTAACGTCTTTTCCGTCTGATGTAACATGAGCCACTTACTTCCTGTCTTGACTGGGAATTGTCAAAATAATAAGATCTATTAAAAATAACAAAAGCGCCTTTACAAATACTAGCAATACTATAAAGTGTAAATTATAAGACTTATCTGATAAAAAAAAACCCTGTAAAATCAAAATTCCCCTTTTCAGGCCGAGTTGTTTTGTAGATGCATCAGCCAGAATTGCTTTGTCGATCCAATCTACTTTAAATTGAAACCGGTCTGACCCTCTGTCTAACTCTGTCTAACTCTGTCTAACCTTATCACTGAGATGGATTAAGGTTCTCCCACCATCAAACAACTTCTGCACAAACTTTAAGCAGTTTACTTTTATGCTTAAATCAACCCAGTGGCTGATTGGGATTCTATATTGTAGCCTGTGTATCGCTTCATTTTGCGACAAAAAATGATTGTGTCAAAAATATATGAGGCTGTTAAAGTATTTTGGTATCAGCAAGTTTTCTATTCCTCCTCGAAGCCAGACTGTGATTGTGGGCGGCTCCTCGTTTTTGTCTTTCACCTTCGGAGATTTCTGCTTTGAATCCTCCTTTATATGTTCACTCCTTCATGTGTCTGGTTCTCCCTTTGTACCATCCATCACTGAGTCACATAGCTGACCACAGACAAGGAAAACGCTTGAGCCTAACACACAAACACACAAACACATGCATACACAGATACACACAAACACATGCATACACACATATACCGAGACACATACATACAGTATACTGTACACACACCACATGCATACATACACACACATGTACACATATGCATATATACACACATACACACACCTAGGCACACACACTCACACACAAATAGACATGGACACATACATTATACACACCACACGCATACATACACAGACATACAGTATATGCACACACACGTATGCAAGTAAACAGACGCATATTTACATAGACACATACTGTACATACTGTATGCGTACATACGCATGTACATATACACACAACACACACACACACACAGGAGAGGTGTGTGGAGCAGGTAGGGTCATTAAAACACAATCGATATGCACACTCAGCTGCCTTTGTCTTCCTCTGTCTCATTCTCTCACTATCTGCAGTGCAATTGATCCACTCGCAATTAAGCGAGCTTGTCGAACAGCCGAGGGGAAATGTTGTCATGGCTCGGACAGTACCCTCCAGTGTCCGACCCCCTACCCCCCCGACCCCACTCCCTCCTGATCAATGAGGCAGGGTGACCCTCCAGGTGCCTGCTCCCACCTCAGCCTGGGAGAGCAGTGTCCTCTACGCTTGGCTCTGGCCCCACAGTGTACATCTGGTTGCGGAGGGCGACTGTCTATGTGTGCGTGTATTTGTGCGTGTGCGTGCATGCTTGTGCGTGTGTGTGTGAGTGGTGTCATTTAGACCTCAAGATGCCAAAAATAGCATCACACTACAGTGGAGTGAAGAGTATGGAAGCACCCCAAACTTTGAAAATCAAATTGCAAATGCTATAGGCAAGGCAAGTTTATTTATATAGCACAATTCATACACAAGGCAATTCAAAGTGCTGAACAAAACAAGAAAGCATTAAAATAAATTAAATTAAATAAATTATCACAGAACATTAAAAAGAAAGATAAAAATATAAAATCCCTCAGTTGTATGCACAGTTAAACAGAACTGTTTTTAACCTGGTTTTAAACATTGTCAGAGAGGAGGCCTGTCTCACATCTTCAGGAAGACTGTTCCAGATTTTAGCAGCATGAATCTGAAAAGCAGCCTCCCCATGTTTAGTTCTGACTCTGGGCACTAACAGGAGTCCAGTCCCTGTGCTCCTCAGAGTCCGGGCTGGTTCATATGGGACTAACATGTCACTAATATATTTTGGTGCGAGGCTATGGAGAGACTTGTACACAAGCAGAGCTGTTTTAAAGTCTATTCTCTGAGCCACAGGAAGCCAGTGCAGAGACCTGAGAACTGGACTAATGTGGTCGTACTTCCTGGTTCTAGTCAGGACTCGAGCTGCTGCATTTTGAATGTACTGCAGCTGTTTTACAGCCTGTTTGGACAGACCTGTGAGCAGGCCATTGCAGTAGTCTAACCTACTGGAGACAAATGCATGGATAAGAATCTCCAGGTCTGCTTTAGACACTATGTTTTTGATCCTGGCAATGTTTTTAGATGGTAAAAAGCTGCTGATGTTACTGATTTGATGTGGCTATTAAAATTTAAGTCTGAGTCCAGTATTACCCCTAGATTTCTGACCTTGATTGAAGGTTTTAGGGAGAGAGACTGTAGTTAAGTAAGTTGTAAGTTTTTTTTTTATTTATATACCGCCTTTTCACTGCAGATCTGAGTCTCAAAGCGGTTTACAATTGTTAATTATGGGCATTTGTCTCTCACTCCACACAGAGATGGGAGGGGCCAGTACAGGAGGCACATGCCAGAACTATTGTACATATTTTTAGTGGTAGGGGAAACCGGAGTACCCGGAGGAAACCTACGCAGACACGGGGAGAACATGCAAACTCCACTCAGAAAGACCCTGGTCCGACCGGGATTCGAACCCAGGACCTTCTTGCTGAGAGGCGAGAGTGCTATCCACTCAGCCACCGTGTAGGTGAGGTGACAGATGACGCTCTCTCTTTGTTTCTGGGGACCAAAGACAATCATTTCAGTTTTGTCTGCGTTTAGCTGAAGGAAGTTGTTTTGCATCCACTCACTGATCTGTTGGATACAGTGAAGGAGTGAGTCCACTGGTCCATGTTCCCCTGCAGTCAGTGAGACATAGATCTGAGTGTCGTCTGCATAGTTATGATAGGAAACTTCGTTTCTGCGTATTAACTGACCTAACGGCAGCATGTAGAGATTGAACAGAAGAGGTCCCAGGATCGACCCCTGTGGTACTCCACAGGTCAGGGCCATATGATCTGAGACACAGTTTCCAATCTCCACAAAGTACTTCCTGTCTTCAAGGTAAGACCCAAACCAACTTAGGGCGGTGCCAGTGACGCCAACCCAGTCCTCTAGTCTCTGTAAGAGGATCTCATGGTCGACAGTGTCAAAGGCAGCACTCAGATCTAACAGGATTAGGATTGAGACTTTGCCTGCGTCAGTGTTCAGCCGGATATCGTTTGTAACCTTAACGAGAGCAGTCTCAGTGCTGTGGTGGGGTCTAAAGCCGGACCGAAACATATCAAATGAGTTGTTGATTATAAGAAATCTAGTAAGCTGTAGGTAGACAACTTTCTCAAGGACTTTCCCCATAAATGGCAGATTTGAGATGGGACGATAGTTGTTAAGTACCGTAGCATCCAGACTGCTCTTTTTTAGCAGGGGCCTGATGACTGCAGTAGTAGCTGCTATAGTTCACGTGCTGCTAACATATGTTGAAATATCATGAGAGAATCATTTTGGGTTAAAACTAAACTAAAATTCAATTCGTTTAGGCAAAGACAATGTTACCACAAGCCAATGAGTTAAATATGAGGTTATGTGAGGTCATGTGAGGTGCGATTAAGCTAACACTGAATTTTAGAATAGAAAAGAGTAAAGGTTATTGTCATTTGAGGACATTTTTTCTTGGATTCACATTAAGTCATTGCAAAAAAACATGTAGAAAAGATTTACCAAATATTTGACCATCAACATTCATAATTCTCACAAAAGAGCATGTTCTAAGTACTGTATTTATTTTGTCCACCACAGCTCTGTTAGCAGCGCTTTCACTCAAATATAGCCTGACCAAACTGCTTTTAGTTTTATGTTCTGTTAACAACACTACCGCACAGCCTTGACCCTCTTTTTCTTCACTTTTGGCGTTCACTTTCTAATTGTATCACTTTAGACTGTGTTTTACGATCTTTGTCAAATCCCAGCTCAGGTTTGACTCTATCTGTTCCTATCTGAGCCCTTAGACCCCAGAATCACCACTAGCACTCATCCCATCTCGTCCAAGCTGCCCCTCCGTCCATTATCAATGTAGTGTCTGTGCGTGTGTGTGAAGCATGCTTATTTTGGCTCACTCAGACACACCCCGGAGTCTCAGATCAACAATGAAGGCCTTCTGTAGGTGCATGGACACACACTACACAACCCATACTTGTAAGAATACACTCAAACCCACTCTAAACTAAACCCAAAGTCCTGCCCCTATAACCTCCTTCCAAGTTGTTCATATGTACATTTCTAACGGTACAACCTTGAAATTTCAAACCGTAGGAAGCCGGTCGGATTCCCAGGAGCCAATGAGATGCCGGCGAGGCAGATGGACATGAGAGAGCCCCAATCAGATCCCACGCTCGGATCAAAGTAGGAGTTCATTCTGCTGCATGTCCGTTTTTCTCCCTGCTTTGGTCCTCATGGCCTCAGTCCCTCTTCCACTGAGCCATGGCTCCCTCCAGGGCCGGTGTTTGCCCACACAGACGCAGACGTTTGGTTCCTGACAGTAGTGATGCATGCTTTGGACTGGAGCATGGCATGATGGAAACAGACTGTGCACCTTGAAGGAAAACTGAGCCTTTTCAATCCCTGACGTTGGTGTCGAAGCTTGTGGTGCAGATGTTTCTTTCCCGTTTGAAATGCACTCTCCAAATGATCCGTTTTTAGATTGGGGCATGCAGTCCTAAGCAGAGAGTGAAGGTGCTAACGAGACAGTGTGTTATAATTAGTGCTGCAAACTGTGTTTAGTTTATTACTGTCCTGCTCACTCTGGTATCAGAGCCTGAGATCCACTACGGCTGCTTCAGTCCCAGTCATATGTTTAACTTGAGTATTACCTGAATGAAGTCAGTCAAATGTCTCACTGTGATGTGGTCAAAAGGACAACTGCATGAGCAGAATGTTTTTCTAATATTTTTCGTCTTTAGATATTCATCGTGTTGAAAAATCAGGTCTTCTTAATATTAGCACAGTCTAAAGTATTCGAGGACAAATACAAAGCAGTTAAAGTATAGTTCCTTGTGAGTGCTGGGTTTGTGTGTCCTTCCCTTCAGTGTCCTCTGTTAGCCTGATAGTGTGCGCTGCTGCCCTGAGCCCACATCTGAACTTCACTGGAGCTTCTCCAAAGGCCTGTGACGCCAGTGCTGCTGTAATGAGCTGCACTTCCACAAAGACCTTCACAGAAGCACAGACTGTGTCTGGCCACAGTGTACTGCATGTCAAAACTTCTACTACTGAGTGTGTAGTAGTGGGTGTTTTTGGTCTCACTGGATCACAGCTTTATGCATCAGCCGCAGAGCCGCGATGCATACAGCGACCCGCTGCTCATTCAGTGCAGTGGGAGAACTCAATGCATGGAATTTTACAAAAGTGTTTTGCTCTTTAAGACACTGAGAAACACACACAACACTAAAATCCATTCACTTGTTTTTGGTTTCATGGTAAGTATCAAAACAAACAAATTACATGGAAATAATTTGTCAATGACAAAACATTGGCTCCTTCTCTTTCTCTGAATATCTGTGTTCCTAAAACCACTGGAGTGTGCCGAGCTTAGGATTCGATGTGACATTTTTTGGCCGTTAGAGGCAGCTTTCTCCTCCAGGTACACTGCTGTATTTTAGAGCCATGACACACACACACACACACACACACACACACACACACACACACACACACACACACACACACACACACACACACACATGCACACAGCTGGGGTGCTGGATATGGCCCAGCATTTTAGCAGATGGCCTGGGTGCTACGCTATCAGTCACCATAGTAACATGCTCTCTTTTTCCTCTTTCCCTCTGTCTTTCTCTCCGTCTCTGTAGTGCTAAGAGAAGGAAAATGGCAGACAAGATTCTTCCGCAAAGGGTGAGGCTGCATATTTTTACCTTTGTTGTTGTTTGTTTTTATGTTTGTCATTATTATTGCATGCGCCACTGCAGAACAATCCCAATCTCAGGGGGAGCCAGCTTTTCCAGCCACAGAGGGCCATAGCATTAACTGTGATTTTCCAAAAAACAAACAGGGACGAAAGGTACAAAAAGGAGGTTGTTTAGCGAGAAAGAAATATATTAATTTAGACCCGAAAAAGCCAGACCGTCTGTCCGTCATGTGCCAATGGGATAGCAGCATTTGTTTGCGTTCGGACCTTTATTGTGAGAACATAGAGTCCAAAATCTTATCCCCTGCTATTGCCCAGACAGGATAGATAGCACGGCTTCGGGGCGCCACGCCACTTCACTATAATGAGTCACGGACAGGGAATGTCTGCCACTCGGGGCTGTCTGCTCGCTTGGCACCTTGTCCCGCCGAGAGCCAGAGAGATGGAGATAGGAGAGGAATGACAGGGAACAATGAATGCCTCCATTTAAGTGAAAAAAACCCAGAAGAAATGAACTGAGCCTTGATGCTGGGAGGAACTCTGAGTGATATGGTAATGTGAGCGTTGGCTGCATCTCATTTGGACCGCTCCCCCCTCCTGCACCTCCCTCTGTGTGTCCGCGGGATGGAGTCGACCTGCCGGATTATGATGGACCGAGCAATAGCTTAGGGAGGTTCACGGCTCTCCTCCTGAGCAAGTCGTAATAAGAGAGAGCAGCGGTGGAGAGAGGAACGATCTGTCAGGCTCACGGCACAGATCTGAGAGGTTTATTTTAGTGGGACTCTCATCGTTCACCGCTGTGGACGTTCTGTGCAGGTGTGACACAGCTGTTTGTGAAGCAGCTGAAGTAGTTATACGACAATACTGATATACAATACTAGAATAAAGACCTGTGTCGATAGTTCAGCAGCTTCTTTACATTTTTGTCTTATTAGAAGAATCATCTAAGCTTTAATATCCATAGTTCAATGGGACTGTCACAATATACGCAATGATACTCAATGATTGTGTTGTCAGTCTCTAGCATTTGTCACTGAGAGAAAAGCTTCTTATGTCTTTGACAGATAGATACACATATACAGCCAGTACACATTTCACAATTCAGAAAGTTCTATTGTTGTGTCTCTACTAAAATCATATTTAATGTAATCTCACTAGCTTATATCTCAAAACATTAAGGCGGCACAGTGGCTGAGTGGATAGCACTCTCGCTTCTCAGCAAGAAGGTCCTGGGTTCGAATCCCGGTCGGAACAGGGTCTTTCTGAGTGGAGTTTACATGTTCTTCTCCCTGTGTCTGCCTAGGTTTCCTCAGGGTACTCCGGTTTCCCCTACCACTAAAAACATGTACAATATATCTTGTGTGTCTTTGTGTGTCTCTTTTGCTTATATCTCCCACTGGTCTGTGACAAAGAAACAGTGCAGTGAAAGTGAATGTTACTGTGTTCAGATCCGTGAGCTGGTGCCAGAGTCCCAGGCCTACATGGACCTTCTGGCCTTTGAGCGGAAACTGGACCAGACCATCATGCGCAAGCGGGTGGACATACAGGAGGCGCTCAAGAGGCCCATGAAGGTAAATGCATTCAATTGTGATATTATGTGCATGCAATTAAATCGTTTTATTTTCATATTTATTTAAGTGTTTGCACTACCCTTGGTGTTTGCTTCAGTTAATGTGCGAAATATATTTTCTATATCGAAATAATTGTGGTCCAAATATTGCAATACTATAGAATTGTCATATTTTTGCCAGTTCCCACCCCGATATAATACTTATTTTAATATACCTAAACACTGAATTCTATCCACAGCAAAAGCGGAAACTCCGACTCTACATTTCCAACACGTTCAACCCCGCCAGGCCCGACGCAGACGACTCCGACGGCAGCATTGCATCATGGGAGCTGCGTGTGGAGGGGAAACTGCTGGACGATGTGAGCAACAAGCAAATTTATATGGTTTTAAGATGAATTTGTGTTTAAAGCCGGGGTACCTAACTTTGCTGTTCTATAGATACTGACTGTCGTTTGTCGCCACAGAAAGAGTCTTGTCAAAATGTCTGTATCTTAGTAGAAAACATATATTTCTGCATATATGTGAGACAACTAACCCTGTGAGTCACTATTTGACTTTTTGGGCTGAGAACTGATTGGTCCTCTCTTTTTCACATTTCTGTCTGAAAAAGTTGAAAGAGATAAAGCAAAAACACGTGTATGAAAATTAGCGATAACTGTTTTTAGAGCTAAGTTTGTATTACGTAGTTCAAAAACTGTAAAAGTCAGGTACCCCATCTTTAAATGAATGAAGGTGTTTTTGCAAATATTGCTCGAACTTATGATCATTGCCGTTGAAAAGTGAACTGCACAGAGCCGAAAACACAGACAGGCTGATACTTTTTATGATAAATTATATATGTATATGAATTTCACGTTTATCATTTATTCTATTAAGTATAAATATGTATTCACACACACACACACAAAGGGATTGAAAATAAGTACAACATTTCTCACTTTTTACAGTCACCACGTCACTAGCATTTCTTCCTTGGATTACACATTGTTTATAGTTGATTTAAATAAATAAAAGCCGTGATGTTTGCCATGAACAGAGCAGCACAAAACACGAATGCTGGGTCTGAGCCGGAGGCAACATTCTCTCAAACCACATGTTTTTCTGCTGGGCCTGAGAATGCTGCTTCTTTTCAGGGTTTTGTGACTAATACAACTCTGAGATCATCGATGTGGTGTCACTGCATTCTGCTCGTGTCTCTTTCAGCCTGGGAAGCAGAAGAAGAAGTTTTCCTCCTTCTTCAAGAGCCTGGTCATCGAGCTGGACAAAGAGCTGTACGGTCCAGACAACCATCTCGTGGAGGTCAGAGGCAACACGGCTGCAGATTTGAGAACTAAACAAGTATAAATATTTCACTGACCCAGTTCATTCTGGACCAATAATGCATCTTGGTTTTTTTATACAGCGCCTTTTTTTTTGGTCACTTTGCATGTTTTTATTCATTCACTCCATACACGGTGGTGATAAACTTCTATTGTAGCCACAGCTGCCCTGGGGCACACTAACAGAAGCGACGATTGGCCCCCCTCACTACCACCAACCATTCACTCACACACCAGTCTCATTCTAGGCAATGTGGGTGAAGTGTCGTGCCTAAGGACACATTGCTTAGCTCCAGAGGTCTCCCATCAAAAAACTAACCAAGCCCTGCCCTGCTTAGCTTCAGAGGTCTTACAGGATGTGGTTTTCATCTGCAAATATTGCTATTTTTTTACTCCGCTTTAAGGTGTTAGTGTAAAAAACTGTGAATTTCTATCCTTTAAACACATCTTTTAATAAAATATGGTTTGATAAAAGCTGTGTCCTTCAACACTGAAAATTAAATAGTTTCTTCCTCTTTGAATATGAACTTTTGGGATCAGCAGCTTGTCTGTGTAAGTGCTTTACTCGTTAAAACAAACTGTTGTCCTTCGCTCTGATTTGAACAAAACATATTTACTAGAAAGCCCACTTTAGGAAGTTATCCAGTGAAAATGACGACTTCAAGGTTTTCTGTTTTGGGAGTGTTTTAGCGGCACTCAGCCATCAGGGATCAATCAGCCTGATGTGAGTCACTGCTGAACTCGGGCTGCAGGCTCTGGATGCACACTGCTCTGGAGGGTAGAGTCCGAGTCCGAGTCCGAGTCCGAGTCCGAGTCCCTAACTGTCCCGATGCAGTGCCGCTTTATAAAGAGTGGAACAACAAGGACTCGTCTCAGTGATGTCTGTCTGTCAATTTACAGTCACATAATGAGTGCATGTTTCTGTTACAACATGTCAGTAAATCCAAGTATAGATATTACCCAACACCATAACATTGAACTATCAAAAACATAAAGATATTAAAAAAGGAAAATCTTGTATCGTTGAATAAAACTAATCGGTGTAGTATATGTACTTTAATCTAAAACATGTTTATCTATAACTGCAGTATCTGGGTGGACTGGTGCAGGAGTCTATAGGCACAAATATTATTCATGATTTATGTCATGAAGTCTAATCTATTTGTCCTTAAGCAACACGCATCACACTGCATTATGTCATTCATGCATTTTCATTTCTTACACACACAAAAAAAAAAACCTGTAAAGATATACTCTAGACCAGGCATGTCCAAAGTCAGGCCCGGGGGTCAAATGCGGCCCTCTGTGTCATTTCATGTGGCCCTCTGCCTCGCTAACCCGAAGTAGTCTTTGAGATCATGGACACAAGTTCACTGTGTCATCCATCCAACTTCAGCTCAGCCAATATAGACGTTCTAAATCCCGGTTCGTCTGGAGTTCAGTCGTTGACATTTGAGCTGGTGAGATGGTAAACATTTGTCATTCAGCCAACTTCAGCTCTGTTATAGATCATCATACAGCTCAGAACAGCCCAGTGCCAGCAAGTTTTTGAGTCCGTGATGTCGGCCCCTGGACTAGTCTGGTGAACTAAAGTGGCCCTCTTACTATGATGTTTAGACACCCCATCTAGACTGTCACGCACACAGACACACAGACACACAGACACACGCGCACACACACACACATGTTCCTTACAGACAGTGAAACAATTAGCGCTCATATCTCTCAGAGGCTTCTCCGGTTTGAGGTCAGCGAGCTTCTGTTAATGAGGCTCTAACCGAGTGTGAAACCCACTGTGCAGAGACACGGCCGACGTTCAGGGGCCGGCGGCTGCGGCGAGGAGGCTGTGACTCACTTCCTGCTCTTCTCTGATTGGTCCTTTTTTAGTGGCACCGCACGCCCACCACGCAGGAGACGGACGGGTTCCAGGTGAAGAGGCCCGGAGACGTGAGCGTCCGCTGCACCCTGCTGCTCATGCTGGACTACCAGGTGAGTGTACCAGTGACCACCTGCTGTGTGGTCAGGGAAAATAAAACAAGAATATTGCTCAAATTTGGTTAAATGTTTTGAATATGCCTTAAAACAAGATATACCAATGTAATCGTCTTTGTTTTGATTTTTAACCACTTTATAACAGTCTCTCAGTCATACATCGTGGTGTGAGCAGGTGAATTATATCTAACATTGTGTGTGTGTGTTTGTGTGTGTTCAGCCGCCACAGTTCAAGCTGGACCCGCGTCTGGCCCGTCTGCTCGGCATCCACACCCAGACCCGCTCCTGCATCATCCAGGCGCTGTGGCAGTACGTCAAGACCAACAAGCTCCAGGACTCCCACGACAAGGAGTACATCAACTGTGACAAGTACTTCCAACAGGTGAGCGGTCCTGGGTCCCGGGTCCTGGGTCCTGGGTCCTGGGTCCTGGGTCCTGGGTCCTGGGTCCTGGGTCCTGTGTGCTGTGTAAGAAGTATAAATAAATAATGAAATACAATAGAGTTGCTGACATCGTCTTTAAAAGGAAGAAGAATGCTATTACACTGCAAAAAGTGATGAAAAATAAGTAAAATACTGCTCAAATTTGGTAAAATGTATAAGAAATGACAGAAATTGGATGAAAGAAAATGTCATGTACATTTCTCCATTGAGAAATCAGTAAAGTTTATCTTATCTTAAATATTTCCTCGTATTTGATCATTTTTGGCAGTGTATTTGGTGTGTGTGTGCGTCGTATGAGTGATGGGAGGGATTTCTTTGTTTTTTAAGTTGTATTTTACTAAACGACTACTTCTTTGTCCAGATTTTTGATTGTCCGCGTCTGAAGTTTTCTGAAATCCCGCAGCGTCTGACGAACCTGTTGTTGCCTCCAGACCCCATCGTCATCAACCACGTCATCAGGTGAGCTCTGGTTCTCTCCTGGTTTCTGAGGCTCACACTGGACCAGTCTCTACATCCATTTCTCTTTGACTTTGTAAAATATAAAAGGATTTTACAGAGCAGGCATGTCAAACTCAGGCTCATGGGCCAAATCCGGCCCAAAATACTTTTTTAGTGGCCCCTAACATGATATTTTAATTATCAATATTAACTTGCAACATTTATGGTAATGACGACCATGGCATGTTATACATCATCTATAATCTCAGATAACTAACCGCATTCAGTTCATTGGTAACACTTAACCCCACTAATGAACAGCTAATTAAATGTTTGTTATTGTACCCTAATCCTGACCCACACGGGAAAGTGTCACTTAGTTAGTTAGTTAAATGTTGAATAAGGTCATGTTGAAGAGGGACTATGAAAGGCTTAATCAATACCAATTAAGAGCTACATAACCCACAATTATACACATATTAGCACTTAATTAGCTGTTAATTAGTGAGGGCTAATCTAAAGTGTTACCAGTTCATTCTATAATTTTAACCCAACACATCACTAGAGGTATATAAAACAATATATTTTTTACTTAATATTTTGTCCAGTTTTGGTTATATCCAAATAATAAACACAAGACAAATAAGAGTAATGTCAGAATATCTTCATAATGTAAAAACCATGATCATTTATCCTTTTGGCCCCGACCTGCTCCTCTTTTGTTGCTGCTCGGCCCCAGACCAAGATGAGTTTGACAGCCCTGATTCACCGCATTAAGCCTGGACTCTTATCAGTAATGTTGACCCCATGATTTGTCATTTTCAAAAGTCTTCTTCTTGTACAGAGAGCATCAGACTTCTCAGGCAAATTTGATAGTGACCGCGTAAGTGTTGCAAAAGAACACGTTTCAATACACATATATTTAACCCTGAGAAAAACCAATGCTTTGATAGTGTTGACATTTGTGTTGGTTTGTGTTAGTTGCATCGGGCAGATATCTGAAGTGTGACTGTTTTTCTGTGTTCAGTGTTGACCCCAATGACCAGAAGAAGACGGCCTGTTATGACATCGACGTGGAGGTGGAGGACCCTCTGAAGAGCCAGATGAGCAGCTTCCTCTTGTCCACAGCCAACCAGCAAGAGATCGCCTCCCTCGACAACAAGGTGAGTTCATTCTGTCTGTATTATTATCATTATTATTTGTTATAATTATTTCGATTTTAATAATTTTTTTATTATTTTATTATTAATGGGTTTTTTTAGTATTATTTTTTAAATTTTATTCAAATATTTTTATTAATTTTTATTTTATTTATTATTTACATTTTATTTTATTTATTATTATTATGTATTTATTTGTATTTTTATATTTTTATCATTTTGTTGTTGTTTTATTTTATGGGAAAAGTCCCATTGAGATTAAGAACCACTTTTTCAAGGGAGTCCTGGACAAGGGACAGCAAAAGTTACACACAGTTACATACAATTACACATTATAAAAAGCTACACAATCTCTTAAAATTTATTATAAAAAACAGTTACAAGGTCACGGCTCCTGTGGCGTCAGCACCTGCAGGAGGATCAGTGAGGGGCTGGTGCTAAGTGTGCTGGGTGCAGCTCTGACGGCCACCCCCCGACCCAGAGATGGATTAAGGGGAAGAAAATGTATGGATGGAGAAACAGTTCGATGTCAACGAGAATGTCTCCAGTGCTTTCAATCTGGATTTAAAACCATTCAATAAAATAAGTTTGGTTCATTTCCAGTCTTTTTGCAGCAACTTCCCTGTAAAAAGAGCATATACAAAAGTGTTTTTTCCAGTTCTGTGCGGGTGATGGGAACAGGGAGCAACAAAAAAATTATTTGGCTGCAAACCGTAAGAACCAACATCCTTCTGTGTGATTAAATGACAGATGTAGGAGCGCAGTAGCTCCAGTGTCTGACCTCCTGCTGCACAAAGACAATCCCATCATTGGTTCTGTTTGAATTCAATCCAGTTTATTCTGACATGGCCCAAAATCACAACAGCAGTCGTCTCGGATCAGAGAATCAAACTGTTCCAACGCAGGAAATGCAGTAATAACAAACACATTGAGTCGCAGGATGACCACCGTCCAGAAATGTCCCGGATCCTCGCTGTCCCTGTGGGGGAGGAAATATGTGAGAAACCTCGGTCGGAGAGGCCCATATTTGAGAGAGGGATCTACTCCCACGGGCGGACGGGCTGTGGATCCAGGACCAGGACTGAGGCTGTGGAGCAAAACTGATTCGTGCTAAAAAAAAACCTTCAAAATATATATATTAAAGCTGAGGTACCTAACTTTCAAACCACACAATTATGAACTACAGTCTGTACAAAAATCCTTCAAACTAGTTCCTGTTTCTTAAACCGTTTGCTTCTATGACTAGTTTTCACAGACATGTATTTTTGGCCTCACACATTTTAAGATCAGATTCTTCCAGCCTCAGCCAATCCGCTGCCAGCCCCAAAGCGACAAATAGTGACTCACAGGGCTCACATAGCGCTAAGATGGCATGTTGTGGTCGGTTTCGTTCACAACATCTCACTCTCACAAAACTCTTTCCGTCGACGTAAACAAAATGTGCAATTCATGAAACGGCAAAGCTAGGTACCCGAGCTTTAATTTGCCGTATTTTTCTTTCTTTCAGATTCATGAGACCATTGAGTCCATCAACCAGCTGAAAATCCAGAGAGATTTCATGCTGAGTTTCTCCAGAGATCCCAAGGGCTACATCCAAGACTGGCTCAAGTCCCAGAGCAGGGACCTTAAGGTGACTATCAATAACGTGCAATAGGTGCAATATACAACCACAATATACAACCCTCTTCAAGGTCTATTGGAGGATTTTCCCAAATTAAAGGAAAGCTCTCCACTTGTTGATCAAAGCTCTATGGTCTTATTTGACAAGCCCATATCACCAGAATGATTGACAAGTGGGAGGACCAATAGTCTTGATGATCCACCATCCTATATACTTTTAATTCTTGCTGCTTCTTTATTTAGATTTTAGATTTGCTTGTTGACTTTAGTATAGAGTTAATTTACCTTGAACCCCACTTTGGGCCGACTCTTCTGTAACTGGTAATGCAACACTGACATTTCCCCACTTTGGGCCAAATAGAGAATATCTTGTAATGTGAATCAAACCTGAATTATCAAATGTCACTACATAGAATTAAAGGAATAGTTCACCGTTTTTACATACTGACATATGTTCTTACCTTACCTTAGACTAGTTAATATGTACCTGTCTGGTCTTAGTCCGTGCGCTCTGTCATGCAAACGGAGCAAAAACGGGAGCACAAACGCAGCCTCCTCTGTATACTGTATAGTACCCAAAAGGTAGCTCCCGCTAGAAGCTACCAAACTCTTCCAAGTGTTCCCTATTAAATGTATATAGTTACGTGACGTGTTACACTTCAAAGTATAGTAACACAGAAATGTAACGGAGACTTCTCTCTACTACTGTGTGTACTACAAGTCACGCTGCTTCTATTGACGGAAGTGAGCGAGAGAGAAGTCTCCGGAGAGAAGTTAGTGCGCGGACGTAGCGCTCCTCAGATTACTACGCCTCACAATATAGTACCGGGGCGACAGTAGTTCAGTTGGTAGAGCATTGGCCTTAAGCCCAGAAGGTCGTGGGTTCAATTCCCACCTCTGCACCTTCTCCACCGACTCCCACTGATGACTGCTGTCGTTGTGTCCTTGGGCAAGACACTTAACCCCACTTTGCCCAAAGCTCCCACTGAAAGATCAAGGCTATGCTCACACTCAGAGAGCAGCCGTCCTCCTGTGGACTCACCACCTGCAGAGGGTCAGTGAGGGGCTGGTGCTATGAGACTTGGGTGGCATCTCTGATTGCCACCCCCCTGACCCAGAAATGGATTAAAGGGTAGAAAATGGATGGATGGATGGACAATATAGTACCCGTTTTATCCGCTGAGAAAATCGACTGTTACATTTCTGTGTTACTACTGTATACTTTGCAGTGTAACACGTCACGTAACTATATACATTTAATAGGGAACACTTGGAAGAGTTTGGTAGCTTCTAGCGGGAGCTACCTTTTGGTCCTACACAGTATACAGAGGAGGCTGCGTTTGTGCTCCCGTTTGTGCTCCCGTTTTTGCTCCGTTTGCATGACAGAGCGCACGGACTAAGACCAGACAGGTACATATTAACTAGTCTAAGGTAAGGTAAGAACATATGTCAGTATGTAAAAACGGTGAACTATTCCTTTAACTTATTACAATATTGTACAGAAAAATCTTATAAATTCCCTCCCACATTCTCACAGTTAAAACTACCTTTTTTGGGGAGAGAATTGTATCCTTTCTGAACCACTACGACCACATCTCGCACGCTTCGTTCACTATAAAAACCCGTTGTCGTTGGCAGCTGATGACCGATGTGGTGGGGAACCCTGAGGAGGAGCGCAGGGCCGAGTTCTACCACGAGCCCTGGTCCCAAGAAGCCGTCAGCCGCTATTTCTACTGCAAGGTGAGACTGTGGCCCCCTGTGGATCGTGTGCCACTGTATCGTTTACAGACGTGTTCCTTCAGCGCTATTCAGAGGAGATTCGTTTTTCAGGGGTTTTTTTAGATCAAGAAAAGTCTGTATTTCACCAGTATTTTTGCTTCATGGTTTTTGGAGCAGGATTTCTCTCCCTCTTGGACGTTTTCTGTCTGTTTGTTGAAACTAGGCTCTGAACAGTCGTGGGAAGTGAAAGTCCACCTGCCAAGCCCGAGATGAGATTTAGAATTTGATTGGCTTCGGGAAAGAGTTGGAAATTATGAAAGATTATTACAAACATATGCACAGGCCCTTTTTAAAGTTCATAATCAGATTCAGATACTGTATTTATCCCATTAGGGGCAATTATTTTGAGCAGCACATGGAGAAAAACATGAAAACACAAGAAATGTCAAACAGTGACATTGACTAAAATCATTGATCATCTTGCTCTGTATTCTATGTCTTCTGGAGATAGTTTTTTGACAATCTTTCTATCTCAATTATCTCCAAATGGCCTCTAAAATCTTGGTATTTATCTTAATCTCCAAAGTAAGGATTTACCTTGAAACTGTCTCGTTTAACTGTCTCTAGATTCAAGAATTTATTCCATTCCATTTGCAGTAAAACCACATTGGAAAAACTGCAAGACAACCCCAGTGTGCACCAGATTTACTGTAGCCATAACCATAATTCTAAACGTTACCAGACTCTTAATTTAACGCTTCTGAATTTGTAAATAAAGAATTATGTGAATTTGAATAAGGAATACATTTGCCCCAAGCCCAGGGCGGGATTAGTCCCATCACCAAATATTAGAATCAGAAATGAATAGAGCTTTATGTAGGATTTTAGAACATTTATACTATCATAATATGCAGGATTTTTGAAGAGAATAATTTCAATCTTGTCTGTGTCTTTTGGCAGTTTCAGAGTCATTTCTTGACCCAAAATCTTACTTAGTGCAGCGTTAACCTCTGTGGCTTTCCCCGTTTCCCCTCCACAGATCCAGCAGCGGAGGCAGGAGTTGGAACAAGCCCTGGCGGTCCGCAACACCTAAGCTCCCCGCTCTGCTCCGGTCTGATCTCTGGACGAAGAGGCCCGTCCTCATCCTGGTTCCCTACATGCAGGACTCGTACTGGGGAGGCCATAGCTCTGCATGTGTCTAAACTTCCGGCTTCGACACCGCGTCCTTGTGAACTCCTGTAAATACTTTTTCAAACCTCATCTCAAACATGTAGTCGACTGTATTATATCAACAGCCTTTTTTTTTTTTATTCAGCGCGAAGCCGAGAGCGTCGAGGTGCAGTTTTTTTTTTCCGCGTTTCCAAATGATATTCACCAGCAGGGTTGACGTCACAGTCTGGCACAGTCACGGGAATATGAAGTCGAGCCGAGTTTAGAACAAAGGTGTGGAGTTACTGCTATGAAAGAATCAATAATCAGATAGCTCTTGCTTTTAAAACTCGCAACGCCAGTATTATTAATAACTAGTGTTGTCGCCGTTAGCACCTATAGTCTCCTTTTGAAGGAATACGTTTTTCTTCCTCAATCATTGAAAAGTTCTAGACTTGAAGATTTTATTTTTTCTGTTGTCGTCGTCAAAATCACTCACTGCCTCTTCCTCGTGTCGTGTTTAAATGTGCTGACAGTGTTACCAAAGGTTGCAACAAAAGAAGAGTCGTAATGGTCGATGCACGTTCGGGGTCAGCTGAAAATTCTGCCTTTTTGAATCTTCCACGTGTAGCATTGTTAGTCAGTATTTCTCCCAAATATGTCCCAGTTAGACCTCAGCCAATTTTTAAAGGTACGCCCGACTGCATTTGTCCATTAACCTGCTTTTTTTGTCACTTTTTGTTGTTTTTTTAAGAGATGTGAATGTAAATAGTTCCCTTTAAGAGGGTCAGCTGTACAATAATCGACAGACTCTTTGTGTTTGGGTAGGATCGGGGAGGAGGGCTGTAGGATCGGGAACATGCCTTTTTTTTTTTTATTGTTCCTGCATGTACTATTGAGGCTTCATTTTAAAGCTGAGGTACCTAACTTTCAACCCATTAAAAAAAAACGTATGTAATGTCTTTTCTAGTTCATCTCTCTCAAAACAGTTTCTATCGCTTGTTTTTGCATGCGTGGTATTTTTGGCCTCCGTCACAGTTTTACTTTGGCGTTTTCAGGCAAAAACGCGAACACCAATTGGACCAAGCTCACTCTGCCAATCAGACCTCAGCCCAAAGGGTCAAATAGTGACTCACGCAGAGCTTTTTCTTACAAGCATGCGTGTTTTTCTAATGAGAGGAAGGCAACATTGTGTATTCGTAAATGTATTATTCAGGAAACAAATCGAAAAACGTGGGTACCCCAGCTTTAAGTTGCGGCCTCCTGTCTGTCAAACGCACTAAGCTGTAAAAAACACACACATAAAAACACTAGAGTAGCTGTACACACACGGTCTGATCACCTTTACACTTTTGTATGACACTAGACTTGTATGTTCATGTCCCACTGAGATTTCATCGTTTAAAGCAGTCAGCTGGAGACGGGACCTCCCTGGGGGTTTCTTTGCACTGTGCTGTCGCTCTCACTCCAGAGATAGTGGTTGGACCATTTCACGAAGACCTATGCATGCTCTGAAAGACACCGGACGATATCGCAGCGTGCGTGCGTGTGTGTGTGTGTGTGTGTGTGTACGAACATTAAGTCTGGCATAGCAGCCGGTGTGTGTGACGCATCGAAAGCCTTTCTGGACGTGACTTTGCCAAAAATGAAAACCCTACCAGCAGTAAAAGTGTAGGAGAAATTTCTGTGACCTTTTTTTGTACTAAACAAATGTAAGTGAGATATTATTAATGAGACTAGTTCTGGTTTGAAGTCTACATTGTGCGTCCTGGGCATTACACGTTCTCACTTGCACCCTCTTGTGGACAAAACTATGAACACCATCAAACTTTTTTTTTTGAATGGGGAAAAATATTCGCAACGTCTAAAGATATTAAGACAATGACTTTTAACATGTGTGCCACTTTGTTTTTGTTTTTGCATGTTTCTAATAACTCAAACGTTCTGGTAGTTTACATACTGTACAAGGATTACCAACATGAAGGCAATACTATATAGACAAACTGTACACATGGATTCGTAATGTCAAAAAGGGAAAAGAGCTGTGACACTGTAAGACAGCCTGGATGTAAATAAAGAAGCGCTTGCCAAAGTTTGTAAATGCCATCGTATCATCTGTGTGTTTTTTCACCTCTTTCAGGAGAAGTCTGTGTTAACACCTACTGTATATAAAGGATTAATAATAACATTTGTCGACATATTCATGCTCTCTTGATTCACTTCCCACAGCAGGGCAGGCCCACAGCCATTCAATACAATAATAGTCTTACAGTAGATAGAGCCAAATTCTGTATTCAATTATATTAAGTAAGTGTATACTTCTATGGAGAGAAAATACAGTGAAATCTGGCCGTCTGCATGGTGACGGTAAATGGCCTTTGTAGCAGAGTCTGGAGGAAAAACTATGTACTTGTCTGGTGCACACTGGGGACTTCAGCACATGTATTCCAATGTGGTTTTACTGCAAATGGAAAATAAATAATCTGAAACTAGGAAGAAATAAGATTATAACAAATCTCAAATATACACATACTCATATACAGTATATATATAAGGTATCATGTGTTTACCTGCGATGGTGACTTTGAATTTCCTAATAAAAAGTAAAAGAGAAGGGTGGAAAGTTTGCCATGTCCCAATAGGAATGTTTTAAAATCTGCCTCAGAGTGAGGAAAAGAGTGTGTCCGACCTTATCCTCCTTGTTCTCCAAAAAGTGTTTGAAAGGTTCTAAATGTGAAGACCTTCTCTGTATAATGTGTTTATGGTTTTTATTTATACGACTTTATGTCCAGTCAGCAGTGTAACTAAGTACAACATTGGCAATACTAGTTACAGGCATATTTCATTTAAATGTAATCACTGGAAGAGCAAGGCAAAATCAGCCCAGTAACTAGTAATCAATAATATATTACAATTTTAGAGTAACTTGCTCAACACAGGGGATCAAAACATAGATGTAACTGTAAATGAGGACTTGTACTTCATATATAATCCTTAGTTGAGGTTAGTAAACAATATACCGCACTCTCATTTAAATCACTGTTTTGTTTGTTGGCCATTGTTATATGATTTGTGTTATAAGCAGTGGGAGAAAGAGGGCAGTAAACGAGTGGGTTTCTATAATGTGATTAAAGTATACTGTAGTACTGTAGAGATTTAGCACACAGGAATGGAAAATCCATATTAGCTCAAGTAGGTTTGTAGGACTGGGGCAAATACTCTGCTCTGGAACTGATTATGCCAGCTGCCACAGCGCATACCAGGGAGATTACACAGCAGCTACCTAAACCCACATTTTTCCCCACAATTCAAATGGGTTTCCACAGAATATACCAGCTCTGTGCTTATTTGAACTTGTACTAAATGTAGTTAAATATAGCGTATTCAGTTGCAGTAACGGCGAGCTGGTTCTGTGCCGGACAGACGGAGCATTCAAAGCTGACCACAAAGAAGCAGGTGTAGGTTTTCCTGGACAGCGGTGGCGTAATGCAGGCTACTGCCACGTTCCTGTGCCATAAGGGCCCCTTTCAGCTCGCTCCGGGGCTCTACTCCTGAGAGAGCCGCCCCTGACACAGACTTTCACTTGGGGGAGGTGAGCCGTGTGAAGCGAGCCATTCAGGCTTTTTGACCGAGTAGCTGTCCAGGGTGACCACCAGCACCACAGCAGCGCCTGGCCAAGGGGAGCTCGCCCTTCCCCTGGGGGACGGGAGAGGGGAGGGGGGGTCGACTCCGCTCCCCAAAGACATGTGCAGATGAAAACAGAAAAACCTGGGTTTGGGTGGAGAAGCATGGGTCTATTTTAGAACTAATCACTGCATCGAGGCCAGAGTCTACTGTGGAGAATAAGGTGAAAATTGGAAATATATGTAGTTTACTGTCTGACTGTAAATAGGGGAAAAAAAAGAATCTCCAAGCAGAAAAAAAAGCATTTTAATACTCTTTCAGAAATATGTCAAGACGAGGCAGCTGAGAGCTCAGCTCACACATTCAGTCAGTCTTAACACCTTAAAAAAGACATTAAAGGCAACAACTGTATTGTATTTGGTGTCTGTGCCAACCAAGGTATAAATAGATAATCTTCTCAATAATCTGACGTTTTTGGAGGCAGAACATGTCTCATCAAGACTTTGCAAAGTCATGAGTCAGATGCAGTGAGCAGATCCTCCCTTTGGAAGTTAGTCCTGCGTCATCAGCTTTACTGCCTCCAGCAGATACTGGTTCCTGTTTTGATCACGGACAACAACTCCAGCATAAAGATAAAGTAAAACCATTCACATTATTCTAAGCATTTTGGATTGAGTTCAAGTGGAGGAACAGCCTGGTCCTAAACAGGAGTTAGGTGCTGTTAGCCTGCTCCTGTTCAAACAGAGCCATGGCTAAGTGTGAGCGCGAGCCCAGGCCCTCCAGGTTGCTGAGCACACAGCGGTGGTAGATGTCCTCACTAAAACGTGGGTTACAAACACGCCTCACATACTTTTGAATGAGCGCTGGCTCCACAGCTCGAAACACGTGTAGTCCAGAGTAGCGCACGAATATGTCATATACATCCATGCTCTCCAACAGGTCCTCATTGTCCAAAATGTCAGCAGCCATTTTGGTCCGTGCTGTCATGTAATCAGCGTTATAAAAGCACGCTTCGTCAAAAACATGGCGATCAAAGTGACCATCGCGCAGAGACTCGGAGGCAAAGGACGAGGCAGCTGAGGGCTGCTGGTCTCGGGACACAATGGCAGGGCTGTACTCTTGGAAGTGGATGGGGAAGAACACCTGCCAGTTACTGATTGCGTTCATTCTACAGCGATTGAGGAAGTCAGCATTGACCTCCGTCCACACACTGGCCAAGAAGAACAGAGTGTCCACTGGGTGCTTCTTGGAGATGATGTCCATTAGCTTCACCTGGGAGGGCACCTCTGTCTTCACACTGATCCAGGGGATTTTGACATCACCATAGCGTTTCTCCACTTCCCCAATCATGGCCTTAATGCCAGCAAACACGTCCGTTTGGCTGACGCGCTGAGCATCAAACGGGTCATAGATGAACAAAAAGGTGAGCAACACATTGTCATGAGTGTCCAGAGTGTTCATGACGTACATGTCCAGGAAGTTACTGACAAAGTCCTGGTCCTGAGCCGTAACTGGAAGAATGACCTGCACTCGAGTGGCCTCTGTCACATACGGCATGGGAATAATCTCCACTGAACTCAGCGGCCGCAGCAGGTTCACCCTCTTCACGATCACCTGACTGTGGCCTTTCTGAGTGTAGGCCTCCAGAGCCAGGTCCAGCATGTACTCCATCCCCCGCGTGGGGTCAAACCTCCTGTACCCATTCAGTAAACGCCTCTTCTGGAAGCGGAGCTGAGGCTGGTATCGCTCGTTCAGACGCTCCACAGCGATCTCCAGGACGGCGGCCACATCGGCGTGATCCGCTCCTCTGATCTCACACTTTGGAGAACTGTCCATGCACGAGTAGATGTGCTCCTCGGTGAAGTACTCCCAGTTTATCACCTCAAAACGAGTCCTTGGTTTGAAAGGTGGGTTTATTCCAATAGGCCAGGTCACTCCAGCCTCCCCCTCAGGCGTCAAGTCACTCAAGTTGTTGATCTGCTTCTACAAAATAACACACCAAAACAATCACTTAGACCAGGTTTACTAGAGTGTGTGTGTGTGTGTGTGAGAAAGAGAAATATATTAATGTTTTGACTGTGTTTTAAAATTGAATAAGGTTAAACTGATGGTTTTATTGTAAATGGACTCTCAACCAGTTGTCTTACTGTAAATGTACTACAGATGGAAACTAGCCTTTTGCTAAAACCTGCACATGACATATTTTCTCTTTATAAGACAATATAAAAACATAAATTCACTCAGTGTCTTACGAGAGATGTCCTTATACTATATCTAATTTTGTGACACAACTCAAAATAAATAGGACACATAAAAGTAAAGTCAACAATTGGATTGAAGAGTTTCTGAGCTTTACAACAATGTTTAGCAGGCCTTTATGGGTGGAGCTAAAGTCGGCTGAATGACATGTGATCTGAAAGGCAGAGGACCAGTTACAAAGCCACAGAGAGCCGCATTTGGCCCACAGGCCTGAGTTTGGACAAGCCGGACTTAAACACTTTCATTTCAGACTAGCCTAATTATGATACACCACATAAGGAGCATGAGTCATGTCAAAATGGTCGCAGGGTTGTATCATTACCATGAACTTTAACTACAGAAGACATAAGAGGACGCTATAACGATGTAGGACTGTAGTACTTTATGGTCTTAACAGAAGTAACTCACTCCGTGCTCTGGGATTTCTGACATATATACATTTTGCATCACTCTACAATTTTCTCTCAGGCCAAACTGGGTGTGGTGGCAGGCGCACAACCAACACTTTCCCACAGCGTTCGTACACAATCTGGCACTCGCTGTGAACTGATAACATTTCTCAAAACACAAACCTGCAGCTGCTGGATCTGCCCATAGGTCCAGTCCAGCTCGATGTGACTGAAGCGCTTGTGAAGGCGGTACATGAGGTTGGGCTCTGACACGGGATGCACGGTGAAAGCCATTTTAAACTGTGGACTGTCCTCGCGCTCAGGGTCAGCATTTTTCCCAAGCTCAAAGTAGTGATAACTCATCTCCTGTGAGAAAGAGACGTTGACAAAAATACTGGTTCAGTTCAATGCAATCTGTTTGTGTATAGCCCTAAATCACAACAGTAGGTCGGAGGAATTTGCCAACACGGATCAGAGAATCTAACAGTTAAAACACAGGAATCGCAATGATATAAAACACATTGGAACACGTTTATATTTAGGGCAATTTACACAAAACCAGAACAAGTGTAAGCAAAATAAATATAGTGTTGACAGAAACTGATGCTGACTAACAACTAATCAAATGTGTGAAGAGGAAATAACAGCAACTCTCTGCAACAATCTACTAATGAAAAGATGCAATCAAAAAACTTACTTGTTAAACAGGTTTTATGAATTAGTCACTTACACAGTTTCATCACTGTGAAAGTCTGAACCTACAGAGCTAATGACTTATTACTTCAATAGACTTACTCTAGAATATACTACAGATCAGTCTACGGATACACAGAAGAAAATACAGGTTTATACACTGTATGTTTATACTTTATTAAGCTCAATATTATTTTATTTTTGTTGTACTGAACTTAATATTCACTTATCTTATGTAGTGTTCTCCTCATTCCTACTGTTCTGTTAATAATAAATAACAATGTAATAAAGGATCTATTGAGATATTATTACAGCGTCTTAACTAAAGGTGTGTGAGTTTCAGGTTAACTTATCAAAGGGTTCTTACCTGATGTACTTCAACACAACTGAGACCAAGATAGTCAATGATGCAGCGTCCGAGCCACTCGTCGGGCCTGACGCTGAGGATGTCATTGCGACACGTATCGAGGTGCGGCTGCAGCCGAGCCAGCAGGCTGCGTGACAACAGGTAACCATAGCCCCCATGGCAATATCGAGCTTTTTCCTCTCCACCGATAAACTCCTCTGCTCTTCCCATGTACAGGTCCTGGCCTGCGCTGAGGTGCCCCACAAGCTCTGACAAGCGATCCGCCTGAATGTAGGTGTCATCCTGGGCCAGAAAGAACCAGTCGTATTCAGAGCCATGATGCTGGTGCAGGTGCCTCACAGTCTCGTACATTAGCCACACAGGCCGGTCATCACCGTGTGTGATCACGGTCATTCCATGGGGAACTTTGGGGCTGCGCAGACCTGTGAAGAAGAAAGTCCGGTGGAAGTGGTGTGCGACTGTCCGGTTCACCGCCACGGCCAGAGTGTTGAGTGTGGCCCGTGATGTCAGCACGCCGACCAAGAGGCGCTCTCTGATGCCCAGCTCTGTGTGAATATATCGTGTCCTGGAAACAGGGGGAGATAAATGTATTCATTAACACCTTTAAATTATTACTATACACAACTTCTATTGCCTTATAGTGTACAGATGACATAAGTAAACAACATAATTTGGTAAAATCTTATTTGTTATGGGATTTATATTTTTACCTGAGGACTTTTTTGTGTGGCTTGTTTGGGTCTTTGTGGTATGGTATGATGCGTGGCTGAAAGTCTTCATTGTTGAAACCATCTCTCGTGTCTCTGAGAGCATCTCCTCTGCCCAGAAAAAGTCTTCTATTTCCCAGTTCATCTCGACAGGAGTCATCCGTGTCTTGTGTCCAAGACACCATTAATAGACTGAGACTGCATCCCAACGATAGTCCCAGGATCAAGGGTAAAGCAGGCCTGAACACGGCCAAAAAGGAAGAGAGGCGCATATCTGGTACCGATCCTGAGGAGGATTAATGAAAAGCTAGAGATCGATGGGTGATTTGGCCGCACTCCAGCCTTCGACCAAAAAACACTCTTGTAGTGAGTGGTTATGTTCATTTAGAAACCAGACGCGTGTATATTACTGTGTTATACCACTGCTGTTCTGTGCCCCATGCACACTGGAGATCCACAGCGGACTCTCAGTGCCTTCAGACCGAACACGAAAAACACACATTTCACCAGCAGAAAGCGCTCCGTTTGTAAAAGAATTAAAATGTCGGTGTTAACATAATGTTAATTCCATCTTGTTACTTGTGAATTGATTGTGCAAAACAGCGCTAACATTTCCTGAAGTCTCCACGTCTCCAAGTCCTCTGTAACAAAGCGGTAACTTTCTTCAGAGAACCATCGGAACTAGCGTTGGGTTAATTAGCTTAGCGTAAACAACATTTTGCTAATCTAATGCCTAAATTCAACGAAAGCTAACAACCAAGTGCTAAGAGGTTGCCAACAAAGCGAAGCATAAATCTTACATTGCGAGGACTGTACTGATAATCGCTCCCATCCATGTGCAAGAGTCTGCCCTGCTGCTTCAGTGACGGTATGTGAGCGAAGAGCAAACATCAGAGCTAGCATCAGGCTAACATCCTCCACTGTTCTAATCCGCCTCCTCTCCCGGATCACCGTGGAAACAATCACGCACGACCCATCATTCCCAATCCAAGGTTAGTCACGTTTAGCTGAGAATTGTCGGTCCATTTCTTCCGAGTCGGACTTCCTCCAGACGAATGCCACACACACAAGTAAAAAAAAAAAAAAAAAAAACCTGCACACTTCCCCCTACGTCGTACCCCCCTCACCCCCGCTCATCCAGAGTCAGCGCTGCAGCATCACCTCTGCTGTTTCTACGTCACTGCTGCTATTCTCCCCTTTTCTCTCTCTCTCTCTCTCTCTAAACAGTCCATGTAGTTAAATATGTCAGACAATGCGTTAAATATGTATCTATATGAATTAACGCTGCGTGTGTGTGCTGTCTATATTTGTTCTAACACTCAACGAGACTTGTTTGTTTGACCCTATGATTCCCGGGTCATATTATTCCCCATCGATGGATTATTTTAGATGGAATATGCTGTCCTTGGAGAAGAGGAGGCAGCATCATCGGCCGCCCTCCCCTACCATATATGGCTATCCCGATCCGCCCCTTTACGCCTTATAAGGTAACTCGGGTCCACCCTTTCAGAACATAAATGGTAGTTCCGGTCCTCCCCTTAGAACCATATATGGCATGTCTTCTGCTGTAGCCGCGGCACACGCACCCGGCAAAAGTGAGCACGAGACCGCGTTGTGCTCCCACTCATTCGTTTAGGTAAGAAGCGCTTTGTGTAGTAGAATAGTAACGACTAATGAACACACTATGATGATGTTTTAGTGTAATTAATATCTAAAGGGAATGTGTGGTCTATTGTACGTCAGTATGTGATGGTAATAAGCTTTAGCCGAACTTCACCCAGGGCCTATCTTAGCCACACCGGTTAGCAACACGTTAGCCACTGCTAGCTAACGTAACATATTTCTGGGTTAATTGTATAAACGGGACGACTAGCATATATGTACCTGCATTGAAATAAAATCTGTGTTTCTTTATTCATTAATCAACTGTAAAATAGCTATGACACGTGTCCGCGGTTTTTTAGGCCTTTTAACCACCGTCAGCTAGCGGTACATCCTAGCTAGTGTTAGCCAAATGCCCCTTGGTGGGTTTGAAATATGGTTTTCATAGAGATAATACATTTCTACGTTTGGAAAGGCTTAAAGTGAATGACATAGTTTGCGTTAGGCCCATGGCACTGCCCATCAACTCGGATAACCGCAAAGTACAGTAACCATGACGCCACTTTACGTAATCCGCTCCATTGTGGGATTTTACATCATGACCGGATGTTATAATTGGACAACTCTTCTGGTACATGTGTCACTGTTAATGCCTGTCTGTTGTCTGTTCAACAGCCATGCCGTCTGATTTAGCCAAGAAGAAGGCTGCGAAAAAGAAGGAAGCCGCCAAGGCCCGTCAACGCACCAAGAAATCAGATGAAGTCGATGGCGACAATGAACAAGCGGAGGCTCAGGAAAATGGAGCGGAAAGCAATGGCTAGTTCTTGTTTATATTTGATGTATAGAAATTATTCTTACACAACCAAATCCAAATAATTGTTAGATTATGATCAAATAAATGTAAATTTGTATAAAACGAATGTAATTTTTTTCCCTTTTCTTCTTCAGGCATTGACAGTTTGACACAAGAAATTGATGAATTTGAACTGCAAAAATCTGAGGCACGGGCTGTCACTGGCGTTCTTGCCTCACACCCCAATAGCACTGATGTCCATATCAGCAGCCTGGCACTCACTTTCCATGGGCAGGAGCTACTATCAGACACCAGCCTTGAGCTTAACTCTGGCAGACGATATGGTCTGCTTGGCCTGAATGGAACAGGTGTCTATCAGTTTTATTCTATCACTTAAAATATCACGGCGTTCTCAAAAGTATATATTTTTCATTAATATATTGTATTCCCTTAGGAAAATCTATGTTGTTGTCGGCCATTGGACACAGAGAGATACCCATTCCAGAGCACATAGATATTTATCACTTGAGCCGAGAGATGGCACCTAGTGAAAAGACTGCTCTGCATTGTGTTATGGAGGTGGATGAAGAAAGGATAAAATTGGAAAAGGAGGCTGAGCGACTTGCTCATGAGGATTGTGAGGGAGACCAAATAAATCTGCTCTCAGCATTTCAGACTGGGGAATTTTGTTGCTAACTTGAAGCTGTTCTTGTTCATAAAGCTGAGTGTGAGAAGTTGATGGAGCTGTACGAGCGTCTGGAGGAGCTGGATGCTGATCAGGCCGAAGTACGAGCTTCTCGGATTCTTCATGGTTTGGGCTTCAGCCCCGTCATGCAGAATAAGAAAATGAAGGACTTCAGTGGAGGTTGGAGAATGCGCGTTGCACTTGCCAGGTACTTGGATTAATATAAATGCTATGCAGTCATCACATGACTCTTAGTTTGCATTTAGTCTTATGCTTTGTGAATTCTACACTTTGTCCTCAGAGCACTCTTCATCAAGCCCTTCATGCTGCTTCTGGATGAACCCACAAACCACCTGGATCTGGATGCCTGTGTATGGCTGGAAGAGGAGCTCAAATCGTATGTCCAGACCAAATCATGATGTAAATGCAATTTTAAAAGGCTATTTCAATATTTGTTTTTTCTTTTCAGCTTTAAGCGTATCCTTGTTTTGATTTCACATTCTCAAGACTTCCTCAACGGTGTCTGTACCAACATTATTCACTTGCATCAGAGAAAGCTCAAATACTACACTGTAAGTAAACAATCGTCTTTTCCTGAACTTCTTAACGACTGTATCTTTGTTTATTCTATGTAATTATGAATGTGTAACTCTGTTTATTTTTATTTTTAAGGGTAATTATGACCAGTATGTTAAAACCAGAGAAGAGCTGGAGGAGAACCAAATGAAGCGCTTTAACTGGGAGCAGGACCAGATCGCACACATGAAGGTAATTTCTTCATTCCACAGACGGGAAATATGTTCAATTTCTTTTTATAATGGGAAATTTACATTTGACCAGAATTACATTGCCAGATTTGGCCATGGCTCTGCTAAGCTGGCACGGCAGGCGCAAAGCAAAGAGAAAACGCTGCAAAAAATGGTGGCTTCAGGCTTAACTGAGAAAGTTGTGAATGACAAGGTACAGCAACAATTTCCTGAGTAAAAGATTAAGGGCTATTTTCTACCTTTTAATATTTTTGTATCCAACAGACATTGTCATTTTGTTTTCCTCCCTGTGGGAAGATTCCTCCACCTGTAATCATGGTTCAAAATGTGAGCTTCAAGTACAGTGACAACACAGTAAGTGAGCTGAAGGCCCCAAAATGTCTATCCATTTGTGAATACTTTTAAATATTAATGTTTTATCTTTTAGCCCCACATCTATAAAAACCTCGAGTTTGGCATAGATCTGGATACACGAGTGGCTCTTGTGGGGCCCAATGGTGCTGGAAAGTCAACGCTTCTAAAACTTTTAATGGGAGAGGTCAGTACACCCAAATGCTACATTGTCATATAATGATAGTGTGATTTTAATCAGTGTTATTTTGTCTGTTGTAGCTTTTGCCTTGTGACGGCATGATTCGCAAACATTCACATGTCAAGATTGGTAGATACCACCAGGTAATATACTGAACTCATTCTTACTATGTACTCTACCTTCAGGAGTTAAATGTACAATGTGTGTGTGTGTTATATATATATATATATATATATATATATATATATATATATATATATATATATATATATATATATATATATATATATTATATATATATTTTTTTTTTAAAGCATCTTACAGAACAACTTGAGCTGGACCTGTCCCCGCTGGAGTATATGATGAAATGTTTCCCTGACATAAAAGAGAAAGAAGAGATGAGAAAGATCATTGGGCGTTACGGTTTGACGGGGAAACAACAGGTAATGAATAGTTGCTTGGATTTCCAACTGGGTGAGAATTGTATTTGCATACAATCTTCTCAAAGACTAACTAATGTCTTACCCTAGGTCAGTCCAATCAGAAACCTGTCAGATGGTCAAAAGTGTCGAGTTTGTTTTGCTTGGTTGGCTTGGCAAAACCCTCACATGCTGTTCCTTGATGAGCCGACGAATCACTTGGACATAGAGACGATAGATGCGTTGGCGGATGCGATCAATGATTACGAGGGAGGAATGATGCTTGTGAGCCACGACTTCAGACTAATCCAGCAGGTAAATGCATTTACACGCTTCATCTGAGGTTGGAGTTTGTTAAAGTGTTTGATTTAACTTCTTTTTGTAGGTGGCTCAGGAGATATGGGTGTGTGAGAAGCAGACTATCACAAAGTGGAATAGAGACATCTTGGCCTATAAGGAACATTTGAAATCTAAGATTGAGAACCAGGCGCATGATATCTGAAGTCTCAGTTTATATCCTCTGAATAAACATCTTTTATGCCCCATTTTTGGACATTTCTGTTGTGGACAGTGCTTGAATGTGCTGAACCTTTCATTCCATTTCAGGTCACCCGATTGGTCAAACCTTTTTCAGTACATATGTAGAATGTAATGTACTGTCTTAATGTTATTTCCTCCCAATTTTAAATATGTAGTCAGCTTTTAAATCATGTTTATGATCTTTGAAAAGTTGACTGAAAAAAAAAAAAGCCTTATTTAACTTGTAAACGCAATAAAGATGTCTGAAAGTACTTGTGTGCCACAAATGCACTGGGACAGTTTGAATTTAGTGTTTTAATTGCTGGAGTACAGTTTCCCTTGGATTATGACATCAGATGCATAGTTTCAGCTCAGTGCTCAAAGTCGGGCAGAAAATGACTAAATATATAGTGCAAGACTGCTCAGAAAACCAACAGCTCTAAAACAGCTGCAACAACTAGAAAATGACTCAAGACTTACAGCTTAAAAATAATGTACCAGATCTGGGATCAGCCTAGAATAAACAAATGTAAATAGCAAAATAACTTCTGGATATAAAATGAAGCCGTGAGGGTATACTTAAGTAGACATAACATTACTATTCGGTCTACGCAGGTAATCTAATAATTCCATTATGACCGCAGTAAACTCGCTTTTATAAAACAGTGCAAGGCTCCACACCTTGGAGTCCTGATGGTACAAGCAAAGCTGGTGCAATTACTGTCCGTAAATATCAAGGCATCTTCAGTTGGTCTCCAGCTCCTCGTCAGAGACCTCATCTCGCGGTATGACACGTGTGTTGCTTGCACGAACATTGATTATGTTGGTGAGAGAGAGGAGGTTGGCGATCCCCAGGAGCGTCACACCAGTCCCATCCAGATTCACCTGCGCCAGACGCAAGTGCTTCAAATACTTCAGACCTGACACAGAACATTTTATTAACAGGTGAAAAATAATAACATTATGTAAATCAGGCACAATACTTTGATCTGTGATTCTGGTACGACTCAGATTGATCTTGACGAGCTGATTACACCGAACCAGACCCCTTCTCACCACATTGTCTCCAATATGTGTGCTCGCTAATCCCAGAACCTAATCAAAAAACAATTTATCACAATTAATAAACTGCAAATAGAAGCCCACACTTTCCATGAGTCATAAATCCATCACCTGCAGGTGAGGTAAATGAACGATGAGGTCTGCCACTCCTCGGCTGGTCACTGTGGTCCTGTCCAAGCACAGATCTTGCATCTCCAGAAGACCTTGCAGATAAGGAAGACCTGCATCCGACACCTGAGTGTTGCTAAGTGACAGTTTTCTCAACCTAAAAATACACAGATATGAAGGTTGAAAACTAATTCTGAGTCCAGAGTGAATTAGAGACAAAAGGTGACCTGGTCAAAGAGGAGAGATGGCCGACTCCTTGGTCTGTGACACGAGTGTAGTCTGTGAGGTCGAGCTCACAGAGCAGAGTCAGGTTGGACAAAGCAGACATCCCACCATCAGTCACACAGTGCCGCCCCGGCAGAGTGAGCTGGGTCAGCTTTAGACCTAGGAGAACCTGTCATTTAATTCATCTGCTGGGTACATTCACAGCCTTCAACATAAAACCAGCTAACCTGAGATGATTTGCAAAGCTTGATTTCCATCCTCTACTTGAATCCCAGTCAAACTGAGTGAAGAGAGAGAGGGATGGTTCCTAAGGTGCTCCAGTGACGCCTCAGTCACTCCAGTGCCATCAAGGCTGAGTGTCTGAAGATTATGCATTTGTGACAAAGAAGTCACATGACTAACCTGGAAACACAAGCAACAGAATAAGGAAAACAAACATTGAATGACATAAAAATGTCTAATAGAAGAAAACCTTGGTCTGTTTGATGCTGAGCACTCGCAGCTGAGGCACAAATGAAGTCAGAGCTTCTAGTGTGAGCTCAGTGACAGCTGTTTGATTGAGACAAAGCTGAGACAGAGGGGGGCAGGACTGCAGGTACAGCACCATTCCACTGTCGGTTACTTTGGTTTGGTCCAGGGACAGGAAACACAGGCTCTTTAAACCTTTGAGAGAGACACATTTGTATTTTAGGTACAACTCAAACACACTTTGCATTTCTTCTGTTATAACAGGGGTCTCCAACCTTTTTCAGAACAAAAATTGCAGAGAGCAACTCCCTGACATTGTATTGAATCAAATTGTTGACCTCACTTTAGATGGGGTACAGTTAAATGTCCATAACAGGGTCCACTATCTTCTACTACTTTTGCATTTACAATAGTTATAGTGATGTAAATTATGAAATCTGAAATGTTGAACAAATTATTTGAATTTTTTTAATCCTTTGAAGAAAACTTGGAAGGGGAAAGATTGGAGACCCACGTGTTTCCGAGCAAGTTAAATTGAACCTGTGATGTGCTGCAGACAGGCATCTGTCAGTTTGCTACATGAAGCTAGGTTGAGATATTGGAGCTTCACCAGGCTTGGTAGAATAGTCAATCCAGAATCTAGGAAGACATGATAATATACTATCAACCAAACAAGCAACAGTTCTAAAGTAAAGTGGACTTACCAGTAATGAGGGGAGAGTTGACCAGACTCAGATGTTTCAAAGCTGTAAAGACTCGTAGCTGCCGCAGAAGCTCATTAGTTGAATATGGATAGCAGTTGAGGGCAAACCTTCGTAATGGGCAGCCAAAAAATAACTCCAGAGTGCGTGGACGCAAAAGCCTCTCACGAGCCATGTGCTCAAGCAGAAGTTCTGCCAGCTCCGGAGTGAGTCCTGCCAGACTGCTGCTGTACTGCATACTGGGAGCTCCAGAGAAGAGTGGAAAGAGAATGCTGAGTCAAATAAACAGTAAGAGTATGATAAGTGCAATATCCAGATCTATACCAGTCATCAGGCTGACAGCAGCTCGTGTCGCCAAGGCACACAGCGACAGCACACTCGGAGTTTTAAATGGTCGTTTTGGGGGCGATGGCTGCCCCTGAGAGGCGTTCTGCTGAGCCGCCCGCTGCAGCCGCTCCACTGCAGCCTGACCTGCTGCTGCAGGGGCCACTGGACCCTCATCCTGCTCCGGAGGCTCCTCCCTTTGTCATACACATTTCACTGTAAGGATTCTCCAAGTTTGTGTTTGAAAACTTGTTTGTCAACTATTTAGATTCCTCTACAGTCAAACGCAATGCAATCAAGGTACAAACATTTATACTTGACTGAGCACAGTACACAGTGATGTCCATTCTATAAGCATTCTTCAATAGAGTTATAAGATTATTAGACTTCACTCACCTGAGACGATTGCCCTGCTCTGGCCAGTGGTGTCTCAGATCAATTCCAGCTCCATGAATCCGGTTCTCTGGAAGAAAGGGTAACCTTGGCATTCCTGAAGAAGTAACAGAGCAAAGAGTTGTAGTAACAAACCAGCAAATGAATATAAAAATCCCCCTATAATTGAGCTTAGGTTGGATGCATGTTCAAATTGTATTGGTCTGCCGTATGTATGATTTAAACGACCATGTTGATTTACTGACTCCAAGATCTTAAAAGCTCTTTTTCACATTTACACGCACACAAGTCAACCCCTTGTTCTGAATGAACCCTAACCCAAGCTGAAAGGGGTATTCATATAAAAAAATATTGTAATACTGATCCGTCTTGCATGTCTTCAAAGTATTGTATAATATTTTGTGAGGGAAATGAGGCCAAAATCTCACCGTTCAGCATGTCATACGGCTCCCTTTCCTCTTCTAGATCCACATCAACATCTACTTCTGGAGCTCCTTCAACATCTCCAGGAACCAACCTCTGGCCTCGCCCTGTACAAACCCAGAAATACTATGTGAAAAAAAGAGAACAGCCATAGAAGTTTGTACATACAACTCCAACAGTTACCCCAACTGTGTGAAGGACCAGTGAGTAAATGGCCCATTTCTGGAATCCCTGCATAGTTGACGGCCTCTTCCCAAAGCTGATTGGGCAGCAGAGGGGGAGGAGCAGGACCTGGGTTCAGGTCTTGATCAGGTATCTGTGCCGCTGGAAGCTCAGCAGACGGACTGTTTTGCTGCTGAGCAGCCTCCAGATTGACAATGCTCTGCTCCTGTGGTGTTTCTGGTGGAGTCGTCTGAATACAAAGTGCAGCATTGGGAGTGAGGCCAAGAGAACGCAAAGAACAAGCGAGCTCTGCCTCCCCAAAACGTTTCCGCGGGAATCCCTGAAGGAGTGAGAAGGATGTGAGGGACGGGTAGCGGCCGCTGATATGGTCGACAACAGTGCGCAAAGGTGCGTCTGCCTTGAACTGTTCACGCATGGACTCCCCAGAGGGCAGTCGAATCTGAGGCACATTGATAAAAACATTGTCATGGAAGAGGCATCGCATTTATCATCTCAACTTTTTCTCTCTGTTCTTCCGTCTCACCATAAGAATGCAGTTGTTTTCCAGATTTGTCTGAATTGTTCCACCCAACTTCTGACCCTCACTACTCCGGGGGGCCTCAGATACAGGGCTGGTCTGATTCTTCGCCTGTAATGTCTTCCGGTCCTCCGCTATTCTTTTCAGAACCAAATCTCGTTCCTAAAACATAGAATACACAACATTTGTTGCGATACACAGCTTGAAATCTACAGTAGGTGTTTGATACCTCAGTTCATCCCCACCTGTTTCTTTTGCTTCCGTTGCTCTCTGGCCTCCTGTGTCACACGTAGCCTCTGCTGTTCTTCAAAGTCACTTTTGTCCTGTTTAATGCGAGACTCGATTTGTGGAGGCTCTGGACTTAAATTGCTATGTGGTGATTTAAGCACCAATGGAGAACTTGCTGAAACAAACAAACAAATACAGCAAAATGAACGACTTACTTCTCATTATTTGTGTTATAAACTTGTGCTGAACCTTACCCCCACTGTCGCTGGGAGATGCTTGGGAGCCAGTCTGTTCTTTGGGAGGGTTGAATGCAGAGAAGGCCGTTTCAGCTGGTTGTGATGAGCGCTGCGTTAACCTATGTCTTGGTGACTGACCTTGTAAAAGCCTATTGAAGAGGACGAGTCAAATAGAAGCCTTTATCAGCAGTTTATAGAGATGTGAAGAGCTTACCATTCAGCTGCATCTGGCACAGAGAAGTGTCCTGCCTGCACTGCAGCCTGAATCTGCTCCTGTGTGAAGCCCATTTCACTGAGGATGAGGAAAATATCCCCAATTGTCTAAAAGTGAATCACAAATTAATACATACAATAGTGATGGAAAATATCTGCGTTTATTTTTGATTATTCAAGAGACGTGTCAATAAAACATTAAATAAGTTTATTTATTACATTTTAAAATATTTTTCAAGCATCTGAAGGCAGAGTATACACACGAATCAGGCATGCATGTCTGTATGCCTGACTCGCCTGAATAATCACGTGTTACGGCATTATTGCAAACCCAACAGTACAATGTCAACAACAAACCAATGTTAGCATCGCAGCTAGTTAGCAAGCCGAGCTAAAGCAGTAGCCAATACGTTTTCAAGTGTATTCATTTTAAATTCAAGATTCAGAGTGTGACATGTTCTTACCGGGGACTCAGATGAGCTCATGGTGATGTTGAAACTATGCCCCAACAACAACGGAAGTCAGTTTCATCACAATTAATAACTTATTTCTTACTGCGGAAAAGTCAAGCAGCTAACAACACTGACCTCTCCCCATTCACTGAACAAACAAGCGGATAAATATCGACGTCCTGCGCATGTCCAAATCAGTCAACAACACTTACATGCGGTGAGATGTCAAACTAAATAACGCCAGTATATTTACGATTTTAAAGCAAACAATTAGCTAACTCAAGACGTTTGGCAGAATCTAACATAACATGGAGCAGTTACAACAACACGCCAGCAGGGGTCGTGCTTTCGTTCTTTATGTTCTCGCGTCATCTCAGTCCCTTCTGCTCTCGCTCAAACCAGTGCGCGTGAGCAAACCAAACCAACGGTCCCAGGGAATATTCAGGATAATATAATATAAAATAAGATAAGACACTCCTTTATTTGTCCCACAGTGAGGACATTTTTATGTAATGGTTGCGTACATTACAGCAGAGTAAAAGGAGGAAATAAGAGCACTCAAATTGCACACATCAAAGCGGATATATAGATAAAAAATAATAGTAATAATTATCAAGATAATAGAATAAGATAAAATAATATAAATAGTAATAATAATAATAGTAATAATAATAATAATAATAATGATAATAATGATAATAATAATAATAATAATAATCCATCCATCCATTTTCTACCCTTTAATCCATTTCTGGGTCAGGGGGGTGGCAGTCAGAGATGCCACCCAAGTCTCATAGCACCAGCCCCTCACTGACCCTCTGCAGGTGGTGAGTCCACAGGAGGACGGCTGCTCTCTGAGTGTGAGCATAGCCTTGATCTTTCAGTGGGGGCTTTGGGCAAAGTGGGGTTAAGTGTCTTGCCCAAGGACACAACGACAGCAGTCATCAGTGGGAGTCGGTGGAGAAGGTGCAGAGGTGGGAAGTGAACCCACGACCTTCTGGCCTTAAGGCCAATGCTCTACCAACTGAGCTACTGTCGCCATAATAATAATAATAATAATAATAATAATAATAATAATAATAATAATAATAATAATAATAATAATAATAATAATAATTATTATTATTATTATTATTATTATTATTATTATTATTATTATAATAATAATAATAATAATAATAACAATAATAATAATAATAATAATAATAATAACAATAATAATAATAATAATAATAATAATAATAATGTAGTTGAGATAGTAATAATGATAAAAAGCCATCATCATAACAATTGTTAAAAAAATATACATACACAATATAATCACGTACATACACATATAAATAACGCTACACACCCACACTCGCACAGACAAACATTATGCTCTCGTACCAAAATCTGACTGGATTTGCCGTGTGTTTTTTAATCTAGAGGTAAATTATTTATTGATTTGTTGTCTTTATTTATAATGTATTATACACAGATGAGATCATGTAGTTGAGATGGGGATGGGCAGTCTTGAAACAAGTGTCAACTTTAGGTCAATATGAGTAAATGACGACGGCGACCACCACACACCGGAAACACGTGGGCCGTAATAACAAATTAATGCAACCTGACGTTGTTTGAATACGATAATACCCACTAACGGCATCTTGATGGGTTTTAGCGTGAAATAAATACAATTAGAGTCAAATACCACCAGTGCATGAAGGCTAAGTGGGTCATACTCGTGATTATAAAAAGACGTGGATGCTTTTATTGTGGTTGATAACCGGAAGTGCGTATGGCGTCACTCTCTCACATTGTGTATTTACATTATTAGGACCTCATTCAGCGACAAGAGAAGCCGGTGAGTTCTTAATAATCTGTTGGCGTGTGTAGGGAGTTCTGTCTCTGGGGCAGCTCAGACCTGGCTTTAACTGGACGGATCAGGAGGTTGATCTGATGCTGTGTTTTCTAAAAAGCAACGGACTGAGGCGGTGCTCTCAGTGATACCTCCACCTCCTCCTCCTCCTTCTCCTTTCCACCACCACTGCTGCTGCTGCTGCTGCTGCTGCTGCTGACACATGCAAAGGATCACTGCAAGTTGATGACTGCGCCTCGTTTTTAGCCTTTTCAACAGGTAATATCACTAAAAAATATCTACATTTCTCTTATTTTATTACATTATAGACTAGGGTGGTGCTCTCCATTAGGACAACAGATTAACATCATTTGAATTGGATTACATGTGGACTGAATCAGGAAAAATACATTGCTCATTTAAAAGATTAGAGGAAAAAAATTAGCGTTCTATTCGATGTCTTCATTATCTAAGTCTTCTCTTGTTTTGTCTATTTCAATTCACTTCAATTCTTTTTTTGTATAGCCTTAAATCACTACAGTTGTACAAAGCTGTGGATTCACAAACACAGATCAGAGAATCAAACAGTTCAAAGACAGGAAATGCAATTATAAAAACACACATGGATTAATAAAGGGCAGATGATCAATGTCAAATGTAGGCCTTGCTCAGAAACTAAAGAGAGATGTTGTTATGTGTCATTGTGATGATTACGTTTTCACAACTAAATTAAAATATTTCTAAGATTACCCAAATTAATTAATGAAATCACAATGTTACGTTATCTATAAATAACACATGACTCAGCAGAAAGTGTTGTAATAGTATAAACAGGGCACAACATTAGAAAACATCTTTTGCATACTTGAAAGAATGATCAGTGTGAGTCACTGAAGCTTTGAGCTGAGAGCTGATTGAAAGAGTGAGACTGGTCCTCTCTTTCTCTCTTTCTAGTCTGAAAAAGCTGATTTAAAGACATGACAACGGCCAAAAATATACATGTGAAAACTATCGATACGACCAAATTGTTCTAGCGTCAAGAACTAGTTACATAGACGGTTATAATCTTTGTGTTTTGAAAGTTAGGTAAGTTTAAACATATAATTAGCTTCCATAATGAAGAGGCATATGACAGTTTCTTACCGTATCCCCCAAACACAGGTGCCCCATTACCCCCAGTCATAACTCTATTGTGATTATGTAACTGAAATCCTGGAATTGGTTGGTCTATTTGTTCCACCTGTGCTTCTTAATGGTTTATATGTACCACAGTGTGTGAATCATTGATTGTGATGGACCACATCGGGTATTTTTCATCCAGTATAATTCAAAGTCGTACTATGGGAAGTATATGGGAATATTGATTGACGATATGGATATTTAGGACAAACAGACATCGAAAGCAAAACGGAATCATCTCAGCTTTGAATTTGAATAAAGTAGATTTTTTGTTATCAGTCACTAACCCAATCATCATCAGAGACCAAAATCATGTCCTGAACTCTCAATATTACAAAGTGACGTAGACTAGGAGGAGGTTCTGGACTCCCCTGTGTAAAAACAACAGATTTAAAACCTTTTTTGTGCCTCAGTCCATACGATAAGATTCATTTGGACCACAGTGGGGAAATTTTAACAGTAGTAAGAGCACACAAAATATACAATACAAGTGATTTTGTGTCAATCTGCGATGTTTTGTTTTGTATGTGATTTTGTTATTTATCTCCCTCGGTAGATTAATGAATAAATGAACCAGAAACTGAACCTGAATCTTGCACTGGCTCGACTCCAGTACAAGTTAGTTTTGTAGTCGCAGCCTGTCTCTCCTGTAAATCTGTTTGGCCCACCGGAAAGAGGAGGAATGCGCATCAATATCCCTGTCTTGTGCACACGGAGTTATGAGATATTATGAAAAATAGAGGAGACAGGGTTAAGAATGTATCTAGAAGTGATTGCATCTCGAGCTGAAACTCCCATTCCAGCGTCACAAACTTATCAAACAAAACAGGACACAGCAAGGACTCATAAGATAGTGGAATCTGTGTGTCTGACCCTGGGGGTGTGTTTCAGTCTGACCTTGTAGAAATTAGAAAAATATAATCAAGCAAAATTCCAGTGTGATTGAAGTCTTTGTAGTTTAAGCCTGTTGTGGTGGTGGTAGACGGATTATAGGCAGACGTTGTTTTCCTCCATCTTGTAGAAATTCTTCAGACAGACTCATTGTGTATAACAGTGGTGGGGAAAAAATTGATTCTGTTCAGTATCACGATATTTTGGAATTAAACCGATACAGTAGAGCAAAGTATTGTGATATTCAATTAAATTCTTATCTGTTTCACTTTTGTGTTTTCTCTAAGTTTACTCTGGTAATTTATATCTGATGTTTATGTTCCTTTGGCCTGGCTTTATCCATCCGTACACTCCGCTCAATCATCATTTCACTGCATGTAACGTCTGGGTCTAGTCCCTGGGTTAGCGATTATAATTGGTTGAATTTCGACCGACCAATCAGAGAGCGCGGGAGGCGGGTGTTGTAGTTAGATGTGGGTGACGTCAAGAGTTTGCGTCGAACGGGAAGTTTGTAGTTTGGAAACGGCGAAAAATGTGATAGATCCAGACCGGATTACTTTACTATCAAGAAACTGAAGCCGGAGCAAGAGGAATGTTTAGCAAATGTAATCGCTAGAAAAAATTGTGGTGCTACTCCCCACGGGCTCCGTTAGCGGCAAAGGAGATGACTAGGCTTAATGCTAATTGCTAAATGCTAACAACTCACTCGGGCGCATTACATAAAAAACTCAGATCCAATCGTTTCAATCTGCAAAAAGAGTTAACCCCTCCCACCTGTTAACGAAGTCAATGGAGCGCCTCCAGACCTTAGTACGAAATGTAATTTGTACTATGGTGTGGTACGACCAGGATAATGTTTCTCTATTATGTCTGTTGTATTTAAATAATGTAATTTCAGTCCTGGGAGATCATTTTTAATATTAGAGCTCGCCTTCAGAGAACAATGATGTCTTGTCTGTGATAAGTTCCTGTGTCCTGAATGTTCAAGGATAATGTTTTTGCACTATCCTCCTAAGTTTTTGCAGTCATATTTACCTCAATTTTTGTAATGTCTTTGAAAAATATGAGGAACATGAATCGCAATATATCGCAGAATCGAATCGCAATATCTGCTGTATCGCGATATGTACAGAATCGCAATAATATTGAATTGTGGCCCAAATTTTGCAATACTATAAAATCGTCACATTTTTGTCCAGTCCCACCTCTGTAGAATACATATATGTGTGTGTGTGTGTCTCGCAATACTGTGTGCTAGAGACAAACGGAATAAGTCAACAGATGAGTGGAGTGTGTATCGTCACATTCCTGACAAAAATCGCTTGGTCATGCAGAAGGCAAGAACAGGGGAAAAAAAGTCTTGATTGTATGTGTGACACTAAATGTTTATTTGACCTTCCCACACAGAGCATCACTCCGTATTTATACCATGAGTCAAACTGGCTTCTCATATATCAGAAAAACAGTTTAATTTAGACTTGATTATACAGAGCCATGTTTTATCCTCTCCTCTTTTAATGTGAGATGGAAAATTGTTATGATTATTGATGCGTGATCCAATTTATGACCAGGCTTTTCCTTCTTAATAAGAGCAACTGCTGAGTCTGGTATTTCTGAATGAGCTTTTAATTTACGGAATAAATTAAATAGTGTTTGTATTTGCAACAAGGAATTCAAAGAGCTCCTCGCTAGCTAAAATCTCACCTTTTCCCCTCCTTTTTCCTCTTGACATCCATCCAGCGCTCTCTATACTTCTATTTAATTAAGTATGTGTGTGTGTGATCGTTCATTTGTTATTGAATATCCCTAAATCACAACAGCAGTCGTCTCGGAGGACTTTACAAAGTTTAGAGAATCAAACAGTTCAAACAGAGGAAATGCAATAACAACAAACACATTGCAGCCATTGGTTCATAGGGAGAAGGATGACCAATGTCCAGAATTGGTAATAAATGTCTATAAATGCCCTGGATCATCACTGTCCTTACACCCTTCTTTTCCAGGGTTGAATCAAAGTTACTACACTGCAAAAAATGTTAAAATACGAGGTGGATCGAGTGGATTTTGCCTTAATTTATGCACATTCTGACTGGCTTAAAACAGCATTTGCTTTGCCCAACCTCTTCAATCAACCCCTGAATCAAACCTCTGTATCTTGTTTGCTTAATTCTGCTGTGTGAAAATTATAGATGTGAAATAACCCCTAAGCTAGATTTGCCAATGGAACAATTGATTTAGTCTTGTATTTCAAGAAGTGTTGCTTTATTTTCTCATTTCAAGGGAGACATTTCTGTATCTTTTTAAACAAGATTTGCTCGTCCTTTTAGCGAATCGGAATGTGCTCAGATTAAGATATATTAAACCAAATTTGAGCAATTTCTAACCTATTTTTCATCTTTTTTTGCAGTGATACTGAAGGCAAAATCACACTATAGGTTTTTATTTTACTGAAATACGTAATGAAAGCTTGCTTAATTCCCAAAGGTCACAACATATACATAAATGTTTTCACGGTGACTGAATGTTTGTTTCTGTCACCGAGGACAATGAACAGGCATTAAGAGCTTCTCCATTTCAGTTGCCCCTCAAATACCCTCGTGTCCTCCCCAGACAGGTGCCGTCTTAGCAGCGTGAGAGTGGCACACGCTCAGATAGAGATGGGCATCATGGACGGCAGCTGTTGGTGCAGGCTGGACCTTTGCCTGCTGCAGTAACACAGTCGCACTGAGGAAGACCTGGGGCTGTCGAATCTTAGCACTGTGCCTGCGGCCGGTGCAGACGCCGCAGACACACACACACACACGCACACGCACACACACACACGGAACATCTAAATTACACTTCTATTTTAGGCTAAACACTGAGAGGCAACAGAGACACAGCTATCAACATTCGCTATAACCAAATCCCTTAGAGATCTCCTGCACAGCTGTTGCTCTGGTATAGTTTCAAGACGTATCGGTGGACAAATAATGTTAAGGTTTGTTTCTAGTTTACTTTTATGACATTATCTGTAGGGCTGCACGATATTGGAAATTAGTGCGATGTTTGATATGAGTGTTTAGTATTTCGATAAAAAATAAGCACAACATTGATGACATTCGAATGCATATATTTATATACTTGTTTGTTTGTTGTTCTTGTTGAATGTTATGTGTCTGTCTGTTTTGTTGTCTCTAATGAAGGGGGAAAAAAATAAAAAAACTTCTCGATATGGATATTGCATGGACCAATATCGCGATAACTATCGTGCAGCCCTAATTATTGTTTCTTTTTTGTTTATGCTATTAGTTTTACCTTTAACTCCCAGAGCAATCATTGCGACTGCCCCATAAGTTTTTTATATACCTTTCAAATTTAAACATTTTAGTCTTGGCTACCAAAATTCCATGGCAGTAAAAGCTCTGGTCCTGGACTGGTCCTGGACTGGTCTTGGACTGGTCCTGGTCCTGGACTGATTCTGGTTCAGCTTGTTTGTTCAGAGAAAGTGCTGGTTACCATAGCAACACATTGTTTAGTTGCAGCAGTTATCATTTAGCCTTTCGCCAAACTTGTTTTTCTTTCTGTATTTAAAGCTATACTCACCAGTTTTAGAACTTGTATATAAATGACTTTTTTTTTTTTTTACACCATATTTATTAAAAGCACAACCTTTTTTGAGATTTTTTCAGAATTCCATTGGTTTGGGGGGGGGGGCGTCAAAAAAACTGTGACTGCGTACTACTAGTGTTAATTCTGGCTCAGTTAAACTTGTATATTTCTGTATTCATGGCCTCAGCCTTTTTCTTATGGCATCACAATCAGTGAGGGATTAGCTGAAAAAGAAATTAGCTTCTTTTGCGCCAATCCAAAGTGTTTCGTTGCTCTGTATTCACACCTTAATGTAGCTGCGTCAATGCAAAACACAATGGCGAACGGAGGAAAAGACCAGACTTTGAAGTAGACGTCAGGTTCAGGAACTGTTTCTTTTTCCACTTAAGTCATGCATGTGACTGTTGGCCCCTGGGACAAACAATTATATCTCCCCGTACACACACACACGCACACCCACACACACACACACCCAGCCCCCCGGATTTCTCCAGCCCGGTATAAGCCCTCACGGAATGTAGCTTTTGAATATTTGGCGTGGAGTGGTAAGCAACTTGTTTATATCCCAGGAATGTTCTTTGTTCCTCAACACAATTAATCCGATGCCTTATGACCTCGGAGATTTCAAATAAAAATACTTTAAAATAATATGGGATTCTAGGAGGTGTTTTTAAAGGATGGATTCACCTGATGCTATTGAGAACAGTGGCCTATTCTCTCTGTCAGGGGTGAATGCGGTGGTCCCATTCTCTTTCATGTCGCCCGTGTAACAAAAGCCCTTTATTTACCAGACATCCATCTTTTGTATGCGCAACAAACACACACAACCCTCGATTTTATCCATGACCCCCTCATGCCGACTTGAACCATACAGTGGACTGGGAATGCTGCTTTCTGTTTTAGTGTTAGTTTCACCCGTGCATTTCAACCACACATTTTTAACCATAAATTACTCATTGATCTCAAAGTCTTCTCCGTGGCCTCTCACCAAAATACATCCGAGACATGTTAGTGCCATATGAACCAACTTGGACTCTGGGAACCAGCAGGAGGCCAGTCCCAGTGCTCCTCAGAGTCAGAACTAGTATAAGATGGCATAAGATAAGTTAAGAGAACCCTTTATTTATCCCACAGTGGGGAAATGTCAATGTTGCAGGAAGCGCACATACAGGACAGTAGAAAAAGCACACAGGGAGTACACATAATACTGTATATGATAGCTGCTATGTTTCTTAACTGCTGTAAAAGTGACATTCATTGGACATTCTGAAATTGTGCTATGGACTGGCTTCTTCTCTGACAATGTGTAAATCTAGGTTTAAAACAGTTTTGTTTCGCTGTGCATACAACTGGGGGATTGTACCTTCACTCTCTGTAATGTAATGTGATAATTTATTATTTAAATGCCTTGCGTTATTGTTCATGCCTTGTTTTGTTCAACACTTTGACATCGCTTGTGTATGAACTGCAGAAAACACTAATAACTCCAGGGACATGTAGATCCATAATGTGCAATGCTGACTTACATTAATAAGGAGAAACTAATCGAAAATGAAGAGCTCAAACAAACTGTAAGGATGTGTGAATAAGTAAATGGCTTATGTATAATGACATTTGTTTACATGTATTGTTTTGGGGCTCAGTCTATACGCTATTGCAGCTTCCTACACAAGCAATCTCTATACTGCTCTACTGTGCCTTGCCTTGAACATACTGAGACTAATCGACGCGTCTGTCTTGTCACCTCAGTTTTATTGGGCAGGTAGTAAGTAGACTCACTCGGCGGCTGGATTTGAGTCACTCTTGAATGGGCTGCAGAGGTCACATGGCGCCCTGTCAGCTGGTTGGAGGAGGAAACACAAGCCTGCCCATTATCAGTGGCTGCACGCTGACCACTCACTGCACTGAAGCGTGCAGCGCAGACACATCGCTAACTCTTGTGTCTCTCTCTCTCTCTCTTTCTCTCTCTGTGCGTTTTCTTCTGTTTGTTTTGTTCTGTACTCTGACCAGGCCCGGCTTTCCCAACACGGCACACTTCCACATTGCCCTGCCATGTCTGCTGTGGATTCCCTGCAGTAAGCACACCAAGGTATGCGCTCTCCGCTCTTCTCTCTGCTGTCTATGTTTCTGTGCATGTGTAGATCCACTTACTGACCATTCTGTAGTTTATCTTATGTACTTATCTGTTTTTATCTAGTTTTTCCCAATAGATAATGTATAGAGAGATAATGGATAGATAAATACTGAAGGAAATTGTGCAAAATATGTGGATTCTTATTATAAATTCATATGCAATGTACACATGCAAATCCTATGCCTGGAAGTCATCTCCCAAAAAATGAATGAATTGGGATCTAATATTCTGTGTTTGTCTTTTCTTTTTTTGCTACTCATCATGAAGTTGCTCAATGTTTTTTGAAACTGAGAAAACTGCTGATTCAAATCCTAAATCCTCAGCCTCTTCCCTCTTCCCTCTGCTGCTCTGCTGTTATGTGTGATTGTCTCAGTAAGAGGACCATCCGTGCTCTTGTACTAGATCTGATCTCACTGTCACCTGCTGCACCTCACTCTCTTATTTATTTATTTAGTTGAGCAGACAAGTTCTGCTCAAAAGGAGTGGGTTGAAGCAAGAGCTTACTCGTGCCCACCCCCAAAACACTACAATAACCGGTACACATTTAAACATTTTACACAGTACAGCAACAAGAAAAGAACAGACGATAACAACAACATTAACGGCACAAAACGGCCGCCCAATAGAAATGTGTTCTATTCATTTGATCTGCAGAAACCCTCTATTGTCATATGATTACTGTAATACATTTAGCAGTGATTTAGTTTCTCTGACATTGTGCTTTGGGCTCGTATAGAAACAGCGCTCATGAGCCACGTGACCCGAGCGGATTCATGGATCTAAGAGTCCCCCTCCCGGTTCTATTTATTAGTGTTTCTTTAAATAAATGTCAGACGGGCTTCTGTCTGCAGCAGTTTGCTCAGTCACCTTCTTCCTGTTTCCAGGCGACTTCCTCTCAAACGTATCCCAAACTTTGTTCATAAAGTTATTGAATCAGATCCATGAGAGCAGTTAGAAATATCTTGGGAATCTTCCGGGCACACACCTGGTCACGCGTGTGTATTTTTGCGTTCATAAGTATTGCCATTGCAGAGGAATTGTTAATTTTCTTTCTTCCCATGTGATAATTGTTGTTGTTATCATAATAGTCGTATTTCAGACGTGCCTGAGGTGGACAAGCAGTTCTCATGGATCTGACTCAGGATCCCAGGGTTCTGTAACTCTATCCCTCTAAGGACGCGTCCAAAGAGCACGGATCTAGGTTTACTGAGAAAGTTGTGTTCCCCACACCTAGTGTGACACTCTCTCAAGACTCCAACCAAAGAAAGTCACTCAGACACAGGGTTCCTTTCACCCTCATTGTGTATTGTCCCCACCGCCACAAGTGCTCATTGTGCAGCTCTTTATTCCTCATTATTTCTCTGCAGTTTCCACTTTCACTGCTCAATACGTCATTATTTCAGACAATACTACAGCTTTTTCACACACTGCAAAAAGTGGTTTTTGTCTTAATATGACTTCATTCTGACTGTCTTAAAACCAGATTTCCCAATGAGACAAAGCCATTGGGTCTTATTTTTAGGACTGTTGCTTTATTTTTTCATACCAAGGGAGACATTTCTTGTATCTTTTAAAAACAAGATAATCTTTGCTTTGTTCCACTGGCAAATCTGGTTGAAGGCAGTCAGAATGTGCTCAAATTAAGATACATTTTGCCAAATTTGAATTTTTGTTCTTATTTTTCATCACTTATTGCAGTTCATTATCAGTACATTAACAAAAGTCTACAGTTATTCTTCCTCATGACCTCTGTGGATAAATCCTGATGCATGTGGAGTACTTTGCTGGTGGCACGCGCCTCTCCTTTATCAGAGGCTGCTGTAAACAGTAGCTGTTAGCTATCTTATCCAACGCTAATGGCCAATGACCTGAGAAGATGGCGAGCGGTGAGATATGGGCCCATAATCATAAATGGTTTACTGACTGTTTTTGATGTACCACCTCAGCCTTTCTTTTTCATTGTGTCTCAACATTCCGTCTGTGGCACTGACAGAAAGTACACATTTGTCATTCAGGCAACTTCACCTCCTACAAATGTGTATCAATGCTAGGGCTGCACGATATTGAAAATTAGAGCGATATTCGAAATGGGTGTTTAGTATTAGAATAATCATATTATTGGAGATTTGTCAGGTTTCCCTTTGACGTAGTAACTATTTTCTGACATGACTTGCAAATACCTAATTTCTCCTGTCTTGGTCCCATATTCCAGAGGTAAAGTGTCTTTTGGGCACAAGTTCCTCTCTGCATTCGTCTGCATTTGTCTCTTCATCGTCTGCCATTTCTTGTTTTATTTCTTCACGTGCTCCACTCTAGCATGCATCGGTGTTGGCCCGTAGCGAGGCGGCACTAGGTTGCAGCAGATTCATCAAACGATCAACCATCAAAGGTCCACGATCATTTCAAAATGATCGTGGACCTTTTAGATATGGATATCGCACTTACCAATATTGCGATGACAATATTTTTTCGATATATTGTGCAGCCCTAAACAATATGTTGATATCATACCACATTTTACATCTCATAACACCGCCTGATTCCCAGTCAACATTACAGTCAGTGTTGTCGACCCCTGGGAAACACTGGTGAACAACAGCGGCCCTCTTACTAACAAGTTTGGACACCCCTGCTCTAACTGGTCTGTGTGTGTGTGTTTCTGTGTAGGTTATGCTGCCCAAAAGCTGCCTCAGTCCCAGTGAGAAAGAGAAGGGCTAACGGCACACCTCTGCAGCAGCTCTCCAGTCCACACACAAGCACGGAGCCATGAGCAACGCAGCCAACCAGATCACAGACGCCGTGGCATCAGTTATCCACAGCGTAAGTCAAGCCTCGCGGACCACATGATGGAACGCATGAGACACACTGTGCCCAATGATGCAAAGAATAACACTTTATCTTAATTGTGGTTCTTATAATATGCTTTTGTAGATGGTAGAAACTGTTCACTCACAGACACATGGTTTCTACTAGATTCATGCTGCGTCAGTTTCCTCATTGTACTAACTCTGAAATTTCCCCACTGTGGGACGAAAAACAGATCTCTTTTCTTATCTTACTTTTGGAAACTGCATGACAACTTTAAATCTCCCTTGTACTAAAGAAATGTAGATGATCATCAGTGCAGTGCGGTGTTGTGGAGGTGGTTTTTTTTTTGTATTTTAAAGTGATTTATCTGGAGTTTGTCCGAAAGAGAGACAGAGAGGTACTTGATTTGAAAAAAACGACGCAAGCTCCTCCCCCTTCCTTTCTGATTGGTCTACACCTACGTTTCCGTAACACTTTGAAATGTTAATCAGAGAACACATTATTCATATACATTATTAATACACATGCATGGAGGTTTTCAGAATTATTTGTTAACGTTTGAATGAAAAAAATAGTGTTTTTATGCACAAATCTGCAGAGGATCTGATTATGGATATAGGTTCAGTATATAAATGATTATGGATATAGGTTCAGTATATAAATGATTATGGATATAGGTTCAGTATATAAATGATTATGGATATAGGTTCAGTATATAAATGGTTATGGATATAGGTTCAGTATATAAATGATTATGGATATAGGTTCAGTATATAAATGATTATGGATATAGGTTCAGTATATAAATGGTTATGGATATAGGTTCAGTATATAAATGATTATGGATATAGGTTCAGTATATAAATGATTATGGATATAGGTTCAGTATATAAATGATTATGGATATAGGTTCAGTATATAAATGATTATGGATATAGGTTCAGTATATAAATGATTATGGATATAGGTTCAGTATATAAATGATTATGGATATAGGTTCAGTATATAAATGATTATGGATATAGGTTCAGTATATAAATGATTATGGATATAGGTTCAGTATATAAATGATTATGGATATAGGTTCAGTATATAAATGATTATGGATATAGGTTCAGTATATAAATGGTTTATGGATATAGGTTCAGTATATAAATGATTATGGATATAGGTTCAGTATATAAATGGTTATGGATATAGGTTCAGTATATAAATGGTTATGGATATAGGTTCAGTATATAAATGATTATGGATATAGGTTCAGTATATAAATGGTTATGGATATAGGTTCAGTATATAAAATGATTATGGATATAGGTTCAGTATATAAATGATTATGGATATAGGTTCAGTATATAAATGATTATGGATATAGGTTCAGTATATAAATGATTATGGATATAGGTTCAGTATATAAATGATTATGGATATAGGTTCAGTATATAAATGATTATGGATATAGGTTCAGTATATAAATGATTATGGATGTATGTTCAGTATATAAATGATTATGGATATAGGCTCAGTATATAAATGATTATGGATGTATGTTCAGTATATAAATGATTATGGATATAGGCTCAGTATATACATGGGTACCTCAGCGCGGATGTTCAGAATTATTTGCTCAGTTTTCATGTAGTTCCAGAGCCTAATAGAGGCTTGATTCAGAGTCTCCGTGAAAACGAACAACTGCGAGCATCAGCGCCGATGATTGACAGCTCTTGGCATCACTTGATTGGTTAACCTCGACGGCATCGTGAATTCTGAACTATAGCTAAGAGAAGGGAAGGCGGGACTTGCCCGTAATATTAGAATTAATAAAATGACTTATTTTATATCAACATTTAAGGCCAGGAGGTCAATTTAATACATTTCCTAACATTTGTAATTCATTTACCAAAAACTTCAGCCAACTGGAATCTATAAATATATACAGTATACACAAATAAAGTTTTTATTTGATTGTTTTTAAGGCATGGCAATCAATGACAAAATGACAACGACGATTCAAAACAAAAAGGCATGAATTAATATTAAAAAGACGAGTCAAGCCATTTTTAGATCTTTCTATCTAAAAATGTTCCCATTGGCACTGGGAAATGCATATGAAACCTTATGAGTCACATTATAATTAGTTTTTTCCTCTCTCCCTATTTGTCAGTGAGAGAATGTGAAGGAGGCAACTGATGGATCAAACGATATGATGAACAATAACAAACGTTTCCAAAAATAAAATGTGCATTATATTGATTGATTTAACTCTGGCTCCAAACAGAGACCGACCTCTCTCCTCCTCCGCTCATTCCCAATGAAACGCGTGCGATAAAGCAAAAATAGCAGGACCACTTCCTTTTCAGAAACCCAAGAAAATGATAGTGATGGTCATGGTCTTTTTTTGTTTGTTTCTTTGTTTTTGTTTTTTTGCTGTCAATAAACATTCAACTGACTGTACAAGCTGTTATTTGAACAAAAAATAAGAGAAAAGGAGAAAATAAAGAAATAGATGATACATATGTAGGTAAAATTAAATCTAAAAATAAACAAGAGAAAAACAGCAAAAAATGGGCCACACATATAACTTTGTAACATTATGCACCGGTGTCAGAGCTCTTCAAAGATATGTCTGTATTTCAAATGTCTGCAGATTGTTTTATAGCAAAAGCAGATATGATTCCAGACACTTCCGCAGCCCAATCCAATTAGTGCGATAGACGATCCGCCCTGCAATCGTCGCTGTCGTTTTTGTCGCTCCAAAGGGCACAACGTCCTCTGCCCTGATCTCACACAGCACCACGAATCATTTCACATCATACACTACTGTTATTACTCATCTAGAGCTAGCCTGGTCGTACCACACCATAGTACAAATTACATTTCGTACTAAGGTCTGGAGGCGCTGCATTGACTTCGTTAACAGGTGGGAGGGGTTAACTCCTTTTGCAGATTGAAACCACTGGATCTGAGTTTACCGTGACGTATGTAATGCGCCCGAGTGAGTTGTTAGCATTTAGTTTTTAGCCTAGCTTTAGCCATCTCCTTTGCCGCTAACAGAGCCCGTGGGGGGTAGCGCCACAATCTTTGCAGCAATTACATTTGCTAAACATTCCTCTTGCTCCGGCTTCAGCTTCTTGATAGAACCAGACCGGAATACTTTACTATCGCATTTTTTGCCATTGCCAAACTACAACCTGCCCGTTCGACTAAAACTCTTGATGTCACCCACAACTAACTACAACACCGCCTCCCGCGCTCGCTGATTGGTCGGTTGAAATTCAACCCATTGTAATCGCTAACACAGTGAACAGACCCAGACGTTACATGCAGTGAAATGATAATTGAGCGGAGTGTACGGATGGATAAGGCCAGGCTAATCTAGAGCTGGTTTATGTACTTTTTTTTGCCAGAAATAATCAAAACGGGTTTAAAATTGCTTGCAAAAGAAAAAATGGAGAAGGAGGCACTTTGAGAACTGTGTTAGTTTTTAATGATAGACCGACGCGTTTCGACCAGAGTCTTCGTAAGGGCAGTGCCGGGTTTAAAGTTGGTTTGCGTATGTCAACACAGATTATTTGGGATTTCAACTTCTGCAAAACTCTTTCTTAGTGAGGGGTTTGGAGAAGCTCAAAGGCAACTGGTCATCAGCCAAGTACAGCGGTGTTACTCAACCCAAGACTTCCTCTACACACACTGATCCTCAAATGATTAAAATGCTGAATGAAAATATACCCCAACTAAGTACTGCTTTTGTTATAAGTCATGGCTCCAAAACATATTGACTTTGTTCATTTGGTTTCGGTGTTCATTTTTATCCCCCCTCTTCTTCCTGTGGTGTTTTTTCACCGTCATGTGACTCTGCAGCGAAGCCCTGAGTCAGTTCTGAGGGGGTCCCAGCCACAGATCATGTTTTAAATACAAGCCTAGATATGAGGGTGCAGAATGCGGGGTATGTGGGACGTGGATGTTTGTGCAGGACGCTCGGACACAGCTTCATTAATGTCACTGCTTAAAGTAATAATTATAACAATATATCTATACAACTGCTGTTAAATATGTGTCGTAGGGATTAGGGCTGCATGACATTGGAAAATAGAGCGATATGAGTGTTTTGATATTATTGCGATATTTTTGTCTATCACCTAAAATTGCAATCTGCTTTGAGACGCAAGAGACAAATAACAAAAAATAAGCACTACATTAATGACATTCAAATGCATATATTTATATACTTTTTTGTTTGTTTGTTCTTGTTGAATGTTGATGTGTCTGTCTGTTTTGTTGTCTTTAATAAAGGGGAAAAAAATCAGTTAATGCATAAATTAAAATTATTGTGCAATACTGCGATAACTATAATTTTCCGATATATCGTGGAGCCTTTCATGTCTTTAGGGATGGCAGACTGAGTAGATGCCAGTACATACTTCACTTTATAATCTACATGTTTTGATGAGATGCTTTGACAATATCAATGGGAAAACTCTTGTACTTTTATATATTAAGAATAATAAGTAAGTAAGTAATCTTTATGTACAGTATATACCGCCTTTCACAGACCACAGTCACAAAGCGGTTTACTATTGTTATTTTTTTGGGCATCTGTCTCTCACTCCACACAGAGATGGGAGCGGGGCCAGTACAGAAGACACATGCCAGACCTATTGTACATGTTTTTAGTGGTAGGGCAAACCGGAGCACCCAGAGGAAACCTACGCTGAATGTCCCTTTATGACTGTAGAAGCAGCGGCAGAGTGGTGAGCGTCCGGAAGATAAAAGTGTGAGTGCGTTATGGCAGATGTGGAGCAGTTATTGGTTGTTTCCACGGCTCTAACTCGACCAAGTTAATGATTTACTCTTCAGTCTGTGTTGTGTGTTCTCTGTACGTGTCCAGTTTGGTGAGCCCCATATAATCCAGTTGTTCTTCAGCAGTCCCCAGCGCTCTTCCTGTGTGCCGAGCATTTCTTTATGTCTTGTGACTAAAATGGGAAGTCTTAAAACCTTGGAGTCTATTCTGAAACCACTGGAACATCCATGAATCTAATTTGATGGAATTGTTTTACTCATTTCAGGTGAGTAAAGAGTTCGGACAGACGGGCGCTGGGTAGTTAATTCTTAGACGTGTGAAAAACCCTGTCCCTATAGATCAAGTTAAACTATATTTAACCTCGTGCAAACTGTGAGTTAATGTTTACACACATAGCAAACTTACTTTTACTTTGTCAATAGGTGACTGACAACTCAGGCATCCGAAATCTGAAGTAACAAGTACTCAATAATGTGTCTTTTATATACTATTAGTGGAGAGATGATGGCTGGGGTTTAGATATTGATATATAAATGGTGACACACTTTCAAGTTTATTACTTACAATGAGCAAGAGGACCCACTTTGTAAATACTGTTACACAAAGCCTCACCTACTACTAAAACATTAAAGAATGTTCTTTATTGTGCAGGTGTCTACGTCAGTCTACTCTAGTGGAAGTCCCCATCTGATAATGTGTGTATTAAAAGACTGGGCCTCAGTTGAACCAGCCTCAGTTGGATCCACACCTCTGTTTTATGACTCTTGCGTCTTAACCACAGCGTTTCCTGAGATCCGGGACATTTCCATTTAAACTGAGTCACGTAGAGGACGGTTCTTGCTTCATATCTGTGGAACAAGTGAAGCTCACAGATGAAGTGCAGTGAGTGGCTCTTCTCTCCTCGGTGCTGACTGTGTGGGATTTGAAGTTGGTCCACAGATAATCAGCTTTACTGCCTCCACACACAGAATCTCCACCAGTGTCTCAACCACAGCTGCTGTTTACTTTGAAATGACCAGAGAAAGATCAATCTCAGTTATCGACATTCATATTTACAGTTATTGATTTAAACTGATTTGGGGAAAGGACGGTGTGTGTTTATCTCCCTGCGTTCAGCTTTCGTTTGTTTGTCTTGAATCTACACAGGGTAAATCAGAGCCTGCTCCATGCTGTGTGCAACTGTATTGAACATTTGAGTAAGATACAAAAATTGAATTGAAATTATATATAACTATAATAATACATTTTCTTAATATTGCAGCTCACATTTCCACGTAACTAAGTACTACGAATTAAAATACAGTAAAAAAAAACTGATTAAATACATCAAAAGTACACTCAAATACAAAAAAGGCGCTTTAGAGCCGATTGTAAACCCAGAAACCGATTCATTTTCAGCGGGAAGATTGGTTTAGAAACGGTTATCAATAGAAGTATGTTATTATAGCTGTTGTCCCCTGGATGAGACAAGGCACTGCTTTGTGTTCGTACGTCATGCGCATTAAAAACTGGAGGTTATCTATAGTTTGCTACAGCGTTGATCTAATGTCCTCGTCCTGAACTGCTCTGGTGCTCAGAGAGAGTGAGAAATACAAACCAGAACTTAATGGACAGATGTAGGGCGCAATAACAAGACTTCACCTTTGCAATTTTGTCACAATCACTGCTAGTTGTAGACGACTATTTAGAGATGGATGAATGAAACTTATAGGAAAAGGTAAAGGTGCAATTCATCCTCTGCATTTGACCCATCCTGCCAATAGGGCGTATTATCAGGAGCAGTGGTTGCCGTAGTAACAGCGCCTGGGGGGCCGATCTCCAGATGTTGATGCTCGGCTTGGTCACACGTCACGACTACCGGAGCTGCAGGATTTTTACCTATTGTGCATGTTTTTAGTGGTAGGAAAGACCCTGTTCTGACCGGGATTGGAACGTAGGATCTTCTTGCTGAGAAACGAGTAGATAGTGGAGTTGAAGTATCTTGTACATTACTGTCTATTACTATATTACCTACATGTGCTGCATATTGTTGTATACCATGGACCATCAATGGCAACCCTATTGACTCTAAAATTCCCATTATTTTTCTCTATAAGTTCTGAGAAAACCGATGCATTAAAGTCTAAATCAGCTGGGAACTTGTGGCCCGAACTGGGGAACACATTGTTTTGTTGCTTCAAAAGATGACTAATTCCATATATTTGGGTAATGTCTTGTGCCAATTTATCCAATGTCAGATGAGATGACCCCCACTTTGAGAACCATTGCTCTCGATAGGCAGAGGCAAAGGGTGTAGAGCCGTGTTGTGCTGAGCTTCTTTTGAGGGTCACATGTGTCTCAGTTCTGCAGATATTTGGCTAAGAATCTGTCTTTTTGAATTACGGGAAACATTTGTATTTGTTGCTTTCTTTGATAAATACAGTTGTAATGAGGGTGTGCTGCAGTGTCTGTGTCGGAGGCTAGGAGCTCCTCTTTGCACAGATCGGTCAATATTGAGTGTTGGGCTGTCACCTGTGTGTGGCATGTACAGTCTGCACAGGGCTCAGAGGCCTGCACAGGGGACCAGGCTACTTTTGGACATAACATGCACTTATTATGCTCCTTTGGCTCATGGATCTAATGTGTTAGCTTGGTAATAATAAGAATAAGAATAAGAGTGAGAATGATAACGAGTGTAATCATAATTATAGAGTCATACATGATAATAGAGTTAAAGTTAAAGCCAGGACAGTAGGCGAAGAGACAGTTTAAATCAGAAAGCGGTTACACTCCTGAACTCTCACCCTATTAAAGCCCATTAGATGCACTTTAATGTAATTTAATATAATGAATGTATATACTATCAATAGCAGCTTGTACAGTCTCCCAAAAATGCAAATATATTTATCTGTGTTGTTAATATTATCCCAAACCTGCGCTATTGCACTACTGTTGAGATGCTAAACTGCATTTTTTTTGCATTGTTCTGACTTTAGATTCAACTTTATTGTCATTACTATCGAATCATTTGTGAAACATGTCGAGACCTTACAATGTCCTCCTTGTGTTTGTATTTTTGCAGTATATATTTTAGTGCAATAACATCCAATAATCTCTTGAGCACCTTTTTTAATAACACGGGAGGAAAGTGGCATCAAGGAAAACAAAACTTTGTGACAACTTTTCATAATGAAGATTGGCCGTTTGCCCGTGGCTTAAGTGAAGTTCCAAAGTATGTAGCACTGACTGTACATGGTATTCAAGGAGGCTGTGATTACATAAATATAAGCTAAAAATAGTCTAACGGCTAAAGAAATTCTCGGTCAGCTGTAGATATTCCCTGTCGGTTGTCTGAAATGATTTGACACTGGAAGTTGTTGTACACAAAACGTATATGTGTGAGTGGTACACAAACAAACACACAACATCACATAGTTGGGTAAATGCAGTTCAAAATACATACAGTATATCTTTGGGTAGAATAACCTTTTGTTTGCCGTCTAGAAGCAACAAGCACCTGTTTTCCTGAGATTCTTATGAGGACTTGGCTCATTGAGTTTTCCTTCAGCCTGCAATCATTAGAAAATATGGCGTGCGCTTTTGTATGACAGAGTAGTAGGTGGTACAGTGGCTGAGGGGGCAGCACTCATACGATACAGAAAGACGTTTTTGGGTTCTATCTCCACTCTGCCTGGGCCTATCTGTGTGGGTTTCTTCTGGGCTCTCTGGTTTCCCCCATTACCAAAAACATGCACCATAGACATAACATAGACTGTAAATATGAATGTATCCAAACCAAGCTCAGTATCAACAACTGGAGACCTCTGCACTGTGGTGACCCTCCTGACAGAGAGCGACGTGGCATTGGAAGAATACGACTACTACTACTCCTACTACAACTACTCTGTGAGGTGAGGTAGTAGTTGTGGTAGTCGCAATAATAGTAGTAGTAAGAACACGGGTGTGAAACCTTCCTCTGCAGGTTTCCCCACAGGCTGCTGCTATCACAACATTTCTGATGCAGTGAGCCCCACGTCCCGTTGCACAAAAACATATCTGTGACATCACATGATCACTCACACGCTGCATGCTTGAGGATAACTCATCGAAGCACGTGGCTATTGTTTCCACTTAGTCTGTAATCCTAAACCTTTACTTAACCGACTGTACGACTCCCTCTAGTGTTGTTGTCTGGTAGGATCACATGTCTCCTCCTGTTTCCCTTTAGAAAGTATAAAATGGGAAGTATTTGCACAGGATCAATAACATGTCTGTGTGTTTTGCAGCCCGAGGCCCAGAATGCCTCCTCGGCTCATGGAACGCCTCGTGCAGAGGAGGAGGACGACCGGGACTTGAACAAAGCCCTGGGGGTCGAGCGCTTCCAGCAGATCCTCTCTCCGGCTGCAGCTGTTCCAGATGAGCAGCATCACAACTATCACGAGGAAGACATTGAATGTAAGGAACACAGCCGTAGAACTGTAATTATTCTTTAGGCCTCCAGAGTCTAAAGTCTGCTCTGCTCCCAGACCACCGTCACTCCTCGCACCACATCCACCGTCCTCTGTCCAAACTGCCCTCTGAAGGACGCAGACGGAAGGGCGGCAAGAAGAAGAAGAAAGAGAAGGAGCACAAGAGCAGCCATGGTCTCAGCATCGAGGAGGGAGAGGACGAGGAGGAGGAAGAGGAGCCAGAGGAGACCACCCCTGCTCCTCCAGAGGCAGAGGAGGTCAAAGATGTGGAGGTGATGCAACACTTTGCTCTCGGCTCATAACTATTATCTCATCCACGTGACCACATTTCCATCACGAGATCAAGTCCAGATGTTGTTTCAAATTATGGATTGATAATTGACATGATTCATATTTTTAGATTAGATTGTTATCTTCACATAACACACAAACAACAAGTACGTAGTTTGAAAAGGACACAATAGACGGGAATCTGTTTGTGTGTTTCAGTTCTTTGTTTCCGATGAAGACCAAAGAGACAAAAGTATTAAAGGGATCCTGTCCACGCGGCAGCTGAGCATCGTGCCACAGACTGCGGTGACCGACGATGGCAAAGACACAGACACAGAGTAAGTTCAAATATCTATATCTATACTAGAACTAAGTAGAATCTCTAACTTTAGCGTAATAAAGTATAAAAAAGTATTTAGCTTTAGCATGATAAGGAAGCACATCTAAAATCTCCAACTCCAGTATAATGAAGACGCAAGAATTAGCATAATAAGCAATAAGCATGAAGGGTCTATCTTTAGCCTAATAAAGAAGCAAATGTAAAATCCTATATATCCTATATATTAGTGCAAGAAATACTGTATATAGTTGTATGTTTACATCTGGTTCAAATTAATGCACAGATGCGGTCAAGTCGGCAGTGTTTGTTAGTCCTCATTGTTCGTAGTACAGTGTGACAGCAGCAGGAAGGAAAGCCCTGTATTCTGTTGCTTGCATTTGTTTTGACTTCCTCGCCCCACTCCCATTGGTCAGAGAAGCACTCGCAGGACGTTACCATGAGCGAGGCATCCACGACCTGCTGTTCATTATCTGACGGACTGAAGTAATCTATTCCTGAGAGACGCATAAATCACCTGTCTCTATAGAGTCCACACACCTCCGCAGCCACTGGCCCCACCTCCGACATTTACGCCTTCTTTCTTTAATCCTTGCTGCGTCAAAGATATGTACACACAAGGACTTTCTATCTTCAGCGTTAGTTCGAGCCATTTTTACCTAGCTTGAGCCATGCCGAAAACTGGACTCGCTTCTCTAATTTGAGTTGACCTCTATTTCATGTGAGGAGATTTTTATTTAAGATCTTTTGTGCCTCTCTCTCCTTGGCTGTCCAGTAAAGCTGCCTCTCCTGAGCTCAGTCCCGGTCTCCCGCTGACCCCAGAGCACATCCCTTTGACCCGAGTCTTGAGCCGCGGCTACGACCTGCAGGAGCGGCGGCGAACGGGCAACATGACGGGGGCAGAGCAGGCCAAGTACCAACGCATCCCCACCGACGAGAGCGAGGCCCAGACCCTGGCCTCCGCCGACCTGGACGGCATCAAAAGTGAGAATTGTGTATTTTGTTTCTGTTGTGATGAGTGTTTTATCGAAGCAGGACGACAGACGAGCGAAGGCAGCGATGGCGTCACAGTTCTCTGCGGGATTTCTGCGCCTCTTTAAGTTTCCACCTCAGTTCAATGTGTTGAAGTTGAAGTGATTTACAGCAGGGAGCACAGCAACAGCAGACACTGTTATTACAAAAGCCACTCCTACTGTCGGAGTCAGCTGAGGCCCCTGGACCAGACCACAAGGAACACAGTTGGGAGTTTTTTCGTTTAATTACCTTCACTTTATGTATTTGGGGAGAACAAGTGAAGATGAGATTTGAATATATCTAAACGTTTCAGAAAGAACAGATAACACTATTATTATTGTCAGTAGCTTTTAGAAATATGTGTTTGTGTTTGTTTGGATCTATCTAAAGCCACATTGGTTTGAGCATCCAGCCTTCTCTGTTCTGACTCTAGCATCTTTTGAGTTTGGCTTATTCCTCATATTTTCAGTCCATAAACAAATGAATGATGCAGTTCAAGAGAGATTCATCAAATTACAATATATTTACAAATTTTGATTATTTCTGTAATTACAAAATGACAAAGTGACCATTGAGGTACTTTCAGTGTAGTCCAGCCAACTCCAGTTTATGGCTTTACAGTCCGATTAAAAATACCAGAATTTCAATAGGAGTTTCCCTTTTGTGTAATGACTCTTATATTAGCTGGACATAAATAGACTTTTGAACAATATAAAAATGTTCCGAGTTTTACCTGTACTTTGAGGGGAAACAGGCGAGTATGAGTTATCAAGACAAGAATATATTTTAATGTTTACGAACCTCAAAAAGTAGGAGAAAGAACAGATGCATTGTCCCAAAGCTACACTGGTTTGATCCTCTGCCTCTACTATCTTATTTCTTATATTTGGGTTATTCCTACTTGTTCAGGGTCCATAAACACATGAAGCTGTTTTATTTTAGGTTGTGCATGTGACTTTGGACAGCTGGCGTTGACCTTGACATTAATACATTGAATTATTTACACAAAAAATACACTTTTGACAATCTTTTTATCACTAATGTCCTCCATTTCTGATGTTCTGGACGTGGATTTGACTTTCAGGCAGTTTGAGAAGAGAAGGCTGACTGTGCAAAGCTTGTAGTTTGAAGATCACAAGGTCAAACTCTGGTCATGACCTGAGTGAGAGGGAGTTCTAATCGGATTACAGAACACTTGTATCTTTGTGCTCATCAAAAACTGACAGTATGCATCTGTTGGCACTTTGAAGAGCACATAACGCAGCGTAAAAGCAGAGTTTGAAGCTTAATAGATAAAAACCGTTTGAATAAGTGCGTTGGTGACAGTTGTCCATGCTTGCTCTCTCCTTTGTTCATTAATTAGAATAATTGGGGCGACAGAGGCTCAGTTTGTGGAGCTCATTGGTCTTCGAGGCTGGTTTTTTGTGGATCTGATCTCCTCCACGTGACCAACTCCATCTACTCGATTCTATTAAATGCATTTTTGTATAGCCCTAAATCACAACAATAGGTTTTTCTGCGAACTTTACAGAGCCAACACAGTTCAGAGACTAAAACATTGCTAACACAGGAAATTAAATAATAGAAAAAAACATATAGAGCCATTGGTTCATAAGGGGCAGAGACCAATGTCCATAAATGTTGTTGAATGTCCTGGATCGTCACCACTGTCCTCAGACCCTCCTGCTTCGGCAAGGAACAACTCAAAAACCCAGTGGTAAAAAAAGTGAGAAATCTCATTGAGAGAGGGATCGGCTCCCACAGACGGACTGTCTGTAGATCCAGGAGTCAGGCTGTAAACGAGGACCGAGGCCACGCTGTGCAGGACTGAGGTGGCTCCCAGGCTGTGAGGGAGGGAGGGGGTGCAGCCCACTAGTCCAAGCCTGGGGAAGACAGTCCACAGGTGCTGATGAAGGAGGCCGGATACAGTCAGTAACATCTGCTGTTGTTGTGTCCCTGGGCAAGACCCTTAACCCCACTTTACCTGAAGCCCCAGAAAGACCAGATACATATACAAATACATCGTACTTATATAGCGCTCTTTTGGACATGCAAATCAAATGAATGAATGATTGTTAATGGGTGTAACTGTGTCTTTGCAGGTCACAGATTCGAAGATGTTCCTGGAATGCGCCGACACTTGGTCAGAAAGAGCACCAAGGGTCAGGTGGTGCACACGGGCAAAGACCACACGGAGCCCAGCACGCGGCCCCGAAAGCAGGACCACACCCCCCATGAGGTGAGACCCGCTGTCGTTATTAAAAGCCGGTTTTCCCCATCGATTCTGCTCTCAAAGATAATCTGAGAAGCTCGGTGAATGCTAATCTATTTTGTATGAACGTGTCTTTATGGAGTTGGTGTTAGTCGATACTAGTGAAAGTATTTAAATCAGCCTACGATGAATGGGTGCAATAAAAAATGAATGGGTAACTGGACGCTGTGAGCTCCGGACAGTGCGGACACCATGTTTTATTCACGCTAACTTTCTAAAAACCCCAAGGGCCCCTGTCTGCTGCTCTGCTTTAGCATGAGGTGGACTGAGGATTCCTTCTCCTTGTTGTTTTTTTTTTTTTCTCACACCGTTTTGACCCTCCAGCCTTTACAGCTGGTCGTGTACCGCTCTGCATCGCGGACCGAAGGCATTCTGCTGAACATGAATGCAGAGCAGGCTCAGCAGTACAAGAAGGTGAGGCTGTGTGAGCGGCCACGGTGTAACCAGAGTGGGCCTGCTGTCACTGGCATGCTGCGTGGGATGGCACCAAGTCGGCATCAAATAGAAATGATACAAATGAAGGAGATATAACAGCAGCCTGGTTGTTTTAACTGGTGTAATACTTGTCTTGTTGTGGTCTAAAGTAAACCATCTCTAACAAAATCTGGTTGGAAGAGTGTGTGTTTTTGAGATTTTTTTTTTTGCATTGCATGTGCCATAGTCGTTGCCTTCTGTACCATAATCGTTTTCTTCCCCGTCCGTTTGTGAAGGTGTTTGTGGAGCTGAACGAGCTGACGATAGATAAGAACCAGGAAATGCAATGGCGGGAAACGGCTCGTTGGATCAAGTTTGAAGAGGATGTGGAAGAGGAGACGGACCGCTGGGGGAAACCTCACGTGGCGTCGCTGTCTTTCCGAAGTCTGCTTGAGCTCAGAAAGACCATTTCTCACGGTAAGCAGCAGGGAGGGATAATGTCACGTACCGAACCCCACACCAGGGGTCTCCAACCTGGAACTCAGGAGCTAACAGCAGCGCGCCACCTGCTTTCAGGTAGCTCCCCAAAGAATTTATGAAGTAATCTATTATTCACTTTCTCACAACTGTTGTAAACTTTTCTTTTCCATATACAGTATATTTAATTGAGGGTTTCAATGCATTACAACATTCAGTTAAACAAGTTAGTTAAGGGAATACGGGAAGATTTTCTACTTCCAGGTGGATCATCAAGTCTTTTGGATTAACTCCCAATTGTCAAGCGTTCTGGTGATAAGTGCTCGTCAAATAAGACCAGATACATATATCTAATTTCTGAACGTTGTAAAGTGCTTTGGGAGACCTTGGTCTGTAAAATGTGCTTAATAAATTACTCTCTTACTCTTTAAATAAACATTAGTGGGGTAGTGGAGAGGGCATTTCTTTCCTAAAGTTGACAAAATTCCTTCTATATACCTTTAAACAGTCAGTTAAACAAGTGAGTAGTTCAGTACTACAAGGTGATTTTAATAAAAAACTAAATAAAAACATAAACACACACTCAAAAATAAACTGTGTCTTCTGAGAATTTATAAACTGACTTTGTGCAGTAGTAACAAAAAGGTGATGATAAAAACATTTCGATAGTGACAGTAACAAATCTCACTCGTTTTTCAAAGAGCCGCTTAAGGGAGTAGCTCTCTGCCATTTATGAGTCTCTCTCCAGGAGGAACAGGTCGCAGATCCCGTCCCTACACAATAAAATGACTGTAGTGTTTCTGGGTTTTCAGGTGCGGTGCTTTTGGACTTGGACCAGAAAACCCTTCCTGGTATTGCCCACCAGGTTGTGGAGAAAATGATCATTTCTGACCAGATCAAAGCCGAAGACCGAGCCAACGTCCTCCGAGCTCTGCTGCTGAAACACAGGTCAGACATGAACCACACTGTTTAAAATGCATTCTAATGGTCAAGGCAAGTTTATCTGTATAGCACTTACTATAGGCATACACAAGGCAACTCAAAGTGCTGAACAAAACAAGGCACTAAAATCATAAATGATCACCATACATTAAAAAGATTAAATCGCTCAGTTGTCCTGGATTTGAGCTTTGCCAGAGAAGAAGCAGTCTCACATTTTCAGGAAGACTGGTCCAGATTTTAGCTGCATAAAACTAAAATCCAAAAATACTGTGTGGAGAAAGTCAGCTGTGACATACCCAGCTTTCCTTAACATTGTACTTTTATTTTTAGATAAGATTAGATAACGTTTATTGATCCCGTTGGAAATGACAGTGGTGCCGGCGGCTCTCATTCACACAGTCACAGCTACTACATAAATAAGTTGCTAAAATATTTTAAAAAACAGTACAAAAGCATCTAAAAGGCTAGGTCAAAGAGTTGAGCAGTCTAATGGCACGATTTAGCCGAATTACCGTGATCTTCTGGGGGTAACCGTTCACTCGTCTTTCTCCGCCAGTCACCCGAGCGATGAGAAGGAGCACAGCAGTCCTTTCCCCAGGAACATCTCTGCCGCCAGCCTGGGCAGTCTGATCCCGCACCACCACCACAGCACCAACCACATCCACCAGACGGAGCCATCGGTCACGGAGCCTCTCATGGGGACCGGCAACTCTACAGGCAACGACGCTCACATCGACCTGGAGAAGAACGAGCTGCAGGTAACGAGGCATTCCGTGTTTCAAAAGCATCATTCAATTCAAGTCAATCGATTCTTGTGTAGCCCTTAATCACAACAGTAGTTATCTCAGAGGACTTTACAATGTAGTCGATTCGCAAACACAGATCAGAGAAACAAACTGGATGTATATGATCCATCACAATAATCCAGCAAATACAACAGTAGGGGTGGGAACCTAAGGGTACATCACGATACGATACGATACACGATACAAAGCTCACGATAACTTTCACCAAATTATGGCATAAATAAAAGAAAAAAATACACTTTATTTTATGATAAATGGAATGGAAATGCGTAATGTAGCCATATATCAAGTATTGATACCAATTTTCAATACTTGGCAAATGCATATTGATAATCTAATCGCGGGAGAAAGTATCGCGATATATCGATATATCGTCACACCCCTATACAACAGTAATACATTCCATGAAAGAAAGAACAGGAGATGGATGAAGAAAAATAAATTGTATAAACTCCTACCCCCATAACATTATCATCCAGTTTTTATCGTATTAAACTTGTTTTTTTGTTCCTCCGCAGAAAGAGCCAATCCTGACGTCCGGAATGCATCGCTCCAAGTCGAAGCATGAGCTGAAGCTGCTGGAGAAGATCCCAGAAAACGCAGAGGCCACAGTTGTGCTCGTTGGTGCGTGGTCCGTCCAGTCCTGGGCCCTCTCCCATCTCTCCCTCTGAATCTCGAGTCTCCAACCAGTTCAAAGTAGCTCCCCAAAGGATCATTTTTTGAGTGAATATAAAAAAAACGCCTACTTTTTGCACTGGTAAATAATGAGAGATTCAATGAAACTTAATTATAGAGTCTAGGTCGAATTTTAAAGCAAACCTGTCAGTTGAGATTTGTGTATGGGTATAACACTTATGTCAAAAATTATCCTAAAAGAAATGTGCCTAAATGAATTAAAGACCCTTTTGACGATCTTAAAACAATATTTGGCAACAAAACAAGAAATACATTTGCTATATCTGTACTTAAGACGAAAGCTGGTTGTTCCATTGTTTTAAGATATGTTTTTAAATCACGAGAAAATCTACTCTGCCAATTTGTAACCCACACATTACGTCGACTGTCTAAAATGAGTCGCTCTCTGACACTTTTTGTCCCGATGAAAAGTGTGTGAAGCCTTTGCCTTGTGCTTCCAGGGTCTGTGGATTTCCTGGAGCAGCCGACCATGGCGTTTGTGCGACTGCAGGAGGCCGTGTTGCTGGAGTCGGTGCTGGAGGTCCCGGTCCCTGTGCGCTTCCTCTTCGTTCTGCTGGGACCTCCCACCTCCAGCATGGACTACCACCAGATCGGACGCTCCATCTCCACGCTCATGTCCGACAAGGTTTGGATCTGTCAATAATTACATTCAGAGAGCTACGCAGTTGGGAGATGACTCTATACTAAAAAAAAAAATGTTTTCTAATTCATAATTCTTGGTTCTTTAATATGCTAGTGTTAGAGATTTATATTTTTATGTATATGTAATGAAAGTCCTTGAGTTGAATCATCTCGTTTTTGAGCAGGTCCTAAACACACAGTAAATACATATAAACATACACACATACCATTCGTCCATTTAGTTTGGTTTTGCCTTTTATTTTATCTGTTTTTTGTCTTGTTTTTTAATGTCTTATCATGTTTTATGTCTTCTGAAATAACTAAATTTAAAAAACATACACACATACATAACAATTTACAGAGCATTAAGGATAAGAAAAGCTAAAATAAGTAATAATATCTTTTACATACTGAGAGCTGATTGTCACATCTTTAGTATCGTCCCTGACCAGCGAGAGGCCAAAAATGCTTGTCAAAACTTTGAGAGCGAGGGACTACCTTATTGCATGGAAGTTATTATGCATTTCATTTTTAGTAGTTTTAAAGTTTCAAAGGTTTCTTATATAAGGAGACTTCTTCGACAAAGTTTAGAAGTTTAGTAGTGATCAATTACCTGGCGTATTAAAATAACCATCTAAGCTTTGAATATAAAGAAGGGTTAGGGACATAATATAAAAATAATATAATATAAACCAGGAACCAGAAGTACGACCACATTAGTCGGGTCCTCAGGTCTCTGCACTGGCTTCCTGTGGCTCAGAGAATAGACTTTAAAACAGCTCTGCTTGTTACAAGTCTCTCCATGGCCTCGCACCAAAATATATTAGTGACATGTTAGTCCCATATGAACCAGCCCGGACTCTGAGGAGCACAGGGACTGGACTCCTGTTAGTGCCCAGAGTCAGAACTAAACATGGGGAGGCTGCTTTTCAGATTCATGCTGCTAAAATCTGGAACAGTCTTCCTGAAGATGTGAGACAGGCCTCCTCTCTGACAATGTTTAAAACCAGGTTAAAGACAGTTCTGTTTAACTGTGCATACAACTGAGGGATTTTATATTTTTATTTTTATTTTTAATGTTCTGTGATTATTTATGATTTTAATGCTCTTTTTTGTTCAGCACTTTAAGTTGCCTTGTGTATGAATTGTGCTATACAAATAAACCTGCCTTGCCTTAAAGACATAATTAACATTTTACGTGTCATCTTCTGATACCTGCAGCAATTCCACGAGGCCGCGTACCTGGCCGACGACAGACAGGACCTGCTCAACGCCATCAACAGCTTCCTGGACTGCAGTATCGTGCTGCCGCCCTCGGAGATGGGAGGAGACGAGCTGCTGCGCTCTGTGGCCCGCTTCCAACAGGAGATGCTGCGCAAACGAGAAGAGCAGGAGACCAAGCTGCAGAAGGAGCCCAAGAGCTTCGAGGATAAAGGTGAGAGGTGTGGTTCCAGGCCGGGGCAAAACTGATCTATGTCCTCACGGCTGGAAAAAACTATTACAACCATAGACTGTATATTAGGAGTGGACTGACCGAGTGACCCATAGTGTTGGCCTAATGCAGAAGAGGATTTTAACATAAGCTAGCTTGAGTTTCCACATGCTAGCTTGTGAAGGCTAGCTGGGGGATAAGGCAAGCTGAAGGCATTTGATTGGACTGTCTATACTTATCAGGCTCAAAATATGATTCAGGATCTTTTTAGAGCACTAAACCCAAACTCTATAGGAGCCAGAGCGACATAGAAACTTTGTGGTGCTTGTGTAAAAGTCTCTCCACGGCCTCGCACCAAAATACATCCGTGACATGTTGATTCCATATTAACTCATTGACTGCCATTGACTTATTTGTCTGAGACCCTCTATTTGACTGGGGATTACAGGACCATAGAAACAGCTAGAAACGAGCTTATTTTTGCTGATGAAAGTAGACAATCCAGTCTTTCAGAATCTGGTTTCATATTTCACATAGTCATAGGAAATAATATTCTGTGGGTCTTGAGAATCAGTTAAATAATCAAAAACGGCTGGCAGTCAATGAGTTAACCAACCCGGACTCTGAGGAGCACCGGGTCTGGCCTCCTGATGATGCCCGGGGTCAGGACTAAACATGGGGAGGCAGCGTTTCAGATTCATGCAGCTAAAATATGAAAATAGTTCTGTTTAGCTGTGCATACAACTGAAGGATTCCGTCTTGACCCTTTTTTATGTACTGTGATTTATTTGTGATTTGAATTCCTTGTGTGATGAGCCACTGTATTCTGCTAGTTCAAGATGTTTTAATCCAGCAGCAGAAACACATCCATCCACTCAAACAAAACAAATAAATACACAATTCTAAAAGTGGCTAACAGTTTAATGTTTTAGTCTTTGTTGTGTCCAAACAGTGGCTCTGCTCACTCCCTTCAAAAAGCCGGACGACCCTCTCAAACGGACACGGCGGCCGTTCGGGGGCCTGGTCCGGGACGTGCAGCGCCGCTACCCCAAGTATCTGAGCGACTTCAAAGACGCCCTGAACAGTCAGTGCATGGCGGCCGTCATCTTCATCTATTTCGCCGCACTGTCTCCGGCCATCACGTTTGGAGGACTGCTGGGTACGCTCCGGCTTCTGCTGTCATGTTGTTTTGAATGTGTGGTTCTTTTTCTTTGCGGTTCTGTGGGGCGGCATATCACTCTCGCCTCTGAGCAAGAAGGTCCTGGGTTTGAATCCCGGTCGGAACGGGGTCTTTCTGAGTGGAGTTTGCATGTTCTCCCCGTGCTTGCAAAGATTTCCTCTGGGTACTCCGGTAAAAACATGCACACTAGGTTAAATCCTCCAGCTCCGGCACTCCTGACCAAGCCGAGCATCAACATCTGGAGATGGGTTTCCGGGCGCTGTTACTACGGCGACCACTGCTCCTGACCTAAGCCTTAGTGGCATCAGGATGGGTCAAATGCAGAGGATGAATTGTCCTACGGGGATTAATAAAGTGCACCTTTACCTTTTAATTTTTTTATTTAATTTATTGTTGACTCTTTCGGCAGTTCTTACAATAACAGTTTACACAATGTTACATCTGTCTCTTTTTTACATAATAATAACAAAACAAAAGAACAGTTGAGTAACATATAAAGGTATATGACAGGTGTCCTTGAGTGCTGCACTGATGCGTCAAAAATCTGCTCAAATCTGTCTTGATCCAGTCGTACTGCGTACGTCAGTCTCTCCATTTGCTTCTTTTTCCATCATTTTCTTTTGTTTTTCTGTGACAGGAGAGAAAACCGAGGGCCTGATCGGGGTCTCGGAGCTGATCGTGTCCACCGCAGTGCAGGGGGTCATCTTCTGTTTGCTCGGAGCGCAGCCGCTGCTCGTGGTCGGATTCTCTGGACCGCTGCTGGTTTTTGAAGAAGCTTTTTATACAGTACGTCATCACTTTGATTATAACTTCACAAAACCCAGAGTGGATTCAAGATGAGATTAAGGTTTATTGGTCTCACAATGGAGAGGGAGAGGGACCAGAGAGAGAGGGACCAGAGAGAGAGGGAGACCAGAGAGAGAGGGACCAGAGAGAGAGGGAGACCAGAGAGAGAGAGAGACCAGAGAGAGAGAGAGACCAGAGAGAGAGGGAGACCAGAGAGAGAGGGAGACCAGAGAGAGAGGGAGACCAGAGAGAGAGGGAGACCAGAGAGAGAGGGAGAGAAGCTTGTTCTTTTGTGCGTGATTTGATAAATGCATACCTTTTTTTTGTTTTTTTTTACCAGTTCTGCAAAGCTCAGCAGATGGAGTACCTGACTGGCCGCGTGTGGATCGGCTTCTGGCTCATCATCATCGTTACCGTGACCGTGGCGTGCGAGGGCAGCTTCCTGGTCCGCTTCGTTTCACGCTTCACCCAAGAAATCTTCTCCTTCCTCATCTCCCTCATCTTCATCTGCGAGACGTTCATCAAACTGGCCAAGGTAATCCCGCACTCGCCGTGACTTCGCAGAGTTCTTGCACTTTTATGGAATTCACCGTTTGAGGCTAAACTGAAAAGACACAGGTTTTTGAATCCAGGGTCGATTTGGCAGCGGTGAGCGGTTACGAAACCACATGAGACCCTCTGTGACTGACTGCAGATGGAATTTAATGTAATTGCTTTGTGGCTGTAGCTGACATTTTTTTCAAACCTGTGATTCCAAAATCTCTCAGTCATACGACACAATACAAAGAACACACACACACACACAGATGAGATATACAGATAAGACGCACACAAACCCAGACACAAACACACACTCAGATGAGATACACAGATCAGACTTACACAAAGACAGACACAAACACCCAAAAATGAGATACACAGATAAAACGCACACAGACACACACACACTCACTCACTCAGACAAGATACACACACACTCCGACATGACGCACATACACACCCACACGCACCTTCAGATATAATGCATGCACACACACACACACACACACATGGACACGCGCACCGAGACAGACACCGTCATACTCATGCAAGACACGCACACGTTCAGAAAAGAAGCACATACACACACACACACTTTTAGACATGACGCACACACACGTGCAGACAAGACACACACACACACACTCTTTCAGACATGACGCACAGACACATACACAGGCCCATATCCTCTGACCCCACACCTCTCTGACCCCACACCTCTCTGACCCCACACCTCTCTGACCCCACACCTCTCTGACCACACACCTCTCTGACCACACACCTCTCTCGCCCCACACCTCTCTCGCCCCACACCTCTCTCGCCCCACACCTCTCTGACCACACACCTCTCTGACCACACACCTCTCTGACCACACACCTCTCTGACCACACACCTCTCTGACCACACACCTCTCTGACCACACACCTCTCTGACCACACACCTCTCTGACCCCACACCTCTCTCGCCCCACACCTCTCTGACCCCACACCTCTCTGACCACACACCTCTCTGACCACACACCTCTCTGACCACACACCTCTCTGACCACACACCTCTCTGACCCCACACCTCTCTGACCCCACACCTCTCTGACCACACACCTCTCTGACCACACACCTCTCTGACCCCACACCTCTCTGACCACACACCTCTCTGTGCCTTTATGTCCTTCCTCAGATCTTCAAAGAGCACCCTCTGAAGCGCTGCTCCCTGAACGTCACAGAAACCAACGTCTCCTCTGTGGACGGCGGGTCTTGGCAGGTCCAGGGGGAGCCCAACACCGCGCTGCTGTCCTTGGTGCTGATGGCCGGAACATTCTTCATCGCTTTCTACCTGCGGAAGTTCAAAAACAGCGCCTTCTTCCCAGGACGGGTACAGCAAAACACTTCTGTACACATTTGTCAATCTCGCAAATCCCCCCAGTTCTCATCAGCTTTATGGTTTTCAGATCCGGAGAGTGATCGGAGATTTCGGGGTTCCAATAGCTATTCTCATCATGGTGCTGTTGGACTACTGCATAGAAGATACGTACACACAAGTATGTAAGACGAGAGAGACCAGAGAGAGGGACCAGAGAGAGGGACCAGAGAGAGAGAGGGACCAGAGAGAGAGAGGGACCAGAGAGAGAGAGGGACCAGAGAGAGAGAGACACCAGAGAGAGAGAGAGACACCAGAGAGAGAGACACCAGAGAGGGAGAGACACCAGAGAGGGAGAGACACCAGAGAGGGAGAGACACCAGAGAGGGAGAGACACCAGAGAGGGAGAGACACCAGAGAGGGAGAGACACCAGAGAGGGAGAGACACCAGAGAGGGAGAGACACCAGAGAGGGAGAGACACCAGAGAGGGAGAGACACCAGAGAGGGAGAGACACCAGAGAGGGAGAGACACCAGAGAGGGAGAGACACCAGAGAGAGAGACAGACCAGAGAGAGAGACAGACCAGAGAGAGAGACAGACCAGAGAGAGAGACAGACCAGAGAGAGAGACAGACCAGAGAGAGAGACAGACCAGAGAGAGAGACAGACCAGAGAGAGAGACAGACCAGAGAGAGAGACAGACCAGAGAGAGAGACAGACCAGAGAGAGAGACAGACCAGAGAGAGATAGACCAGAGAGAGATAGACCAGAGAGATAGACCAGAGAGAGAGAGACCAGAGAGAGAGAGACCAGAGTGTCAGTTTCTCATTGGATCATTATTTGAAAGACTGTTTGGTGTGTTGTGTTCAGAAACTGAGCGTCCCCAGTGGTTTCTCTGTGACCACTCCAGAGAAACGAGGCTGGTTCATTAACCCGCTGGGCTCCGATGGACGGTTCCCGGTCTGGATGATGTTCGCCTGCTGTCTGCCCGCTCTGCTCGTCTTCATCCTCATCTTCATGGAGACGCAGATCACAACGTGAGGCCGCCACGCTCACAAACACCACAACGTACACAAATACACACACAGATATACACACACAGCCATTCAATTCCAAACAATACCATACGGCGACAATAAACACATTTCAAAAAAGTTGTAAAATGGACTACACTACAGTACCACCGATGGTATGAGAGGAAAGACAAAGCACACATACACACTCTCAGACATACACACGCACACTAATTGACACACAGAGAGACCCACTCAGACATACACACACACATTTAGAGACACGGAGGGAGAGACACTCAGAGGGAGAAACTCAGGGACACACAGACACACGGAGAGATACACTCATGCTCAGACGTACACATACACACGCACTTAGAGACATACACACACACACTGAGGCAGAGAGACACACACACAGAGAGGCACACACACGTTAAGACTGTTTGACCTGTGTGTTATCTCTGTGCTGATGCTGATAATGTTGTGTGTTTGATTCTGATTATTGCTTACCGTAAATAAGAACATTTAACTTTGATTCTGTTTCAAACTTTCAAATCAATGAAAACCTGAAGAACAACAACTTCCGTGTGACCAGGTTTTGTACTTTAGATTTTATTCTTGTTTTCCGCAGCCTCATCGTCAGTAAGAAGGAGCGGATGCTGGTGAAGGGCTCGGGCTTCCACTTGGACCTGCTGCTGATCGTGGTGCTGGGGGGGACGTCCGCGCTCTTCGGCCTGCCCTGGATGGCGGCGGCGACGGTGCGATCGGTGACCCACGTGAACGCCCTGACGGTGATGAGCAAGGCGGTCGCCCCCGGAGACAAGCCTCGCATCCAGGAAGTCAAAGAGCAGAGGGTCACTGGGCTCCTGGTCTCCATCATGGTCGGTCAGTGTCTCTCTGTGAACCAGATTATTACAGATTTTACTTAACTCTAATAACACAAACACACAATCGTGATATTGTGGTGCATTCTTAACAAGGCCTTATTTTTTTTATTTTAATTGTATATAAAATGCAGTACCTTCCCTTTTTAGTGAATTAATCTGTATTTATTTATCTTTGACACACACTCAGACAACAGACACACACTCAGACAACAGACACACACTCAGACAACAGACACACACTCAGACAACAGACACACACTCAGACAACAGACACACACTCAGACAACAGACACACACTCAGACAACACACACACACTCAGAAAACAGACACACACTCAGACAACATACACACACTCAGACAACATTCACACACTCAGACAACATTCACACACTCAGACAACAGACACACATTCAGACAACATACACACACTCAGACAACACACACACAGATGTGCTGTGTATAATGCCATACAGTTCTCCTTAAATTAATCTGTATTTGTGTGACACTCTCTCGCTCTGGTCTCTCGCTCTGGTCTCTCGCTCTGGTCTCTCGCTCTGGTCTCTCGCTCTGGTCGCTCACTCTGGTCTCGCTCTGGTCTCTCGCTCTGGTCTCTCACTCTGGTCTCTCACTCTGGTCTCGCTCTGGTCTCTCGCTCTGGTCTCTCACTCTGGTCTCTCACTCTGGTCTCGCTCTGGTCTCTCGCTCTGGTCTCTCGCTCTGGTCTCTCACTCTGGTCTCTCACTCTGGTCTCTCACTCTGGTCTCTCGCTCTGGTCTCTCGCTCTGGTCTCTCACTCTGGTCTCTCACTCTGGTCTCGCTCTGGTCTCTCGCTCTGGTCTCTCACTCTGGTCTCTCACTCTGGTCTCTCGCTCTGGTCTCTCGTTCTGGTCTCTCGCTCTGGTCTCTCGCTCTGGTCTCTCGCTCTGGTCTCTCGCTCTGGTCTCTCGCTCTAGTCTCTTGCTCTGGTCTCTCGCTCTGGTCTCTCGCTCTGGTCTCTTGCTCTGGTCTCTCGCTCTGGTCTCTCGCTCTGGTCTCTTGCTCTGGTCTCTCACTCTGGTCTCTCACTCTGGTCTCGCTCTGGTCTCTCACTCTGGTCTCTCACTCTGGTCTCGCTCTGGTCTCGCTTGGTCTCTCACTCTGGTCTCTCGCTCTGGTCTCTCGCTCTGGTCTCTCCCTCTGGTCTCGCTCTGGTCTCTCGCTCTGGTCTCTCGCTCTGGTCTCTCGCTCTGGTCTCGCTCGCTCTGGTCTCTCGCTCTGGTCTCTCGCTCTGGTCTCTCGCTCTGGTCTCTCGCTCTGGTCTCTCACTCTGGTCTCTCGCTCTGGTCTCTCGCTCTGGTCTCTCGCTCTGGTCTCTCGCTCTGGTCTCTCGCTCTGGTCTCTCGCTCTGGTCTCTCACTCTGGTCTCTCGCTCTGGTCTCTCACTCTGGTCTCTCACTCTGGTCTCGCTCTGGTCTCTCACTCTGGTCTCTCACTCTGGTCTCTCTCTCTGGTCTCTCGCTCTGGTCTCTCGCTCTGGTCTCTCGCTCTGGTCTCTCACTCTGGTCTCTCACTCTGGTCTCTCACTCTGGTCTCGCTCTGGTCTCTCACTCTGGTCTCTCACTCTGGTCTCTCTCTCTGGTCTCTCACTCTGGTCTCGCTCTGGTCTCTCGCTCTGGTCTCTCGCTCTGGTCTCTCACTCTGGTCTCTCGCTCTGGTCTCTCGCTCTGGTCTCTCGCTCTGGTCTCTCGCTCTGGTCTCTCGCTCTGGTCTCTCGCTCTGGTCTCTCGCTCTGGTCTCTCGCTCTGGTCTCTCCCTCTGGTCTCGCTCTGGTCTCTCGCTCTGGTCTCTCGCTCTGGTCACTCGCTCTGGTCTCGCTCTGGTCTCACTCTGGTCTCTCGCTCTGGTCTCTCACTCTGGTCTCGCTCTGGTCTCTCGCTCTGGTCTCTCGCTCTGGTCTCTCCTCTGGTCTCTCCTCTGGTCTCTCACTCTGGTCTCTCACTCTGGTCTCTCACTCTGGTCTCTCTGGTCTCCTCTGGTCTCTCTCTGTCTCTGGTCCTCTCGCTCTGGTCTCTCTCACTCTGGTCTCTCTGTCTCTGGTCTCTCTGTCTCTCGCTCTGGTCTCTGCTCCTCTGGTCTCTCGCTCTGGTCTCACTCTGGTCTCCTCTGGTCTCTCGCTCTGGTCTCTCTCTGTTCTCGCTCTCTCCTCTGGTCTCTCTCTGGTCTCTCGCTCTGGTCTCTCGCTCTGGTCTCTCGCTCTGGTCTCTCGCTCTGGTCACTCGCTCTGGTCTCGCTCTGGTCTCACTCTGGTCTCTCGCTCTGGTCTCTTCTCTGGTCTCCTCTGGTCTCTGGTCTCTCGCTCTGGTCTCTCGCTCTGGTCTCTCGCTCTGGTCTCTCACTCTGGTCTCTCACTCTGGTCTCTCACCTGTCTGGTCTCTCGCTCTGGTCTCTCTCTGGTCTCTCGCTCTGGTCTCTCGCTCTGGTCTCTCACTCTGGTCTCGCTCTGGTCTCTCGCTCTGGTCTCTCGGCTCTGGTCTCTCGCTCTGGTCTCTCGCTCTGGTCTCTCGCTCTGGTCTCTCACTCTGGTCTCTCACTCTGGTCTCTCACTCTGGTCTCTCACTCTGGTCTCGCTCTGTTCTCGCTCTGGTCTCTCGCTCTGGTCTCTCGCTCTGGTCTCTCGCTCTGGTCTCTCACTCTGGTCTCTCACTCTGGTCTCTCACTCTGGTCTCTCGCTCTGGTCTCTCGCTCTGGTCTCTCGCTCTGGTCTCTCGCTCTGGTCTCTCGCTCTGGTCTCTCGCTCTGGTCTCTCTCTCTGGTCTCTCACTCTGGTCTCTCACTCTGGTCTCGCTCTGGTCTCTCGCTCTGGTCTCTCACCTTCTGCCCTGTCCTCCAGGTCTGTCCATCGTGATTGGTCAGCTGCTGCGACAGATCCCTCTGGCTGTGCTCTTCGGGATCTTCCTCTACATGGGAGTCATGTCACTCAACGGGATCCAGCTCACGGAGAGAATGATGCTGCTCCTGATGCCGCCAAAGTACCACCCGGACCACACCTACGTCCGCAAGGTGAGGGCCACACACTCTCCCCCTGGTGCCTGCGAGAGACCTCCACAGAATAGCCTGGTCTTATCACACCATCGTACTCATTTCATTTCATACTAAGGTCTGGATTTGCTCCATTGAGCTCCGTGAACAGGTGGGAGGGGTAAACTCCTTTTGCAGATTGAAACGATTGGATCTGAGTTTACCGTGATGTATGTAATGAACCCGAGTGAGTGAGTTATTTAGCATTTAGCCTAGCTTTAGCCATCTCCTTTACCACTAACGCAGCCCGTGGGGAGTAGAGCCACAACATCTTTGTCAGTAATGAAATTAGCTAAATATTTCTCTTAATCCGGCTTCAATTTCTTGATATTTGGAGCCGAGCCAGAACAGATTACTTTTACTATTGCATTCTCCGCCCTGGCCAAACTACAACCAGGAAATATGGCGCAAACTCTTGACATCACAACACCTACAACACCCGCCTCCCCCGCTCGCTGATTGGTCGGAGGGGATTCAACCGAAGTAACCACAGCCACAGGGATCAGACCCAGACGTTCATGTTGGAAATAATTATTGACCGGAGTTTACAAATGACTAAGGCCAGACTACCATAGAATGAAACATAAACCTGAGGCCGATCTCTCTGTCTCTCTCTCTTTCTCTATCTATCTCTATCTCTGTCTCTCTCTCTGTCTGTCTCTCTCTGTCTGTCTCTCTCTGTCTGTCTCTCTCTCACTCTCTCTCACTCTCTGTCTCTGTCTCTGCCTATCTCACTCTCTGTCTGTCTCTCTCTCACTCTCTCTCACTCTCTCTCACTCTCTGTCTCTGTCTCTGCCTCTCTCACTCTCTGTCTCTGTCTCTGCCTCTCTCACTCTATGTCTGTCTCTCTCTCTCTCTCTCACTCTCGCTCACTCTCTGTCTCTGTCTCTGCCTCTCTCTTACTCTCTCTCACTCTCTCTCACTCTCTCTCACTCTGTCTGTCTCTCTCTCTCTGTGTTCAGGTCCGGACTCTGCGTATGCACCTGTTCACCTGTATCCAGCTGGTGTGTCTGGCCGCTCTGTGGGCCGTGATGTCCACCCAAGCCTCGCTGGCCTTCCCCTTCGTCCTCATCCTCACGGTCCCGGTCAAAATCTTTGTGCTGGGACGCATCTTCACTGCCAGAGAGATCGCCTGCGTAAGTCGACCTCTCTGTGATGATTGTGTGTCAACGCTAAATGCAATGTGTGTTATCATCATTTGTGTCTTTATAATGAAAACAATGAACATCTTTTTGAATTGTATTTATCTCTTAACCCGTCGATTTGTCACTTTGTGTATTTAATCATGTCTTTATTTATCTATTTGGATCCCCAGTAGCTTCCACAAGGGGTCGCTAGTCTTCCTGGGGTCCACTCAATATTAGACATGTATATTAGATGTTTTATGGCATGCCTTTTTATATATTTTTTTACTACTTTGACCCATATACCAAAGTAAATTCCTAGTTTATGACTTCCTGTTACTTAGAATGGCAATTAAAAAAAAAATCTGATTCTGACAACTGCTGTTCCATATGCAGATCCACTTTGATAGCTGATTTAAAAGTGTTGAATAGATGTAGTCAATATAGATGTTGATCATATGGAAAATAATTAAATCAATAAGAAATAAATAAATGTGAATCATTAAGTAATTTTACAGTTGCACTAAATCATCAACCAATCTCACAACAACAGATTCAACACGTGACTTGAACCTGTGTCTTTCAGTTGGACGCAGACGACGCAGAACCAAAGTTTGAGGAGCGGGATGAGTACTCTGAGATGCACATGCCGGTGTAGGCCTCTAATGGCGCCCTCTAGCGGCCACTGCCCACCACCGCGCAGCACCATCAGCACCATCAGCACCATCAGCACCATCAGCACCATAACTGACACCTGTTGAATGTAGAAGGTCATCCGGACTCTGAACGTCTGTGTAGCTACAGATTCTTTTCACTGAACTGTACTGTTGTAGCTGCTGCTGCTGCTGCTTCTAGTTTTTTGGCAAATTCTCTGATAATCAAAGAAACATTTTTATCAAATCCATTTCAGGTTGAAGTCCAGCAACTGAGAATGAATTGCTACTGTGTTAGTCCTGAAACATTTCTCTAATTCACATTGAATCCTGAATATGCCGAGGATAAATGGGACGCATTCCTTAGATATTCTTACGCTGATGTCACTGTGGAAGTACTTTTTTGTGTTTTAGTCACTAAGCGCCTTTTTATATTATAGGAGATCTGTTTGTTTTGAGGTGAACAAAGTGCCTCTTTCAACTTGAACCACCTCCTGAAGCTCTAGCACTTTTAACCACACACCAAATCTGAACAATGGCTTTGTGTTACAGAGATGTATTATCATCGCAGTGTCCTCAGATCCATGAGATTAATTCGTCTTGTTGTCTTTGTTTGAGTAACTGTGAATTTAGTCTCACTTTAGCTTAGCCCTCACTGATTAGCATCTAACTAAGTGTATAACTTATGGTTAATTAGCTCTTAATTGGTATTTATTAAGCACATATTTGTTCACATTCTGCACGGCCTTTATTTAAATAACTACTAATTTAAACTTCCCCATGTGGGTTAGGGCTAGGGTTCGCCAATCTGCACTTCATTATCTCAGTTAATTTCTGAGGGCTAATCTAAAGTGCTGCCATGAGTTTTAACCTGCTGTAATCATGCCTTTTAAGCTTTTATACTGCGTGAATGCATGTGGTAGTAGTTAACCCGGATCGCCAGCAGAGGGCGATCTCATAGCTGTTGTTACACTAATGCCATCGTATACCTACAGATACACACGACGTAGGGCACTAGTATTACGTGCCACAGTTTAGGGGTTTGTTTTATTATTATTATGACTTTGTTTTGTGCCAAAAGTGTGTAAATACCTCTGAGGACAGAACAAGCTGCACATGTGATCGCAGCAGTAAAACATTCCATAATCTTTCTGACTATATGATCATGTTTTAGTTACTACAGTTCACTTTTGACCAAATTTCCGGGAGAAAATCTCACCGTTCGGAAAGTGTTGCGTCCAACTGTCAAAATGGACGTCATGGCGTCTGTATTAGGAGCGAATCACGTGTCTCTCAGTATATTTGTGACTTTAAAGTGTCTGTCTGGTGACCCGGATGTGCACAGCATCTTAAGTGCCTGTGGACCATGATGTACTGACTGTTCTCTGCTGTTTTTAGAAGGAATATTTGTAGTAGTTTTGCACTTTGTGGCCCACTTTAACCATTCAACTTTGGGGTTTTATTTATCCGTCGTATTATGAGGCATTACTGCTGTTATTAAGGAAATAACTGGTACATCCCATGGCCACTCACTGAATGAACGAGTATTTATATGAAGCGGATCATCTGTGTGCGCATATTGTGTCTGTGGTTGGATGAAGGTCGTCTGTATATTTCAAAAGCATCACAAATAATGAACTGATTTGTCCAATTCCATTTCAAATACAATAAACTATTTGCTAAAAGATTAAGTTATTTGTTTGTTTGATGTGGGAAGAACTACCTGTACTCTCCTGGTGCACACTGGGGCTGTCTTGCACGGTTATTCCAATGTGGTTTTACTGCAAATGGCAAATAAATGCTTGTTTCTGTGTTTTGTAACCGTCACATTGGACAGACCAGACATGCCTTTAGTGTTGTAGCAAGACCATGTGCGAATTGTCAACACTTTTCAGGCTTTTAGGACAGAAACGCACACAGAAATATGTATTCTTGTATAGCCCTAAATCACAACAACGTTTACAAAGCTGCTGATTCGCCAACACAGATCAGAGAATCAAACGGTTCATGATAAAAAAAATAAACACACATACACTGCATAAAAATAATGAAAAATAAGTTTAGAATAATGCTTAAATTTGGCAACATGTGTCTTAACTTGAGCACATTCTGACTGCTTTAAAACAATATTTGCCAATTGGACAAAAGCTAAACTAGCTTGTTTTATAAATATGCAAGAAATGTCTCCCTTGGAATGAGAAAATGAAGCAACAGTTTTTCAAATAAGACTAAATGGCTTAGTCCCCATCAGAATGTGCTCAAATTAAGATAAAAAAACACTTGATTCAAGCCACTTTTACCTCATATTTTATCACTTTTTGCATTGCATAGAGTTCCATTGATCCATAAGAGGCAGAGACCAATGTCCGTACATGTGGTTGATTGTCCTGGATTAGCACCACCGACTCCTCAGACCCTCCTGCTCATGGGAACAACCTCGCTGCCATTTCAGCCACATTTTCAGACCTCTATACAGGTGTTTAAGTCTGCTTTTTTTAAACATGATCAAGTTAATTTTGAGCAAATAAGAAACAAAAGTAGAATATCAAAGTAGTGCATAGATAACCGAGAGACATTTACTTAATACAAAATGATAAATAATATATACACAAGAGAAACACTTGCAGATACTCAAAAAGGAGAGGGAAGAAGAAAAAACCGTATTTAATCCCACATCCTTGTTTTCCTTAGTTTCTTGTAGTTTTAGTTCCACGTAAAGAGCCTTACAACATCACACTTGCTCAAATATAAAAAGCTAATGTCGTCTTATCATGTTTAAGGCTTAGGCAGATCTTTTATCAAGACAAATTGAGACATCCGTTCCTTTCCTGAGTCCTGCTAACTGTCTCTTGGATGCACCAGGTGTTTTCCAAATGAGTTCTGTTGAGCTCAAAAGGGCGTGGAATGTGTCCAGAAACCCAGAGAGGAGCGGGCACAGGGAGCAGAGCAGACTTCCCACTGTCTCCTACAACAGCAGAGAAAGCAGAGAGATGGCCTTGTTCCTGCTGGTTTTCCTCACTCTACAAGCCCTGGTCCTGTCCACTCAGGGCCAGGAGGCTTACGACAACCTGTCCGAAGACTTCAAGAAGGGGGTGAACCTCGCCCTGCAGAAGCTGAGCAGCCACAGCGGAGTACAGCATCACTTTCTGTTCTTCAGAAGCATCACAAAGTCAGACATTAATGTGAGTGCAAACCCTCTGCTTCACACACACACACACACGCTTTGTTTGTGCCATTGTGTCTGTTTTATTGTGCACTTGCTCCTTTTGATGCTTAAGTCAGGGGTTTTTATACTTGCTGGTCTTGCTTCTTCTTCATGCTAAGCTTTGGAGATATTCAATCCAATTCACTTTATATATAAAAAGCACATTTTAACAACAATCACGTTTTCAAAGTGCTGCATGAACAAGAATAACATATGCACAAGCAAGACACACAAAAAAACACAAAAAGACACCAAAAAGAAACTTATCCTTAGCTCCACCAAGTATTATACAATAAAAACAGACAGCAGATTAAAAACAGTTTTTTTCAATGTTTTTCCTTGTTATGCAAACGATAGATTTGATACTACTTATTTTTTATGCTAGAGTTAAACATAGACATTTTATTTTTAGTATTAATTTATCTTCCTCATTCCTTCTGTTATGTAATTACCTTGGACTCTGTTTGCAACTTTATTCACTGTGGGACAAATAATTTATCCATTATCTTATTTTTCTCTGTCTAAGAATGTCAAACTCTTGTCTTTTCAGCCTGGTTTTGACGTGAGATACATTTACCACCACTTTCTCCTCAAACCGACCCACTGCCCAAAAGGAACCAGTGATTCTACCGTTTGCCATTTCAGGAACGACCGAGTGAGTGTGATTTTGTGTGTGTGTTTTTGTGCATACGTTTGGAGCCCCTGTCATGACGCAGCGGTGTGGTATGTGGCTCTGTTCTAACTCGTCCATGTTCTTTGTGTTTGTGCGATCATGCAGCCTCCCATTGACTGTGCCGTGTGCTACAAAACCTTCGGAGGGGACATTGAAGCGGAGCCCAAACCCTACGTCCACTGTATCCACAAACCCAGTCTGACCGAGGTTTGTGCGTCTCTGCAGAGTTAAAGATTAGTTAGAGTATAAGATTAAAGCAGTAATATGTGAGATTTTCATGTCAAGTCATCATTAAAGGGCCCTAATCTGTCAAAAGGCATTCATAAAACATAATCTTTTCCAATACTTACAGTAGTTCAGAGATATTTGGATTTCAAAATTACTTTTACAGCCCCTAAATCTTGTTATTGTTTTCATTTCGATGTCCCGCGCTCTAGTGTTTCACCAATCAGAAAGTCTGTGATCAGGGTTGCCAGATCTCACTGCTTCAAGCTAATCTCACTGGTAAAGTACCATGTGGCCACCATAGACTGTATATATTAACGGACAACTATCTCCGCCGTTCTAACTAATGGGCCAAAAATTGGGCTTTCATGGAGTGATCCAAAATGGCCGCGGGGGCTGGAAAATGTGAAAAAAACGCATCTGCGCATGTGTCAGCTGCACGAGCTCCATTCATTTAAACTTCAAAAATTCACAGCGGGTAAACTAGAGTGGTCCAAAACACTCCCCTCAGCATTGACACACATGTGGACTGAGCTTTGGGCCAAGAGACAACTTTTAGGACGTGAAGACGTTTTTGAGAGGTAAGAAGATGTGTACATTTGCATTGAATAAATCCCTTTCCGGGTCCAGCCCTCTGGCTAGGTGTGGTATTGCAGCATGTCAGCGCCTGTCATTTTGGCCACTTTTGAGCCGGGACCCGCCCCCATTGATGGCCACAGAACTAAAAAAGGTCTCATTATGATTCTCAAATCATTAACGACAAAACAAGGAATAGGATTTCTATATTTGTGAAAAAGGTGTTGGTTATAGATTTGTTGTTGACAAAACTCTTGTCTATTCAGCTGTTATGGTCCCAGCTGGATTCGTCTGCATATCTGGCAACCTGAGTCAGGGAGAGTGGGACAGGACAACAGAATATTGGCCGTGACTGCAGTACCACTTTTGGCCAGAATGTTCGATATTGCTCCTTTAAAATATTCTTTATTCGTCCCACAGTGGGAAAAACGTCTGATGATTTAAATATTGGACATTAACTAAACACTCAACTCAACTCAAAAACATTGCTGTCCCCAAGGTTAAACTTGTTTGCATGTGGTGGAGCAGTAAAGTAATTATAATCACACAATAATTACAGCGAGTACATATCAGGCACAACTTCATTCAAGAAGAAAAATGGGTTTCTGCAAGTCATATGTCATTAAATGCAAGTCTATGCTGTGAGGAATCGTGGTCATTTATTAAAGCTGGGGTACCTAACTTCAAACTACTTCAAACTACAAAGATATTGAGCTGATATTGAATACATATATTGAAAACAGCTTCTATCACTAGTTTTGGCCTCTTTCACATCTGAATTTCATCATCATCATGAGTCGGCTACAGACTGGTACCAACAGATAAACAGGCTGTCTCCATCTCACTGGTTTATCTAACAGTAAATAACAGCCTGATGTCGTCTGATATGAACCTTTTACTTCATACAAAACTCTTTCTCTTCACAGTATGCAGTATTTATTGGACAAAACAGTTAGGTACCAGGCTTTTCAATTCAATTATTTTTGTTCTGCCTTAAATAACAACAGCAGTCAACTCCGAGGACTGTACAAAGCTGTCGATTCATCCTCAACAGATCAGAGAATCAAACAGTTCGAAGACATAGAAACACATTGGTCTGTAGGGAGCAGGACGATACATGTCCATAAATGTTCATAGCAACTGGGGCCGAAAGAATAGAAGGGATTTCCTTTTCATATATTTGTTTTTTTGACGGGATTTTGACATGACTTTTTTTTCATGACACTTAAAACTTCATGTTTCGCTTTGGCTTTTGGGGCTCAGAAAAAAAACACCGCCCTTTTCTCTGCACATTACAAAAAATTCAGATTTCAGTTCATGCAGTATGGGGTTGAGAATAAATATAAACCTTTTCTCAACATTAAAAAGTGAAATTCATGTGAAAGTGAAAAAAATCAAATAATACATATCTTTGACCATACAACCTGTAGTATCATCTAAATCAAGTATTTCACATCATCACTATTTTTGAAATAGTTTCTCCCCTTGGAAGTATCAACACCAGTGAGATTTGCTGCAGGAGAATCGTTTGACCAATGGTGTGGGGCCTCTGCTGTCTATCAAGGATTCATTGATAGATTTGAGTTCATTGTGTCCAATCAGGAGGCTGTGGGGGCGGGACTTCCTGCCGCTCGCATTAGAAAAACATCTCTCCATCTAAAGTGACCGACCTTTACTTTAACTGAAAAGAATAGAAAGTTAAAGATAAATGATATTTGTGGTCAGGGCGCGTGGGGCGGCAGTCTGCTCTTGTCCAGGAGACAGGAAAATGTGCTTATTGTTTATATTTAACCAAAACTGAACCAAACATTGCTCCATATTCAACTTCTAGATACACTGTGCTTCAAGTTAACGATAACAGTTGAAAAATCTGCATAGGGACCACTAAAAATACTCTTGCGGCCGGATTTGGCCCTCGAGCCGGAGTTTGACACACCTGCCTTTAGACCCTCCTACATCGGCAAGTAATATGTTTTTAAGGAGTGGGGAAAAAGCGAGAATCCTTATAGGGAGCCCCATATTGAGAGAGGGATCATGGACACACAGGCTATTCACATGTTTTCCATAAATCTGCTGTAATAAAATAAATTGGCTTCTGTAATTCACTGTTTTTTGTTCTTATTGTTCATTTGTTTGTTTGTTTGTTGCCTGCAGGACATGAAGGCCCTACGAATCGAGCAGTGCAACATCATCGGCTACGGCAGTGGAACCCCGACGCTCCTGGCTTCAAGAGGAGATTAGAAAAACAGCCTCGAGTGTCACTAACCGCACCTTAACAACCTTTTTTAAAAACTTTCACACGCGTTTATCTTTCTGTTTCTGAACACCCACCACCACACACCTGTCTCCAACCTCCTGCCTGTGGTAATAAACATGCAGTGTGATGCGGTTTAGTCATAAATATCAGTTTGCAGTATTGTTTATGGTATTTTGATTTGATTTAAATGTTAGTTTTGTATCAGCGCAGATTCCTATTAAAACACTTTCTCCCATTTTTGTTATTTTTTTTCTTAAACTGGTGTTGTACCCTGGGGCAAGACACTTCACCCACTTCACCCATTTGAGTCTGCTGTGTCTGTGTGTGAGTGGTGATGGAGGGGGCTGCCTTGCTTCTGTCAGTCTGTCCCAGGGCAGGTGTGGCTTCAGTAGTGCAACAGCTTCAGTCTCTTTTGAGTGTCCAGAAATAGTGCATTATATATTTTGTGTATCTATTTTTAAGTAAAAGTTTAGACTACATTAAATGTAATTAATAAGTATAACTAAAATATTCATTTACCCTCAGTACAAGCTTGTGTAGGTCAAGTTAAAAAGGCAAGTTTATATGTATAGCACAGTTCAGTATATAAAAGGAGACACATACAATCCCAGTTATCTGTTTTTAAACTGGATTTGAACATCGTCAGAGAAGAAGCCTGTCTCACATTTTCAGGAAGACAAATACATTTAGTCCTGACTAATAGGCACCAGCAGGAGGCCAGTCCCTGTGCTCCTCAGAGTCCCAGCAGGAGGCCAGTCCCTGTGCTCCTCAGAGTCCCAGCAGGAGGCCAGTCCCTGTGCTCCTCAGAGTCCCAGCAGGAGGCCAGTCCCTGTGCTCCTCAGAGTCCCAGCAGGAGGCCAGTCCCTGTGCTCCTCAGTCCCAGAAGGAGGCCAGTCCCTGTGCTCCTCAGAGTCCAACTTGGTCCATATGGTACTCACATGTCACAGATGTTCTTGGGGCTTTGAGGTGCTTTAAAGTCTATTTTCTGAACCACAGGAAGAAGAAAAAGTAAAATGCATTTCTGTGAATAATTGGCAGACAATATATTTATTTGAAACATTGACTCAAACAACATTAAAGGGAGGAAGTATGGATCTGTTAGAACATTTTTTAACTTTAACAACAGTTGCTTCAAAAGTGAGACAAATATCCATATAATGTTGTTTTATACAGGGAGGAAATATGACAAACAAAACTGAAGCCTCCTCTGAACTTAGAAGCACGGCTAACCACAATGCATCAATTCAAACAGAAACATAGCTGCTTTAAACCTGTAACAAGAGCACTAATACTTGTAAATACGTATAATTAAGCACTGAATCCATAAAAGGTTACTCCCACTGACGCTTACGTGACCTCAGCTCTGTCCAGTCTCGTCAAACTCAAACAAAAGTAACAACACAAACTGTCACTTTCTGTTTGTTCTAAAATTAAACTCCTTCCTCTTATAAAAACCAGTCTTTACCAGAACCCCTTTGTCTCTTCTTCACAAACACACAAGTTTATTATCCCAGAAAGAGCCTCCCGCTGTCTGACCCACTTTTACCGCTGCGTAAACAAAACCAAAAATTCTGCGCATTAACCCCTGAATAACACCCAACTAGAAACACAAAACTATTATTCAGCTTTTCACTCCCTCACAATCGTGTCCAGACATGCGCCTCACCACTCGCCTTACTACAAATACATTTTACTGGAAGAGACGCACTGGAGACGCACTGAAGTTGCGCATAGGGCCCTTTGGATGCGCATGCTCCATCCCATAAGGAGTACAGTTGTGAGTGAGGGCCAATCCGGAGCACAGAGGGTCCTGGTGGGCTGTTCACTGTGTGTATAGGACTGAGACTGTGGATGAAGATGGCTGTAGGATTGGCGCTGTCGCTGTTTTGCGTGATTTTGAGCGCGGCCGGAGCCCAGGACTCGTACGGTGAGCTCCCGGCGGGACATAGGAGCGGAGTGGACCTGGCTCTGGAGCAGATGCGCGGACATGCCTCCCTCCAGCACCATTTTCGCTTTCTGAGGACAGTGGACAAAACTGAGATTGAGGTATGAGCTTTTGTTTTTGTTATTTAGCTGTGACTATTAAAGCTGGGGTACGTAAACTGGAAGTACGACGTAAAAAGTGATGAAAAACTAGGATAAAATTGTAGCATCACCACTAACATATAATGGTCGTGTTATAAAAAGATACAAGAAATGTCACTTGGAATGAAAAATAAAAAAAAATTGCAATAGTTCTTGAAACGGGACTAAACGGGACTAAACGGCTTTATTCTTAAAATCTTGTTTTAAGAATAAATTAAGATTAAAAAAACACACAATTCAACCAAGGCAAGGCAAGATTATTTTACACAAGGCAACTCAAAGTGCTGAACAAAACAAGATAGAGTCAGACAAGGCATTACCACAACAATTATGAGCTCATATCTAATAATAGTAATAGTTTTTTTACAGTGTATGTAGTAAAAATCCATTGATCCTCACTCTCAAAGCAGATTCTCATACATGTTGTGTTGGTCTCTCTAGGAACCGCCCTCATTCAGCCAATCAGCATTCAGCCTAAAGCGTCAAAAAGTGACTCAAGATCACGTGTTCCAGTAAGATGGAGACATTTGACTTTAAAAACTTTATCTGTTGGCCCCAGTTTGTCGCCTATTCATGATTAAAACAAACGTAAAGTACCCCAGCTTTAAATTACTTTTTTGGGTAATTCTTTCTAATATTTTGAACTTGCAAATGTTTAAATTGGACACACTTTATGTATTTGTTGCATATGTCTCCACCACGCACCTTTTCTTTTTGGCTTTTAATACCAGGTAGAAAGAGCCACGTTTTTGTTTTTCTGTTATTGTATGCGTTTTTTACCGTCTGCACAGGACTTTAGTGAGAATAACCTGTTTAATAAGCTACAATTAAAAATCTGATTAATTGAAAACCAAAAGAGTCATTCTCTGTCTCAAAATCGGAATAATGTTTTGCATTTGTGCGTGAATGTGCGACTGCAGCAGACTTTGATCCCAGAGTCAACATGTCCTCTTGTCTCCTCAGTCTGGATTCGGGGTCAAATATCTGTACCAGCAGTTTCTCCTGAAGCCGACCAGATGTCCCAAAGGAACCGCGAACGCCACCCCTCAGAGATGCCCGTTCAGGAACGACCGCGTGAGTGCGACATCACAACTACCTGTTCTGGGAATTAATTAATATTTTTATTTTTTTGTATGTGACAGATTGATTACAGTTTCTGCTGCATGTTCCCACTTTTATTATAATAATATTCTGGTGGTGGCAAATCACAATGTCAGACCTCTGAAGCTAAGCAGGAAAGGCCCTGGTTAGTATTGTGATGGGAGACCTCGGGGAACACCAGGTACCACAGTGAGGCGTCTGTGGCTGTAAAGTGCCAATCTGCTGTTGTGTCCTTGGGCAAGACACTTCGCACACATTAGAATGAGTCTTGTGTGTGTGTGTGTGTGAATTGTTGGTGGTCGTGGACGGGGCCGATGGCACAGACTGGTGGCCTTGCTCTAGTCGCTGTGCCCCAGGACGACGGCGGCCACAGTATTAGTTCATCACCACTGTGGAGTGAATGAATAATGACAAGTGAAGCGACTTTGAGTGTCGGAAAAAGTGCTGTGTAAAACCGATGCATTATTATTATTATTATTATTATTATTGTGTCTCTTGCCGCCCACAGCCTCTGATGGACTGTGCCGTTTGCTACAAGACGGTGTCGGAGCAGATGGAGCCAGAGCCCAGACCCTACGTGCACTGCATCCACAAGCCCAGACTCACTGAGGTAACTGTGTGTTGTGGAAGTATGATTTTTTAATGTATTTTTGACACACACCACTTTAGAGAAACACTTCTAGACAAACTATTGTACTTCATGACGGGTCGACCCTGCTGACATTACAGTTATGTTGGTAGATGTATACATGTGTGTGTATGTGTATATATTTATATACATGCATATGTTTGTGTATGTTTATGTATTAATGTCTGATGAAGGGCCTCAGTCAGAAACGTTACTTTGTGGTCTGCAAATAACTTACTTGGAAGCAACAGCTGTGCGGATTCTTCTGTTTTCACGTTTTGCACTTTTTGAATCCAGCACTGCACTTTTTGAGTCCAGGCTACTGAGATGTACAGCCTTATTTGAAACCTTGTCTTGGAAGTACACATATATCTGTTCTCATCATACTTTACAATAAAACCTCTGTAAAAGCATATACATTTCGTCCAAAAACTATAGTCTCCTCTAACTTAAACATTGAGCAGCACGGGATGGTGTGTCCAAACAACTCGGCCTTCAACCCGCCTTGCGACATTTTGAGTCTTTTTGTCGAGGCGTGTGCAGTGAGAAAAATAAAACTAAAATAATAAAACTGTTTTATCGCCTATTGCTTGTATGTTATTGCTTATTTCAGATTATTTTTCAACTAAATATAACACCATTTGTTGTTGTTATAGGAGATGAAAACGGCCAGAACTGAGCACTGCAAAAAGATGGTCTACAACAGCGGAGCTCCCACTCTGCTCTCCGTCTCCACTGGTTAAAGAAGCTCCAGAGCCTCATGTTACTCCTTCTATCTGTATCACAAAACATCACCATTTAGAGATAGTTTTTATACTTGGCCACACACAGAGATGCAGCCTTTGTACATGTTATACAGGTGGATTACTAAATATTAAATACTAATGTCTGTAGCAATAGTTTGTTAATAATTCATGTTCCTGGACATCAATGAAGTTTGTCAAACATTGAAATGCTTAATTTTGTGATATATTTGTTTAAAGACTTCTGTAATTGTTGTTGTCCCAAAATAAAGAGTCGTGTAGTGAACAACAACACACTGTCTCCATCTTATTTATAAAGTTTTTTGTTGTGTACTTGTACTAAAGAGCTCTGTGAGTCAGTGTTGGACTCTTTGGGCGGATTTGGCTTAGTGAGGGTGGTCCATTGTGCCAGAGTCTTATAGTGGTGGAAAAAAGCCTGGTTCTATGTCTCTTCTGTGTTTTAGTATCTAACACAAGGTAAGAAATGTCACGACCAATTTGACCTGGCGCCCGCTAAGTGTGTCAAGTTTTTACTGCTGTCCAACACTCGTTCTATTCTTCCATAATGACCTCACAGCCTCCAGTGAGCGGTCTGCAGTCTGCTGTGAAGAGGAAACATCTATAGTCACGGCGTCCAGACAAACACACACTGGTAAAATCTGCAAATATTCACTTATGAGTTCAATTAAATACCAAAATACCTTAAAACATTTAATTTACTCCAATTGGGAGAGTTTCTACCAGTACCAGGTCCTTCTTTAGTCCCTCTTGGTTCTGGTTCTATCCAGACCATGCTGGTACTAAAGTGTTAGAAATGACAGAGAGTTCTGCTGGAAGCCATGGCTACCAAGGACTCTCCCCGGATACTGATTTGTTGTGGGTAGATTACTAGGATACAGAAGAAGATACTAAAGCGTAATGGAAACTCAACCGAGTTGAGTCGAGTAGATTAGGACCAAGTAGGGATGGTGGAAACGGGCTTTAGTCATAATTTACACAATGATTATGAAATACAATGTTATTCTATAAAGCATAGCAATGTATTTTAAGACTATGTTTAAGTTATGTTTAGATATTTATCTAAGATAAAAATAATAAATACATATATTTTGTATGTAAATTCCTGGTAGTGTTACTAGAACCGACCGCTAGATGTCAGTAATGCGTTAAGGGGCTTGCAGGCCTCTGGTCCAGACATGGTACCGTACTGTTGGTAAAGTCGCTCCCACTTTATTGTGTTGACATCATCAAGTAACTTTCCATGAATAAATCCGCTCCAGGCTCAGTGGATGCTTTAATCTCGACTAAACAACGAACTTGTCCAACGAACGATAACAAATCGAGTGTAGACTACTTCGGGAATGCTTTGTTTTGAGTGCGCATGCGCGTCGACATTACGGGGCGGCTCCATCCGAACAGCCCAACAACACCGCACTCCACAAATCAGCTGCGCCGCATGAGAGAGAGTGTGAGGGGCGTGCGCTGATCCGTGACTGGACCCCAGGCTCCTGCAAACACACTGCTGTCCCCACAGGATGTTGTGAGCTCCGCGGACCTCCGAGGACCAGAGAGCCCTTTCCCCTGCCTGCGTGAATGAGTGCGTGAGTGAGCGTGGATCTGTGGACGCGCGGGAGGAAGAAGAGCGAGAGGAGACGCGGAGAGAGGAGGAGAGGCGCAGTGGGCGACAACAACAGTGCGCTGAAACCTGGACTCATACAGCGTGAAGATGACGATGTCTGTCCCGGAGAGTAAGTCTGGGTCTGAGGGGAAGGAGGAGGAGAGCGAGGATGAGAGCGAGATCCTGGAAGAGAGTCCGTGCGGCCGCTGGCAGAAGCGCAAAGAGCAGGTTGGTCTATGTTTGTGTGTGTCTCTCTCCCCCTCTCTCTGTGTCTGTGTTTGTGTGTCTGTCTGTCTGTGTCTCTATAGTCTCCCCCTCTCTCTGTGTCTGTATGTGTGTGTGTGTGTGTGTCTCTCTCTGTGTATGTCTCTCTCTCTCTGTGTGTGTGCTTGTGTGTCTGTCTCTGTATGTGTCTCTCTCCCCCTCCATGTATGTATGTATGTATGTATGTATGTATGTATGTATGTATGTATGTATGTATGTATGTATGTATGTATGCATGCGTGTATCTCTGTCTCTATGTGTATGTGTGTGTATCTCTGCCTCTCTGTGTATGTGTATGTTTGTGTGTCTGTTTTATGTATGTGTCTCTCTCCCTCTGTGTGTGTGTGTGTCTCCCTCTCTCCCTCTCTCTCTCTCTGTGTGTTGTCTATGTGCGCGCTTGCACGTCTCAGGTCTGGAGGACTCTTTGCAAACAGCCGCCCCCCATGAAACAAACTGCGGAGGATTCTGTTGTTATGCAATGAGGCGTCCGGGGCCAAGGTGTTGTTATCACCGGCCCCATGCGCGCTCCTCGGCCGCCTTTAAGGGATGGTGCATGCCCTGATCCCTGATCTGCTTAGCCCACAACAAGTCTATTTCAGTGCTGACGCGATCAGTCCGCCTCTTGCTCACCCGCGGGACTTCGGTCTTTCAACTGGCATCGTTTTTAATGCATCCCATCTTCAGGCTGTAATTCACACCCATAAAAGATAAAAAGATGGAAGAGTGAGGCTTTAAGACATATCTCCAAAACCCCAATTATAGACGTGGATGAACAAGAAAGAGAGAAATACATGAGAAATAGAGAACATTAAGCATTATACTGTGACACTGTCCAGGTTAAAAAAGGTTGTGTTGCTGTGCGTACAACTGAGGGATTTTATCTTTGCTCTTTTTAATGCACAGTTTTTGAGTTTAATGATAGTGTGATTGTTCCTATGGTTTGTCCAGCACTTGCCTTGTGTGTGAACTGTGCTCTACAAATAAACTTGCTTTGCCTTAGAATTTAACACATTGTAAGAAAACTTCTTTTATTGGCGTCTTCACAAAGTGCCTAAGTTTTCAAAGGATTCACCCTAGATGTTTTTAGTCTTTAGCAAATTGGTTATTGATTTATTTATTTTCCTTTTTCCATGATTCAACAATAACTCCCACTGTGGCCTCCTCTGGCAGTTTGATTTGGCCAACAGCAACATTTCTCTTTGACATCATAAATATCTGACATTGCGTACAGAACCCTTTTTTCATTATTGCTTTCTGTTTGCGCAACTAGTGGAGTTATAATTGGCCGAGAGCGTGTTGTGTGTTGTGTAATTGTGGAACAGAGGGTGCAGCGTATCCAGCCGTTTAGATAAGATGCAGAAGTTGAAATTTTCTTGTTTATCTCTGACCCACACACACACACTGCTGCCCTTGATCTGAAGCCCCTCCCACTCCATGAACCCCCTCCCACTCCATACTATTTCCACGTATTAATGATTACTTTTGCTGAAATGAAATCCAGCCGGTTCTGTTCCCATTTATTCACAAGATGCAGCTTGTTTATCACAAGACGCTTCAGTCGATGAGGTTTAAAGATGTCGCCAATGTAAAACTGGGGTAAATATCTAACCTATTTACATTGTTATGTTCCTGTGGTAAGGACCCCCTCAAAAAGATGATTCCTCTCGTGGTTAAAACATCCATAACAACTCCAAACACAATCAGAATCCTTCTCATCTCTAAAGTTTTAATATGTTTGTGGTCATGAGCTTTGGGTAATTGACCGAAAGGATGAGATCTCGGATACAAGAGGTCCACATTAGTTTTCTCCGCAGAGTGACTGGGCGCTTCCTTAGAGATCAGTCACACGGGAGGAGCTCGGAGTAGAGCCGCTGCTTCTCCACGTCGAGAGGAGCCAGTTGAGGCGGCTCAGGCGTCTGCTTTGAGATTCCTCCTGAGCGTCTTGGGGAGGTGTTGAGGGCACGTCCCATCGGTAGGAGACCAGGGGAAGACCCAGGACATGTTGGCGGGACTGTGTGTCTCAGCTGGCCTGGGAACGCCTCAGATGAGCTGCAGGAAGAGTGTGGAGAGAGAGGGAGGTCTGGAGGTCTTTGCTGGCCTGAAATCCGCAAATTGATAAAAGCAAAATGGTTGGACATGTACAGTATGTGCCATGTGTAGGTTGCATTAGTCATTGAATATAATAGACATATATCAGTATTTTTCGATTCTTAATCCTAGGGGCCTCTGTGTGGCTTGTTAGCTGTCGCAGAAGTGTTTCCAGGAACAGCAGAGGTATGGGAGGCTCTCACAGACGCTGCCTGTTGAAATGTAAGACGGAGCTTTTTCCCGACGCGGCTCGTAACTCACTGTGATTTACAAAGCTCTGATTTTGCTCAGAGCCGTGGCACCTCTGCCCCGATGGAGTCATCTACAGTGAGGCAGTAATAAGCATTTTTATGAACTACTACTACTAGAAAAAAAATCAGGTATAGCTTCTTTAATGTTTATTGTACACTGTCCCTGTCACTTAAATTGCACTGTCATTATTACTATACTACTGCTACTGCTGCTACTACTAGAACTACTACTACTGCTACTGCTAAGACTACTACTCTAACTAATGCTTCTATATGTGCTTCGATATTTATTTGGTAATCACATCTCTTCTATACACAAATCATTACAGATACTAAAAACTTATTATTTTCTGCCTATTTAATACATGTTACTGAGCATGTGCAGGGCAGAGTTTGCTTATCAGGTCCTTTTATAAGATGTATATTACAAAGTAGCTGTAAATATGACCAACGCACATCATTCTAATGTGGTAGTAATTGCCCCTCTCAGGTGTGTAGAGTTGTTGTGTCACTTGATCTGCCCTGCTCTCTGTGTGGTTCATTTCTGCTCTTTATGACGTTTGTGTATCTGATCTTAAAGCTTTGTGCCTTCCCGAACTCTGCAGCCGTGTGCGAGCGAGAGGGAGGCGCCACTTCCTGAATCACCTGGATCTATACAACAGCAAATGACTAAGCAGAATATATAGAGTGCGTCTGGTGTAGTAGTAAAAATAAGTTCATTCATGTGTGAGCTATCTGCTGCTGCTGTAGAAGAAGAATATATTTTATTTGTAGAGTTTTTTGCCTCACAAGGACTGTGTAACATAGACCAAATTATTAACACTTCACCTGCACCCAGTATAGAGAGGGGTTTGCTAAAATATATTCCCAGTGGTTTGGAAAAGTGTCTGAATTGTTCGGAATTTGCCACATTTTTGCGTAAAAACCCAGTTAAATGTGATCTAATCTTTATCAAAATCACTCAGGTGAAAAAAACAGGGTCTGCTTGAACAAAAAACACACAAACATGTATAGATTGTCATATTTTTGAATGAGGATAACATGCAAACGATGACAGAAGGAGGAGGAATAAGTAACTGAACCTTCTGCTGTAGAACGGTTTGATTTGATTTACAGTATTCTTTGTTTATGGAGATACTTTTGTACATATACTTTTACACACATTATTATTTGACTTGGATCGTACGCGCGCTCTGATTGGCTGATTTGCGGTCTGATATTTTCCCATCTCGGACCGTTACCATGGCAACTGGTCTGCAGCGCGTATCAGATTTGATATCTTTCCTCGATAAAAAGGAAATAATGAGCGCTGACTGGGAGCATTCTCCAGTGGACGAGTTGGAAGAGCCAGAGGAAGTAAGGTTTCCTCCGGGTACTCCGGTTTCATAAAAATATGTACAATAGGACTGTGCATGCGCCTCCTGTACTGGCGACCCCGCTCCCATCTCTGTGTGGAGTGAGAGGACAAATGCCCAAAAAAATAATAACAATTGTAAACCGGTTTGTGACCCTTGTCTGTGAAAGGCGGTATATAAATAAACATTACTTACTTACTTACTTACTAATAACAGCAAATAACGACGAAAACACAACTCCTAACAGTCAAGAAGAGATTGACAACTTTGTTACAGACCAGAAAGGTAAAAACAGGATTAGGAAAACCAAGTCGGACATGAACATACTTCACAAATATGTAAAAAGCATTGGTAAAGACACAGAAGAGACTGAGAACTTACAGCGGGCGCTTCAATCATCTGATAAGTTCTCAATGTCACCATTTGACAGTTTGGTTGCATGTGTTTTTAGTGGAAACCGATTGATATTTGTCATATAATAAAACATTTATTAACCTCGCTTGCAGAGGACCTTGGTCTTTTTGCACAGACCTCTCCACGGCTCGGTCTGTACAAAAAGGCCACGGTATTTCTCTGTACAAACCTCGCGCTCGTTTAATAAGCCGTTACTATTCACCAAAGTTTAGTTCCACCTTGTGTTGAAATATATACAATTTCAATATGTGTTTACGATTTCAGATTTTTTCAGAAATACTGTAAATATACATAGATTTTTTTTTATATTTTGACTTGAATAACAATCAATCTTCAACAAATGAATTATGAAAGTAGAATAGTATTTTTGTTCAGATGTGGAGTTGGATAACGGGTTTAAAGCCTAAATTTTTACTGAATCTTGTCTATACATTTTTCAAGATATATTCTATGGTATTGAATTGAAAGTCCCCTGTAATGATGTATTGTATCAGCAGTTTCCAAAAGATACCATTATATGTGAGTGACTGAAATCTGCAAAAATAAAAAGTTTGGAGTATCTATAAAAGAGAGTTTTAATCCAAGCTTCACTTCCATCATTTGGGTTTTTCATATGAACTTTTTTCTATCTCAAAGTCGTTCCCTGGAGTTTGTCTCTGCATGAGGGACCGATCAAATCTGCGGTTCCTTCTACCGTCCTCTCTCCATCTGCTGCGATCCCAAATCCAGATTGGAGCCGTTTCCTTTTCCTCGTCACACCTTTTTCTGAACGTTCTGATAGCTGCCAAGGTTTTATTCACACACAGAGAGACGCAGCTGCAGAGGGATGGGTGTTAAAGCACAAAAAACATTACAA